CTGAAACCTTCCAGGCCGGATTAACGAGATCTTGGGTGAGTGAGTGAGTGAGTTAGGTTTAACGCCGCTTTGAAAAGTATTTCAGTTATAAAACGGCGTCTCAGTTTAACATTGGAGACAAGCCCGAGGTGATTGCAGGTCTGAGAGGTTTACCACTTTGGTGAAACCACCGAGCACGGGACAAACATTAAAACATAATCGGGGCGAACCAGGATCAACCCACGACCATAGGTTTCAGCGAATTGCGGCGAATTTCGACGCCTAAGACGAATGGACCACACGTGCCCCACCCTTGGGCGAACTGAGGTGAAAATTGTTGTACCTATACAGGGCCGTGTTTGTATGTGTGCGTGCGTGTGGTTCTTGTACTAGTAGGGACAAATGCGTTACGGTACTAGCCCACTGTGATATCATGTCTCACTCATTGCCTCGGGAAGATGCAGTCGACTCCAGCCGACCCATCCTTGTTACCCCCTTAATGCAGAGTAACAACAAGTACAATCTTTTAACGTTTTCTGCAGGACGCGGCTGGGCATGGAACCACCGAGGTCTTGGGGAGGAGGCTATTTCATAATCATCCTCCAGTTGGGGTATTGGGTTCTTCGTTAGTTTCGGAATGTATGTGATTTTCCAGGACACACTGTAGTCCCCCACTTATTTGAACAACACTCTTTCTTGTTTTATTTAGCAATGACTAACGTCTGTCCAAACCATTCGTCTGTGTCATGATAGAATTATATAATATCCTGGATAATCGAGGATGAGGTTGAGTGAGTGAGTGAGTTGGGTTTAACAATATTCCAGTTATATCACGGCGTGTCTGCTTAATGTGGGAGGAAAGCCCGAGGTCATGCAGGTCTTAGACGTTTACCACTTTGGTGAAACCCACGAGCACGGGTACGGGTGCTGACAAACTCAGAAACGTAATCGGGGCGAACCCACAAATATAGGTTTCTGGTGTGCCAAAGGGGCGCAACTCTGCACAGCAAATTGCGGCGCCTTAGACGACTTGGCCACCCGTGCCCCAGTGAGTGAGTGAGTGAGTGAGTGAGTGAGTGAGTGAGTGTTCCCCAATAGTTCATCAATCACATAACCACGATGAAATGACTTTAGACTGTGTACCAACGCGGGAAATCGAACCCGTGTCTTCAGCATGATGTACCCTGGGCAATCAGTGTATCCCTTTCATTAAGGTAACCGTTCACAATCTACAATAAACATATAAAAATGTGACATGTGGCACTTGTTTTCTCCCAGACTCTCCGTCTTCTGTTGCTGCTTCCGATGACAGTCGTTGGGTCCCAGATTCGCCCTGTATTTTCATATGCTGATTCATTATCCTTCGTTTCAGTCAATGTAAAGAAACATCTTTAAGAAACACTGTAAACTAAAGGTCCAAAACACAACTATGATACCCGTATCAAATGCATCAGTGTCGAATAACCGTTTCTTGTTTGTTTCATTTTAGCTACCATCAAACATAGGTGTACTTTCTTTTATCCGAATATTGTACCGCAACTCTGCAACAATTCGTTAAAATATTATTATGTGCAAGTGCTCTCGAGATGAGGCAGCCATCAAAACAGCTGTTTCATTTATCTACTCTTCCTCCAGACTCTCTGTCTTCTGCTGCTGATGGTGGCTGTTGATCTGTGTTCGGCCCTGTGTCTGAACGGGTGTACCTGCACCACCACCTCCGTCACCTGCAACGGCCTCACCTCCATTCCCACACTCGCCTTCCCAGACGTCACATCCATCCGCTTCAACAACATCAACAGCAACATACCCTCGAACGCCTTCAGATCGATGCCCAAGTTGGAGTCCATCACTATCTCCAATGGCAATATCAGTTCCATTGCGCCATGTGCCTTCAGCGCCATTCCCGCAAAGTCTATTACCATCTCCAGAGTCCGCATCGGCATCATAGCGTCAGGAGCCTTCAGAGACCTGAACAATGTTGCCAGAAGGATTTCAATCAATAATGGACAAATTGGCTTGATCTCATCCAACGCTTTCTACCGACTGTCAAACATTATGTCCATATACATTCAACGTAACAACATCTCCACCATCCAAACATACGCCTTCAACAAGATAACTAACAGTAGGGCCTTTTACTTCTACTACAACAACGTCACCAACCTCAACAGCTACGCTTTCGCCTCCCTGGAGACGACCTCCTTCTCCTCCACCTCCTACTTTTACAGAGGATCCATCATGAACGTGGGATGCAAGGCTCTGGACGGTCTGAAGTCTGTAGCGTATGTCACCCTTAGGTGTGACTGTGACATGGTTCCTCTCATCGAAGGTACGACTCCTCCCGGCTACGTCGACTGCTTCGACAAGACACAACTGCATGACGTCATTTCCGGCAGCGGGAGCAACTGCACCCAACCAAACATTACCGAACCGTTGGTCTGTCCCAATGCGCGTTAATAGATGAATAAAAGATTCAAATTCGTATTATGACCTTAGACTTGGTTTATTTACCTATCCTCATGTGGATTCAACTATCGAATTGTTCCCAAGTAACCTATGTTGTGAGATCGACTAAAATGGATCCGGTAGTCAGGTACGGTGTGAGTGTTCATGGTATCAACCACTGGTTTGTCTGACCTCCTTAAGGGACAGTCCATTTATTTTGCTGGGGAGGCCTGGGATTATCTATGTTTTTACTTTCAATAGTGTTGCAGAAAAAGTGTTAAAACATAATTTGTCCTCGGGTCTTGACCAAAAGAATAAATTGTTTCATGTAAACAATAACATTCTGCGGCTCCTCCCTACCCAGAACAAAATTGCAAGATTTTACTGTGATCAAAATTTAAACTCCCATCCACTTGCATTCCGTTGTTTCAGTTGGGTAGCCTAGTGGTTAAAGCATTCAAGACCCGGGTTCGATTCCCCATCGAATGTGTGAAACCCATTCCTGGTGTTCCCTGTTGTGATATTGCAGTAATATTGCTAAAAGCGGGGTAAAGCCATACTTACTCACTACAAAGCGGGAATATGGCTGACTGTTGGTTATTACAATGAACAATCCAGTTTGTACCAAGTCAACGACTGGTGCTTCAAGACATCCTCTACAGAACAGCTCAGTAGCAGTGTCCTGTAAGGTTGTCCAGACATGATAAACCGATCTGTAAGAGAATGTTTTAACACCAAGAAACTTTGTACTTGAGCTGCTGGGCTGTGGGCTACAAACTGGCATGATTGATCCTGGTAGAACCAGACCAAGCGGAAGGAATGAAGGCACACAGTCGTGAGGGTCACAGTGGTGACCAGGGGTGGTCGGGTAGCCTAGTGGTTAAAGCGTGCGCTCGTCACGCCAAAGACCTGGGTTCGATTCCCGACATGGGTACAATGTGTGAAGCTCATTTCTGGTGTCCCCCGCCGTGATATTGCTGGAATATTGCTAAAAGCGGCGTAAAACCATACTCACTCACTCACTCACAGTGGTGACCACTCACAAGCAGCTACGTTCAGCGGCCATTGAGGGAATGAGCTAGTCGTGTTTCAGGCTGCTCGAACAGTATTTCACTTACATCACAGCCTTATGTGTTGGGAAAGTTGTAAGTGATGCCATTTTTAGAGGTTACTGCTTCGGTGAAATCCACCGGTACAGACCTGTGAAGATCCAGATTAGAATAGGTCTTCAACAACCCATGCTTACTGTAAAAGGCGACTTTGCTTGTGGCAAGGGGCAACTAACGGGATCGGATCGCATGGTCAGACTCACTGACTTGGTTGAATCATGTCATCGTATCACAATTCTTGGATCGATGCTCATGTCAATCACTGGATCGTCTAATCCGGATTCAATTATTTACAGACCGCCTTCAAAAAGCTTAAATATGGCTGAGTGTGGGTTAAACAACAAACAGCAAAAGTTACTTTGCTACCAAACCAAAAATCTCAATCAGTGAGAATCTAGGTTTCAAACTCGAATCATAGGATTCTGACATTGCTAAGGGACACAACTCCGCATATCATCTTACACCAGGTCACACATGCTCCTTAGCAGCCATTGAGGCGACATGACCCAGGTACATGAGAGAGATTGTATGGCATATCAATCAATTCATAGTGTTTGTTTGTTGTTTAACACCACACTCAGCAATATTCCAGCTATATGAAGGCAGTCTGTAAATAATCAAGTCTGGACCAGACAATCCAGTGATTGACATCATGCGCCTTGATCCACGCAATGGTAATACAATGAAATGCATCAACCAAGTCAGGGAGCCTGACCACCCGATCCGTTAGTCGCCTCTTACGACAAGCATAGGCTCCTTTTACAGCAAACATGGGTGCTGAAGACCTATTCTACCCCAGATCTTCTCAGGTCCAGTTCATAGTGAGTGTTTGTTTGTTGTTTAACGCCACGCTCAGCAATATTCCAGCTATATGACGGCGGTCTGTAAATAAATCGAGTCTGGACCAGACAATCCAGTGATTGACATCATGAGCATCGATCTACGCAATTGGGATCGATGACATGTATCAACCAACAACGGCCTGACATACCTTTACCACTCGTGTAGTCCAAAGAGTATTGGTATGGCGCTGACAGACCGAAGATCCTGACTTGCCTGCAATTCTTGCTCTGGCCCACAGCATATACAACCAGCTGCCCTAATATGAATAACTCACTCCTACCTTCTCCACAACATGGCTGTTTTACTGGTAATGTTCAAGGGTGCATCCAGCTTTTATAAAAGGGAAGGGTCCAAATATCAAAATTCTCTCTTAGTCAATTTTACTGTCTACATACATTTGGTTTTCAAAAAGGACTTATATGAAATATTGTTAAGTGGTCTTAAACCAAACACACACTTGTCATTACATAATCACTTTCTGTATTACAATAAGAATGCAACACTTTGTACAAATGTGCTTAGATAGAAAATGAATACAATTCCAATTTCAAAACCTGGCTGTATTATACAGTAAGTGATGCCGAGACGTTTTCTGGTGTATATCACAAACAATAAAACAGTTTCTTCTCCACATCCCTTTAATCTGCATAATAAATACTTACAGTTGTACTTGTAAGTACCAGTCACTCACAACAATCAAACATTCAGACTAGACTCTGGTAACTTCATACTCAACTGCAATACAGGATTGTAATGCTATAAATAAATGCAAGAACTAGTGCATCACTACCCAAGATTGTTACAATCAGATCTCCAACTCTGATACAATACCTCTCTGTGAACAGATCCGGGGGTGGCCCGAGCTGACAGAAGTTCTCAGGCCAATCTGATGTCAGCTATAAAAAACAATTTGGCTTCACTTCCTTTCAACCTTGACTAAGGAATTTCGATCTTAGCGAAAGAAAACTGCCACGGAACGCAAAGATACGATCAATAGCACACATTATTAGCCCTCCCCCTAGGGCAATCTCATTAAACTCAGATCTTGTGCTTGCTTCCACTACACAAAGATCTGAGGACATCATATTACAATGTGTGTGAAAAGCCGTACTAAAATATGCTATTTGAAGGGGGCGTGGCCTAAATGCAAATGTCCGATTAGGATTTTAAATTTTCCTGACCCCTGTATTACATGTATGCACAGTGGCATACTTAAAACGCTCTGTGATACTGAGCTAGCTGACAGACTACAGCCTTCAAAATGTGACTATTCCAGCCCTTTTCTTATTTTACTAGCCACAGGATATTCATACTATTGGGCTAGCATTTATTTCTAATGTTGACATCTGTAATCTGGACATGTGGTCAAGAAGTAGAGAGTGCTTGAGTGAGTTGGGCTGAACACCGTTGTGCACAGCATTCCAGACATATCATGGCATGTCAGCTCAAAATGATGCAGGTCTGACATTTACCACTTAGGTGGTCAAGAAATAAATCATACAATAAATAATAGTACTATTCAGTCTATCATTAATACCTGATCATTATGCTTGGTTAATAGTGTTAGAAACATGGACAATCATAAGTATAAAGGAAGGTATCATCTGATTATTGCAGAGCAAATAAGTGAATGTTCACAAGAAAGTATGGTGGCAGTGTCCATTTTAAACGAGGACCTGAGAATAGGTGGGTGGGTGAGTGAGTGAGTGGGTCTAATGCCACTTTGAACTGTATTGAAACGTGGACTTGAGAACAATTGAGTGAGTCGGTGACTTGGGTTTAAAGCCACTTTGAACTGTATTCCCGGGGATTTATCTGGGATTCCAAACTAGGATTCCAAAAGTGCCTTCGCTGGCAAATTGGGAAAATATTCATATTGTTCAAAATTGGTTTTTTCAAATGTTCATATTTTCATAAATTCTAAGAATTGGGAAATTTGTAATTTTTACTACCATTTGCTGCAGACTTGGGGCCAAATACCTCTGAACAGGTCTGACCACATGTCTGCGTCCCAATGTGCCTCTCAGGAAACATATTGAGTGCTGTGGACATACTGTGCCTCAGGACCCCCCAGACAAAGACCCTGCACGTCCAGTGAACACTTCCAGGGAAAACAAAACATGCACCAATTTTAACTATTGCCACACATTTGAGAAATCTTTCCAAAGTCAGCAGACTCATGATTTGGTTTTGACTGTCTTTGCTGCTGACTTCAACTCGGCAATGGCTTCCGTGACCTCTGTACCCAGCTTCTCCAGCTGCTCAAACTGATCCTTTAGGTTTTCAGAGGAGGATTTTAAAAGTTCAGTTGTATTCAAGAGTTGAAGTGTCTTTAGATATGTTGTTCCAATATCGAGCATTTCGGGGGATTTTCCGCTGTGGTCACCACTCTCCATTAGCTTTTCACTGTGGCTGCCCATATCAAACGATGTGTCTGAATTTGACAAAGGTGTGGAATCTGTATGCAACAAAAAAATCATTTCTGAACTGTATTTGGTAGAGTGAGTACAATCGGGGCAAAATGGGATTCCAACATGTGATCATAGGTTCCTGACGTGCCCAAGGGATGCAACTCTGCAACTCTGATGACTGGGCCATCCTATCCCCCCTTTTTGCTAGACAATATTAATTGTCTCGTGGGTTATATGGAGTAATGTACCCAGTGTTCAAGTCCTTTGTATCCTGAACCAGTATGCGAAGGGTACATTGTGTCACGACCCGTAAAGATCCGGGGTAGAATAGGTCTTCAGCAACCCATGCCGTAAGAGGCGACTAAAGGGATCGGGTGGTCAGACTCGCTGACTTGGTTGATGCATGTCATCGATCCCAATTGCGTAGATCAATGCTCATGATATTAATCACTGGATTGTCTGGTCCAGACTCGATTATTTACAGACCGCCATTATATAGCTGGAATATTGCTGAGTGCGGCAACCAACCAACAACATTGTGTCATCTTACTGGCATAATTATCACCCACGCTAGTAGGCCAATTAGCAGGTCAGGAAGCGCTTATCCCCAAGAAAACCCCTGACTTATTTCTGCAAGGTGATTGGCTTTATACGACAAAGGCATAATATTGTAAATTTGATAAACACTGTCTTCCAATCCAATCAAGCTGGCAATTAGTTGTAACTCATCCGTAACAAAAACACACTAGCTTTCTCTTCAATATGCCCTTAATAAAAACATGACCAAAGCCAGTTTATTCTGAGGAGCACTTGGGTTTGTCAGCTTTGCTGTCCAGAGCTCTATTGTTTTGGTATGAGAATTGAATTGTGCATCAACTAAATATGTGATATCATGCTCAGAAATTATTTCCAATCTCATTAAAATCAGACCTCAGTTCTCGCTACCGCTAAACAAAGATCTGAGGACATCCCATAAGGGGTCACGTCAGAACGACCTTTCACCTGACCAATCAGAGCATCGCTTACCAGATTATGAAAGTGACAGTCGGAATGTGATTTCTAAACATGCAACCTCGAAAACTTTAACTCCGAACGATAGTTACGGGTTAATAACTGAATCCATACAATCTAGACCATCTATTAGCCATTCCAGAATGTTCTTTTGTTCAGGTTTCAAATTTGTAATCGAGAATATGTCAAAATATGTTTTGAAGCGTAGTCGCCAATTTAAAATTAGTGCTGTAAAGCACAAGAAAGCTGCCTTCTGATTGGTCATTCCATTGGTCGGTCACAGTTCTCACAAGGTCGGTCTAACGTGACCTGTAATGGGATGTCCTAAGATCTTTGTTTAGCTGTAGAGATAACTAAGATCTGATTATGAGATTGAAATTATTTCATGCATGATTTGAAAACACCTAGAACTGTTGACATACTGGCCCTTTAATGCAATATACAAGAATGGAAACAGAGCTCCAGATAAGCTGCGTATCTGCGTAAAATATGCATAAAACATGCCGAAATACGCAGTAAAATAAAATCCAAGTGTATCAAATACGCAACGAACATTACAGATACGCTACAAAAATAAAACTTGTGCATATCATCAAAATATTGTGAAGTAACCCTGCGTATTCGATTAGCAAATCAGCAACTTATTTTGAAATTATAAGTTGGCATTCCGTCAACCTTGCCAAACTCCACGATGACAGTTACATCATGATCATTTGCCATCACACTTTCTTGTGGAAGTATCGTGGTACTTTTTAGTCCTATAAAGCTCTCGAAACCACACAACACGAGTTTGCAGGGACTTGATGAATAGTGTTTTTAAATATTTAACTTAAATACCCACATGTGTAAAAACTAGTGGGTAACAGAAATTTGAATACCCAGATAGAATTACTGATACCCAATGATTTTAAAATGCATGGGTAAAATACCCATAACACCAAAAGCTTATCTGGAGCTCTGGGAAAATACCGCTCCTTTTTGTCATTCTCAGCCTTAAACATGCACCTAGTGATAAACGGGAACTGAATAAAACTGATAGAAAATATAAATATAGTAAACATTTTGATTTTGTTCAAAGAGGGCGGGTGAAATGAGGTTTTCACTGGTCTTAATGAATTTCAAAGGTTGCAAGTGTATTCTGGGTTTGAAATTTTCTTAAAATGAATGAAAATCGTGGCGAACATATTCTAAAGCGACTCCCTTGTCATAACAAGAGAGTGTAACTATGTTTAACCCACTGACAATTGTTGACAATAATAAGTCTATGCCACTATGAATCAAACTTGAATATTCTCCACCTCATGACCTGAGTTAGTTTTGTTTTGATCTATCATCTAGCCTACCTCTCGATATGCCTGTCACTCCGAAAGTGAATACGGGGTCGTCATCTTTTGAAGATTTAATGTCTGTCATTATCTGGTCTACTGTCGGTGGCTTTGGTCTCTCAGTTAGCCTGGATGTGCCTGACATTTTCATTTGGGCAAATATAGACGTACAGCTGTAGAACTACAACACACGTAGGTCTGGCAACGTTGTTCTCCAGTAAACCCGGAAACGTGGTTTCTGGGACAGCGCCACCTTTTGGCACAACTAAGGGAGATAAATATCATCCAACTAACACAAACTCGATCAACTATTGAGAATGCGCAGTCGTGAAAGTTCATCATCAAGGACTGAGTGAGTGAGTTAAAATTTAACGTCGCATCGGCATTATTTCAGACATATAGCGACGATACAAAGTTTGAAACATATTTGAGCATACTATATTTAAAAACAATTTATGAATATACATATTTGAGCATAACAATGTTATATATATACAGTTTTAAAGGACGGGCTATAGGCCACAAGTAACCAAAGCTAGGCCACCTTGTAAGGGATCATGGGGACTTACAGTACCCCGGCTTCCTGCATGATACCCCAGCAGGATTTACGTCATTACTTTAGCTACTGGTGGTTGTGCACAATGCTAGCCAATATTAAAAAATACTCATCTATGAGTTGGCTTAAAAACACTGGTTGATGATGATTACATCGATTATTATAGGATTACGTGTCACACAGGGGAACAATAATTTTACGGTACTTTAACCTCCTGGACAGAGCCTTCAATAATGTCAGTTAATAGTAGCATCACACCAAATTTAAAAACAAGCATTCAATTATTCACATACATATTTAAAATTTATTATACAGAACAATTTCTTTCAAGTAATTTATGATGAGATGCCCGCTGACACGGTAAAAAGAGATCTTTTAAATTTACACTTTAATAATGTGAATCCCTTGCGATTGCAAAGTCCACAATATATGCTTGAACCTTTCATCACAAGGGATACACTTCCATGAGGTTCGTCCTCATCTGTCTTAAGCAGATATCCGTGCACACGTAAACTGACTGTGGCCAATACGACATCGTCGTAAAACGACCTCGTCATGTCTTGACTGGCAACCCAAATAGGTTTGACCGATTGTTTGTTTTAATTCGTGAAGTTTATTGCTTCCTAGCTGGGTGTCCCACCTCTTTTGCATGAGATCCCGAGTATAACTTTTAAAAGTTGTTTAGAAATCGCTGTACGGGATAAGTAGTGGAGATAAGGGTTTGTCAAGAGCTGCTTTAAAGGGGCACTGATCTAACGCAATTCCCCGGGACTGGTTGTTGCCTTTGTTATTGTTTTTTCCCAGTGAGTACCCGGATGTATAGCAGAAATCTAGACTAGTTCGCGACCTCTGCTGCGCCTTTCGTAAGCGCATTAGTCGCTTTTATGGGTAGTAATAAGGGCGTATGGTCACATTGATGAACAAAATGAAATACAGTTTTCGAGATAATAAGGAAATGTAGGTATCTTTGTGGGTAGCATCGGTAATGGTGACGAAGTTTTGATAAGTCACTTGCTTGGTAATTTTGCGATTTTCGTTTACACTATTTTGACTTGCAACACAAAGTACATATTTCACCTGAGCATTGCTTTTTTTATAGTGTGTATTTTCTTTTATTGTCAAATGTGTAACGTCGTAATATTTAAACGTCTAAATATTCAGTTATTTTCAGTGACTGAAAAACATTTCCATCTGTATTATTATGATAACAAATTCCAAACATTTTGATGTTTAATGTCATCACCAAGAGATTGAAAATGTTACGTTGAGAAAAGTACATTTATATGTTGTTTGGCTTCTAATCCTACATAATAATCTGTTGTGATGTTTGTAGGCCCTTTTGATCGTCTCAATCAATCTGGAGAGATTTTTTAGTCAAAATGACTGAAATATTTACACATTTTATAAATTGCCTCAGAGAATCACATTTTACAAATTGACGGTAATATATACACGCTTACAAAGGAAAAGACCTGTGAAAACAACGTCTATCGCGCATTGAAGAATTTCCCAACCAAGACGAGGGGAAACAAGAACGAATCGGTTCAAATGAAGGAAAACAAAATGCAAATATCATAATTACAACCTACCAAATTTATGTGTATAAATTTTAGGCAGCTTCCTTGTTCGAGGAATGTATCCGTGAATATCCACACAAAGGAATAATATCCCACTCGTCTGCAGATGTACAAAGAAACTTATTCGATGTCACGTGTCTCAGTAACAATCAAATATTTTAAAAGATATATGTCGTTTCGGGATATTATAACCCGTGTTCGTTTCTCAACTGATCACTTGGATTGTTTCAGGTGTTTTACATAGGTGTCAAGTCTCAATGGTCGGCTGAGAAAGCCCACGTGACAACTGTTTTCATAACGTTCACGGTTCCTAAAAAATCCATTGAGTGATAGATAACAATGATCAATCAATCAACGTATTATAAGTTAACCCTCTGAACAAAGTATGTTGTTTTTACATCGGCACTTCACGCCATGGTATGAGTGTATTCCCTTTGTTTTAGTAAACCTAGACATGTAAACACTCACTCTTGACATATCCACTGTGCAAGATAACAGTGATTAATCAATCAACGTATTTTCTGTTAATCCTTTGATGACTAGGAACGATCCGTTGATTTACAAAAAAAGGTAAATCAACTGATCATTCATCTCTTGCTGGGCTGCCACGTGCATATTACATAACACACATTTCACCTCACTTCAAACCTGGATTTAGATTGAATAATTACCCCAGACACAATAAATGCCAAATGGGAAGCTTTGTCAGGTAATCTAACTGGTGCTACCACTAATTGTACCTGTAATAAATTCATTAACTGAGCATCAAGTGAATGACGACAAATACACAAGTGAAGGGTTATACGAGAAAACGTGGATGTCAACAAAGGAGTAGTAATCGTACTATCGACGCAAGCCGAAATCCGAAAATGCTTTCACTGCATGGATACTTTTTTTAGTATAAAACTATAACCATCTGGGGTATTTCCAAATGACGACATCCGATGAGCTCCGCTGTTCTTTTTGTCTGCTTGTTTAGGCTGAAGAAATGAATTAACATGCGGCCTTTGTCGAAATCTGTATAGATCACAGTTAACCAATCAGTGTATATGCAAAAATGCGTAAAACAAATATTGCCTCCAGCCTCCAAGTTTATTTAGCTGTCCTTGCAGACGGTAGCCCAGTTTCTGGTCACGCTCAGTTGCGTTGCGTATCATCCGGGTACTCACGGGGGAAAAAACAATAACAAAGGCAACAACCAGTCCGGGGAATTGCGTTAGATCAGTGCCCCTTTAACTGCAGCATCGGCTTTTGAGTTACCTGTTATGCCTACATGACTTGGTAACTAGCAAAAGACGATGTTGCATTGGCCAGTAGAAAGATCATTGAAAAGTTCTACAATGTCTAGGATTATAGGATGATTTGAAGAGACACTTTTAAGTGCCTGAAGGCATGACAATGAATCGGAGAAGATGATAACAAAATTAGATTGGTTTTGATGTTTGATATAGGTCAAAGCTGTAAAGATAGTTTTAGCCTCAGCAGTATAAATTGAACTAGATCTTGGATTCTTGAGGGGACAGTTCCGGATCCAATGACGGTGGCACTAGCAACTTTGCCACCATCCTTGGACCCGTCAGTAAAAATGGACCTGTGAGAGTGAGTGAGTGAGTATGGTTTTACGCCGCTTTTAGCAATATTCCAGCAATATCACGGCGGGGGACACCAGAAATGGCTTCACACATTGTACCCATGTCGGGAGGACCTGTGAGAATGATATTGAGTGCGCAATTGGTTGTACGCTTGTTGATAAAGCAAAGGATTTGTTTAGGATTTTTTTAGTTGGGATAGAGTGAGGTCTACCTCTGGCTTCACCATCTGCCAGGGAGGAGACCACAGAAGACGGTAAGAACCAAGCCCCAATCATAAAAGATTCATATAGTAGATTTGTATATTACAAAACTAGGCTAACAGAACCACAATAGTTGAATTAGCTTGAATTGACCTTGCTAAGCCTGCTAACTGACCCGAGGAGATCTCTTATTAACATCACGAGGTAGATTATGTTTAAAAGTGTTAGAGGTAATTTTTTTCAAGTTTCTTTTGAAAATGTATTCATCACTGTGTGCTTGTGAGAGAACTGATTCTGGCTTATCACCATAATTCAAATGTAACATTGGCACATGTCAAGGGTGTATCCTGAGTCCCCATATCTTTATAATGTTCATCAAGCAGTTTGCTAGCTACGACCTTGGAGGAGGAAGGTGAGAGAATCTTATGATTGTCATGAATACCATTAACGTATTGTTCAATAGCTAAAGAAACATGGTTTCACAAATTTTGGTTTACTTTACAAGACTTTACTTTACAAGATACACACATACAAATCGAATTAAACGATCAGGAATATATGTTATTGCATATCCCGCGCCGTAGTGTGTGCATGTTGATATAATAGGACACAAACGTACTAAAGCCTTCCAAAATGGTTTTGCACACATTAATCAAAGCTGACATCAGTTAACCATACTAAACACCGTTTCAAAATAAACATGATGTACTTACGAAACACACATTAGTGGTCGTATCTTGAGTGCCTAGGAATAGATAAGTTGGGTGAAATGGGGTTTAACCTCCCTCGAAGATTATTGCACTTATATCGATGTGCATGCACGTGTGTTTGTGTGTGTGTGTGTGTGTGTGCTTGTACTAGTTCAGACTGATGCCGATTTAAAGTGCTAGCCCACTGAGATACCATGCAGCAGTTTAACATGAATATCCCACTCAGACACAGTATACTGACTCCAAGCTGACCAGTCCTTGTTTCAGCTCCTTAATGACAGACGCCAGACAGGGTAACAACAAGTACAATCATTTCATGTCTTCTGGTGTGATGCGGTCGGGGATCGAACCCCAGACATTCCTGTCCCTGGGCAGACGCTCTACCACTAGACCTCGGAGGCGGTCACCAAAGTTACACCCTCTGCCTTCATCCTAGCTAGGATTTCATTTAATTATCTCAGAAGTACAAAACATACAACTGTAAGCAAGGAAAGAGGCTAGCTGACAGTCATATGAATGTTTCTTACAAGTTCCTACAATTCTTTCAAAGCCTTCCAAAAGTTTCAAATGTGACATTTCCACTGGCCTTAACCTAAGTCTTCCTTTATCCAGTCACACATGTGGGTTGACTGACATGATAAAAAAAACAACCTATTACCTCATCTCAGTAAGAACACAAAAAAACATAAGTTTTGTTCATAGGTATTCAATTTATTCATATTCAAACTGAATAGTTACACATCATATATATTAAAAAATTAAAAATCTACATATATTTTGATATTCAAGCAAAAAATCAGCCAGGCATGACCTTGACATTGTCACAGTTTGGTAAGACCTCTTGTATTTATGTACTGAGGTACCGTTTTCAGAATCACTAAAGATACACATTTCTTGTAAATGCAAAAATATTCACAAACAAAGTTTTTGTGCAATTCGCCAAGTCAATTCATAATAAACAACCCTTAAATGCTGGGAGACGACTGTTTATCAATAATAATTAGTTCAATGAATACATCATCAATTTCACAGCTTGGTGTTCCTTTTTATAATAATAATAAATAATAATAATGACAATAATATTAAAAATAATCATCCTCCTCATCATCATCATTATAACTAGGTAATGTATGGGGGCACATTTCTTCTACATTAATTAGTAGAGAATATTAAAATGTATTCCTTTGGACAAATGTTATACCAAGTCTGAAAACAAATCAAAAGTCGACTATCTTCATGGAAAAGAATACTTTCCTCGTTTAAGGGGGATATATATGACATTCCATATCAAAGTTCTCTCTATCTGGTTATACATCATATTCTAATTATGCTTCATATAACCTGAATAATTATGATTAATATTAACTCTGACAACATATTAATATAGAGAGGGAGAAAAATCAAGCAGACATGTTATCATGTAATCATAGGTTTATCGTTTGTTAATCCATATTTATATTCTCAATGTTATGTCAATACATCGTTCCAGAGTAAATAAAGAGTTAATTTTATGGTAAAAGTAACAAGATAACAAACATACCATTATGAATATATGCATATTATTTCATATTCTCCAAAATTTAATCTTTCAAGGAATAAATAGATATGTTGTTCAATAAGTCAAATATACTATCCATTTTAATATACTGAGCAAAGTTTGGATTAAATAGTTTGATAATTACATCTTATTATTATGATCTGGGAAATAAAGTCTCCATTGCATTAAAAAAAACACAAGTTCAGAGCATTGCACAAATTAAATAAAAGTACTATGAGATCTATGTATAAATAATGAACAGAGAAAAGTGGTGAAATAAAAAAATATATCTTACATGGAACCTAACATGCAATCATTCAACCATATGGAAACTAACCATGCAATTAAATAGCTGATATCAAATTCAGTTTATACATATACGTAACATATAAGAATATTCATATAGTATTTAATTCACTTTTCATTTTTTCATTTGATATTTTGAAGTTTTGAGTTGTTTTACAAAATATAGTATTAATATGTGTGTAAAGACAGTAAGGATATTCAGTATACTCTCAGAACCTAAAATATCAAAAATAGAGTGAAAAATACAATCAAATTTGTGATTAATTAATCTACAAAAGCACACAATTATTTTTGTTGTCATTGATTTTGTTTTTTTAAAAATCACAATCCTACTCTCCGACCAGACTGGCGCCATGGTAGTATCATGTGAGGGTAACACACCTCGCTGAATGCATGTACATTTCAAGTGTACAGGAATCATGAAGACGTAGTGAACAGGACACAGTGATAATATGAAAATAGAAATTCACAAACCAAGTGCTAAACCAACAGAGTGCCTGGTGTTAACTGGAGTAAAAACAAAAGATGCAAATATGTCCGACATCTTTTTCACGGGTTAATGATGTTTGACATAGAAATGATGAGGTCTGGATTGAAGCAAAGGATGGAGGTGTGGGTTTGAATAAAGGATGGGGGCGTGGGTTTGGATAAAGGATGGGGGCGTGGGTTTGGATAGAGAATGGGGGCGTGGGTTTGGATAAAGGATGGGGGTGTGGATCTAGCTGGATGTGTTTTGGTTTGGATAGAGGATGTGGGTGTGGATCTAGCTTGGGGTGTGGGTTTGGATAAAGGATGGGGGTGTGGATAAAGGATTGGGGGTGGGGGTGGATAAAGGATGGGAGTAGGTTTGATAAACGATGGGGGGGGGGGTGGATAAGGGATCGTTCTGGATTGGGACATGTAAATGATGATGGCAACGAAAAATATTTGTGCCTGTTCAAGAAAAAAGAAAACAAAGTAAAACAAGCTTGTGTACCGGTAAGATTTGTACAACGTTGAGCAAAGTAACTAAAAGCATGAATACACCCATGAGGAAGCCCTTGTCTGCTTTTGATAAATTCTAGATAAGAGTTGGAGGATATATTACTGGACAAGAGGGATTCAATGATTTGGGTTTAACACCACTTTTAACAGTATTCCAGTTATATCACGCTGTGCCAGCTTAAAGTGGGCGGAAAGTCCAAAGTGATGCAGGTCTCAAACCCATAAGCAGGGGTATTGTGCTGACAAATGTAGAAACAAAATGGGGCGAGCCAGAATTTGAACCTCTGAACATAGGATTCTGGCGGGTCCAAGGGATGCAACTCTGCACAGTGAACAGTTTCATTACTCACCTTGATCATTCTTTTGTCCTTATAAGAATTCGGCTAATGGTGCTTATTTCAACCCAAGTATTTTCCAGAAAATACAAACATTTATGAAACATATATGAACTGGACAACATAATAGAATGCTGAAAACTCAAATTCATAACGATCTACAGCCACACAACTATTGGTGAAGGACCTTCTACATCAAATCTGAAGGAGTTGGGGAAACAGGCAGTTGACGAGTGAGTCCAAGGATGCAAATTGGCACTACCCATGACCAGCTACACCGAGCTAGATTCTGTAATGTAAACCATATCCAGATGGCTTATTTCCAGCTTTTTAAGGGTCGTCTTCATATGTTGTTAGTTGTTACTATTCGGCCTTGGCAATGTTTCAGGATAGGTTGCATCCCTGAAGGGCTTGTGACTTACGCCTCAACCAATTGAGCACCATATTCATGAGCATGTTATCATCCTTGACAGAATCAAACTCAGAATAGATGTCAGTGAACAGGAGGCACTACCGGTACCAACTAAGCTACCCAACAACTCCGGTTGGTTCATCTCTTTTCTATGCCACTAGAATCACTGATCGACTTAGTTTGATATAAGACTCATAATCTGGAATTTGAACCCACTAGCAGCAAATCCTGACATAGCCAAGGGACACAACTCACAGAAGACTTGATGCAGTCGATCCAAGGCACGGTGTGGGAGAACAAAAGGCCCTAGTCAATAAGGATGTTGTAACACAGACAAGGGATTCCACAAGGTTTCAACATCAAGAGTCAAGTGTGACTGTCAACACATATACATCAGCACAGAAATAGCACAGTGGGAATCACAGACAATATTATCATAGTTTGAGCACACATTGTCAACTTGATAATAGATACAATACATTTAATTTTCATCACTCCATTTTTCCAAATATCAGTGGTCTGCCCTTAATCGTAATCTAATTTTACATGATTTTTAGCAATTATGGTCTTATAAACCTTTTGCGAACACCTGGTGTCATCGCAGAGGTTTATAGATCCACTTGCTAATTGTTGCCACTATTTGGCATTTTACGCCCAATTGAATCTGTTTTGGAGGATAATCGAGACTGGTTATCATTGGTGTTGATGTTTTATATTTACTCTGCTTTAAGCACTTATCACCAGTCTAACAACAGACAGCAAGAGGGAGAACACACTGTACCCCATACAGCAATCAAACTCAGTCCTTTGGGTTGTAGTGAGTGAGTATGGTTTTACGCCGCTTTTAGCAATATTCCAGCAATATCACAGCGGGGGACACCAGAAATGGGCTTCACACATTGTACCCATGTCGGGAATCGAACCTGGGTCTTCGGCATAACGAGCGAACGCTTTAACCACTAGGCTACCCGACCGCCCCCCTTTGGGTTGTAAGTGAAGGTTGTATCAAATAGGCTTACTTCTGCTGACATCATGATATCCCAGAAGGGGATACAAACTGATCAGCTGATGACATGGCAACTCAGTAATCAACAGTATGGGAGGAACAAGCATAATGAGACTATAAAATAGTATACAGATTACCTAGCATTGAGACATGTCTTCAGTAATGGGATTCTATTTCCCTTGTGCATTAGGACTTTGAATATCAAAATATACTTTTTGACATAAAATATAAATTAATGACTGAACCCAATTCAATTTATCATGAGAATAGGTTCGAATAGTAGGTGAACTATTCAGATTCCGGGCTACAAATTACATATTTAAAAAGAAATTAGCACAATAAGACAATATGTACATGCAGTTTTCATTTCAATGTTGTGGACTTCTGAAATATCAAGCTAGTAATACTGATTAAACAGGTGGACATAATTTCAAAGAAATTAATTCAAGAATCTAATCCACATTCCTGAAAGAAAATAGAGAAGTGTATGAAAATAGCCCTGGTTATGATCACAATTATCAACACTTGTACATTGCAAAGATGTTTGTGTTAATTTCAGTACTGACAGTAATAGAACAACGTGCATTTCAGTTGACACAAATAGAGTACAAACAACAATATCTTACAATATTTCACAAAGATACCAATACGGAAGACAATTCATAAATAACACTCAGAGACAAACTTTCAACGCCATTGACAGAAATTTCTATTTCATTTTGAAAATATACTTCAGTAACAAGTTTGAGGAACTGAAGATGCAAGGTTCTGATAACTGTGCTAACAACTGCACCATCATTGTGCATAAAATCTCCTGCAGTTTCTGTGTAACATGTAATCTATTCAGCAGTGACAGGCGATAGCTAAAGCTATTTGTGTTGGTTGTCATATTTAGTATAAAGGTCATACATATTACAAAAACACTGTGTGATATGAATAAAATATTCAATTCTTTTTGATAATCCTCAGTTTTGGAGCATGAGGTAGGCATGGTATATCATTACTCCCTAAAAGTAAGAAGAGGCAGGAAAATGGTCAAACCTACTGTGACTCAAATATTTCAAGTTTTAATCTAATAATGTACTACCACAGAATAGACTCTTAAGCCACTTTTTGATACATTCAGCAATATCCTGGTAGGGAACAGCAGAGTTTGGCGATGACCATATTCATGAGGGGAACCGAACCCAGGTCTTTGGGGTGATGAGCAAATGCTTTAACCACTAGACTACCAGTACACCCATAATGATAAACGCAAAGCAAATATAGGCCAAGTTTTCATGATTACTGATGCTGAGCCACTTGTTTTCCCTATATGCTGGTACATTTACATCTACTGTTTCTTTCTTATTGTCCTTTATTCTTGTGAGCAAAAAGTCAAGACATCAAAGAAATATAAAGTTGAATTAATTTCAGTGTTGACTGATAGTGATATTTCATACTATTTGTAAAATATTAACGAATGTCATATAGACAAGACTCTTAAAACTAGGGTTACAAACTATCTGATCTTGAGAAAAACTGTTTATTGTTTCAACACAAACGAGGGCACAATTCCACAATCAATCTGACAAAGGTGATTGAGTGTAGCTCCCATACAACACTGCCTAACAGCAGTCGGTGCACTAAAATCACTCTTTCATCAATTAATAAATTGGGACCGGAAAACAAAACTCCTTAAACTCCTTGTAGATGAGATGTATATGTACAATCTGATAATATTTCATCTATATTCCCTGAACTTTGCAGTTTCATTATGAAAGAATGACTTGCAGACATTTTCCCACCTCAACTTCCTGATAAGGTTAGCTAACTACTAAACATTGCATTGTGACTCGAGAAATATGCAGAAATGGCAAAACTATACTATAACTACTATATATATGTAGTCTCTACAATGCTGTTTCATCTCAAGGGTTATGGTGAATGCTGATTCATTATGAGATTGTGACCTGCAAGATTATACTCAAGGCACTAAATAAGGGAACAAACATATCACACATGATACTGAGACTTTTGCTTTAAATTTTCATTCTTCCTAAATATTCTAAACATATTTCAGTTTTAAAAATTGAAAGATCAATATTAAGGGCAAAATTGTCCCTTTGTGCTAAAAATAGGTTTAAAAAATTCTCCATTCAATGCAGATCAATGCTAGTTCCCTTATTTTTTGCCATGAGTATTTTTAAAAACTATCTGTGATCAACACTAGTCGTTGACATCGCTATATAAAGGTCGATGTAGAAGAGATTGACTGAATCAGATTTCTTTTAAGGATGTGAATCTACAGCAGAAACTCAAACACAGCAAGACCTTGTTAATCTGGACGTATTGTTGAAGTGCAATCATCACAATTTACTAACTTCCACACTTACATGTTGGTGTGCATGGAACATAACAATACCTGTCCAGAATGCCAGATTTCCAGATTAACGGAGGTTTACTGTATGGTACTGGTTTCCTTCTAGACTAGAATAGCACTGGTACTTAATCAATATACCTGTCTTAAAGCTTCGTTCTTTAAGAAAAACGATCATTTTAATGATGAAAGGTGAGAAAGGAACCTTCTCATACCCTTCAAACTTTACCCACCACACTCAATGCCAGGGGACTAATCTTAAAATGGTTTTGGAGATGGAATTCATGTATCCCCTTTTCTGAAATAAAACATGGAAGTCAAGGGATCCTTGACATGACCCTAGAGTTAAACGATTTTGGGGTCTCTACATTCAAACACAACTGTAGGCCACAAGGACCTCCCTTAATTCAACGCTGTTCAATATCTAACTATTTCCAGTATATTTTGGTAGACAAGTATTCCTTGGCTTGCTGTATAAAGGTTGTTGGCAGACAGAAAATGGAGACTTGTTTAGCACCGATAGCAATAATGCATAACATTCACTCTTTCTAGCTAAGGTTTCACTGAAGTAACAGTTGCTTACCGCCCTTGCTTATGTACAGCTACCCTGAGTGTCCAAAGTGTGACTTGTGTTAAGTCTACTACTCTTTCTCATACATGCGTACAGTCCTATTCATTTTCTTCTTAACACTTGCTCAATACATTAGTTTTTAAGGATAAACAAAAGTTCCTTATTAATCATAGTTGGATAAATGAGAACTCAGAACTTCAGAACATTTAGCAGAGGTCATCTGGTGCAATCTATGGGGCGAGTACGAGACTCACAGTCAGAACTGACAAATGACCTTCACCTTCCTAACATCTGGTGTGCAAGTTGGGGTGAAGGCCACTTTGAACAGTATTTCAGTGACATCACAGCGTGTACGCTTGATGTGGGAGGAATGCACAAAGTGATGAAGGGTCTTAGACGTTTACCACTTTGAAAACACCCATCGGTATGTAGTCAGAATCATAATCAGGATAAAACAATCCTAGGATTCTGGCACACCAAAGGGATGCAACTCTGCACAGTGAATTGTAACATCTTAGGCAACTGGGCCATCTTTTTCCCTAACATAATGAACTTGGAACAATTATTAAACATAAATGACTTGTGTTTTACATTATTTCAGATATAGCATGACATGTCAGCTTAATGTGGAAGGAAGGAAAAGCAAAAAGTAAAAAGCTCTAAAGGTTCGCCACATACGAGGAAGAACTTGGATTTTCATGGAAAATTTCAGGAATGGAAGTTGATTTTTTTCACAAGGAAATGGTAATGTCTTCACACTGTACTATCAACCAAGGTTGCTTCAATAGAATGCTGCGTAATTATTTTCAGTTTAAAAATTCTTTTCGAACTACAATCCCATATTTATTATGCTGTTACAACACTAGACAACTATTACGAATGTTCAACAGCATACACCAATTATAAACTTACATCCATTTACTGACTGACACTTTAGGACAGACGTAGTTACGGTATTGTTAACCTATTTTACTCAAGTAATAGACCTTATTGACTCACTTAGTCATGAGTACTGGGGTTGAAAGGTGCATCATTCACTGCACTTATGCTCAGGACATAATCGATACTGCTTTTGTCAAATTGATACAGGAAAATCTTCATTGACTGATATGTCAAATCAATGAGTGAGAGTGATGCTGCATAGATGTTTAAAACTATATTGAAACTTATCATCGCTGTTTCTGTGCAGCCAAACCTAATATCCTGACTGGCCGAATCTGGAATTCGAACACATGGCCACAATCCTGGCACAACTAAGGGACAGAACTCTGTACAGATTACTATTGAATCATGTTATCAATGTTAATGCAATTTTTTACTGGTGTTCTTTGTACACATCTTTCTATAAATTAACATGGTTCAAATAAGGCCACACAATTTTTATTTTTTGTTACACAGGCCTACCGCCCCTATTGAAAAGCAGCCAGTCCAAGAACAAAATTAAACATAATAATATTTATTATTGTCTCCTGCTAGTTAAATAGACCCTCCATTACAATAAAAAATGTTATATATAAATTCCATGTCTACATCACTGTCAGTGATTCAAAAAGTCAGCTGCAGTTTTAACTCCATGGCAGAATTGCTTTCATATAAATAAATAAATGATATGATTGGCATAGCTATTTAATTTTATTTATATTTCAACAGACCTTGTGTGGAAAAGCTGGAAGAAATCTGTGAAACATAAAATTAAAAAAGTGTGGCCTAAACATGGACACAATCATTCCTTGAATTTCATATTTCTGAATTTGATGTGTTTAAAACAATCACTGCCTAAACTGCCAAACTAGCAGTATCTAAAAACTCCTTTCAAAACCAACCTACATCTTCTAAAAAATATGTGAATCATTTGGTATTGATAGCTGTTCTTACGGTATTATCCTCATGTCAGAGCACAAAATATTGAAGGGCACCAAATCTTGGATGAATAATTCAACACCAACAAACATCAGGGTAACATATTAGTCTTAAAAGCACAATCAATTTACACCTTACCTTACATGCAATAATCATTTCGAATAAAGTAATCATTAAAAGTATTGTGATAACATATGTTTATGATTTATAAAACAAGGTTTCATCCTTACCTGTATAAAGGTAGTATTCCTACCTCTTATCACCAGGTACAATTCCAGCAAAATGGTATCTTAAAATCTAAAATAATCTAAGACCAGATCTCTATCTGTCATGGCACATTGTAAACATAGGAAAACAGGAATATGATAAAAGCACTGTTGATTCTAACACCTGAAACTTCAAATCAACGATAACACAACAACACACACAACAAAACAGACAGACAAACAAACAAACAAACAAATATCTTCAAACAAACACACTGACTAGAAACATTCTGGAACTTTCATCACTTTAAACAATAATCAACAAAACATATCACACGACACATGTCAACTTCACATACAAAGCATGTAAAAAACATGACAGTCACACGTAACCATGGTAACAAATAATGGAAGATACATCATGATTTCATTCAATTGATGAACTCCTCCACTGCTTACAGCTTCAAGGTAACATCATCCATTTTTGAGTATTAACTGTAATATGACATCAATGATTGGGTTTCACCGTTAGATCATAGGTGTGTAACGATACGGTGGGATCACGATACGTTACGAATCTCAATGCTATGAGTGCGATACGATTCGTATCCAATCACGCCCCTGAGTCATTTGTGTTAAAATTTCCGAGATCAAAGATCCAATATTGTAGGGCAGAAACATATAGAGGGTACTGTGACGGTTATGCTATTTATAGCCATCCTGCAAACACTACAGAATCTGCCTAAGCTGTTTGTTGAACTGATTCTGTTTATTATTTACGTTTTTACATTAATATGACTTGTAATGTTATGTATCATGTATACATGGGTTGTAAATCGATGTATTGTACCATGAACCTTGTAACATAATACAATACTGTATTGCCATATCGTTACACCACTATTAGATCAATTGTCCTCTCTATTATTCCACAAAAGCGATCAAACTAATACTATGCACTGAAAAAAAGCAGAATTCAGGCACTGTATAGAAGGTGAAAATCATCTGCTTATGTCTTGTTCTTATGACGATCTTTTTATGCCATTTTTGTAGAATTGTATATCTATATGCTTTTTGGAGTCAGTTTCTCTGATCAGAAACTAATTTTGACTGCTTTTCATGAGATCAGTGTATGTTAATATTCACGAGGAAATGGTTCAACACTCAAAAGGCTATACGTGTTATGGTCTTGCTTCTGGTTCCAAGAAATGTGGAAACAAGTATCCATGAAGGGGTGATGTTTGTTGTGCCAATGATGGAAGCAGTGAAGATGTTGAAGGACATTCTCACAACGTGTCATCTCATCACTAACACTCTTGTGTTCACATATTGCACATTGCCAAATACTACAAGCTTAGTTTCTTTCCTCGACGCTTCCCTTTCCGCCTGAGGGTGAGAGTTTCATGTTCTGCACGGGTTCGCACCACAAACTTCAGATCAATACTGCTATTCAAGGCATAGAAGACATTAGATCTCTCCGGTATCAAAAGTTCTGAAAAGGAAAAGGATGGAATATCAAAGTGTGTTATCAGCAACATCATGTCATGGACTAACACTATGAAAAACACCTCATCCCAATAATACCTACCCACCACCCAGCCGCCTGACTGACACTCTTCCCACCTCATCCCTGGGACTGACACCAGTCCACCCCACCTGACTAACACTCTTCCCCACCTCTTCCAATGGACAGACACCAGCCCACCACTCCACCCCACCCGACTGACACTCTTCCCACCTCATCCCTGGGACTGACACCAGTCCACCCCACCTGACTAACGCTCTTCCCAACCTCTTCTAATGGACTGACACCAGCCCACCACTCCCCACCTGACTGACACTCTGCCCCACTTCAGACTGACACCAGTCCACCCCCACCTGACTAACACTCTTCCCCACCTCATCCCTGGGACAGACACTCTTCCCACCTCATCCCTGGGACTGACACCAGTCCACCCCACCTGACTAACACTCTTCCCCACCTCTTCCAATGGACAGACACCAGCCCACCACTCTACCCCACCTGACTGACACTCTTCCCACCTCATCCCTGGGACTGACACCAGCCCACCACTCCACCCCACCTGACTAACACTCTTCCCAACCTCATCCAATGGACTGACACCAGCCCACCCCACCTGACTAACACTCTTCCCCACCTCATCCAATGGACTGACACCAGCCCACCACTCCACCCCACCTGACTGACACCTGCCCACCACTCCACCCCACCTGACTGAAACTGTGCCCCACTTCATCCCATGGACTGACCCTCTTTCCCACCTCATCCCTGGGACTGACACCAGCCCACCACTCCACCCCACCTGACTAACACTCTTCCCAACCTCATCCAATGGACTGACACCAGTCCACCACTCCACCCCACCTGACTGACACTCTGCCCCACCTCATCCCTGGGACAGACCCTCTTCCCCACCTTATCCCTGGGACTGACACCAGCCCACCACTCCACCCCACCTGACTAACACTCTTCCCCACCTCATCCAATGGACTGACACCAGCCCACCACTCCACACCACCTGACTGACACTCTTCCCCACCTCATCCAATGGACTGACACCAGCCCACCACTCCACACCACCTGACTGACGCTCTTCCCCACCTCATCCAATGGACTGACACCAGCCCACCGCTCCACCCCACCTGACTGACACTCTGCCCCACCTCATCCAATGGACTGACACCAGCCCACCACTCCACCCCACCTGACTGACACTCTGCCCCACCTCATCCAATGGACTGACACCAGCCCACCACTCCATCCCACCTGACTGACCCTCTGCCCCACCTCATCCAATGGACTGACACCAGCCCACCACTCCACCCCACCTGACTGACACTCTGCCCCACCTCATCCCTGGGACAGACCCTCTTCCCCACCTTATCCCTGGGAGTGACACCTTCTTTCCCACCTCATCCCATGGACTGACAACCCAAATGCCCTTCCCCCATCCCATGGACTGACACCACCCCACTCACATGCTGACACACAGCAGCCCAACCCCACCATTCCATCCACTGATGACCAGCCTATGCTCCTCCCTCATCATATAGAATGACCCCTATGAGCCTGCCCCTTATTGGGTGACCCTGCCCTGGTCCCTCACCTCCTCCGTCCGGCAATATCTGCAGTAGACAGTAGTCTTCAGGCTGGCCTTCCAGGGAGTACTTCTCCAGGACCTTCTGTATCACTGTGTTGGTATGGTCAGTGTTACACAGCTGCAAGAAGCAGAGCATCACAATTACACACAGCCAAAGAGATCATCTATTATTTTATATCTTGAGGGACCAAATAAAATTCCAGAATAACGCTTGGCCCCTAACTGGCTTTTAAGAAGCTTTATTATAACAAAGACAGGATTGATTGATTGATTGATTTGGGTTTAACGCCACTTTTATTAGTATTCCAGTTATATCATGGCGTGTCAGCTTAATGTGGGAGGAAAGCCCAAAGTGATGCAGGTCTGGGACATTAACCACTTCGGCGCAAAACCACGAGCACAGGTATGGTGCTGACAAACCTAGAAACATAATCAGGGTGAACCGGGATTCGAACCCACAATCATAGGTTTCTGGCGTGCCCAAGGGAAGCAACTCTGCACAGCGAATCGCGGTGCCTAAGACGACAGGGCCACTCATGCCCCCTATATGGGATTGAAGATCGCCAGTCCGTCTGTAGAAAAACATGGGGACCACTAGTTCTGCTTGTCTTTTGCAAATACCAAACACTGCTTGGTTTTGTTGCTTCACTAGTATTATATCAATTGATATACAACTTTTATGAGATTTTTGATCGATTAAGATAAACAGTTTTAAAATTACGCAAAACAGATTTTTATGAACCTTCAATGTTAATCTTCTAGATAAACATTTGACTCATCTTTTAATAGGTTTTTTTAGCTGTCTTTTACACTGAACAGTATACCCCATCAGGACCTTTACATAACATTATTATCAGGATAAGGATTAGTGACCATTTCTGTGAGACCATCACAGTGTGACATCATAACAAGCCATTGTCCCAAAGAAATAATGGAACATAAGCTCATCCATTGCTTATGACATCACATTTAGTCTTATGTCAAGTTGTTCCAACGTAAGACAGATACAGATGATGTCTACACATGTGATCCGATGCAACCAGTCCTTGTTTTAACCCCTTTATTCCAAGTACCAGGCAGGGTAACAAGGACCATCTTATAACGTCTTTTGGTATGACGCGGCCGGGAAACGAACCCCCGACCTTTCCCTCTCCGGGCAGACGCTTTACCACTAGACCACACAAGCATTGTTGTTGTTGCTTTTAGTGTTAAAGAGGTCGCCTTCTGCTATAGCAATTTCGGCTGACCTGTCCCTTTTTGGGACCCATGTGTGTGAGTTGGGTACACATTTCTATTGTGAGTTTTAGTATTAAAAAAATATTCTGGTTTTTTATTGATATGATTTCTATTATTGTATACTGATATGATTTCATTTTTATCTTTGGCTGCTTTGTTTAAATACACTCGAGTAGCTGTCCATCTCTCAGAAAAAGAGTTAGTTTGGCCTTTGCTATTGCATCTCTTGGCTTTAGGAGATCTATGACAGATAGTGGATCTAACTGCAATTCTTGTTTTAACCAAGCCCAGGCTGGAGCATGGTCCACACAAGCACTGACCATTATGCTCTTGTAGATGTGGGTGCTGGCCTGGTCACTGGGCTCCAGACTGACGCGGATCACATAGGTGTCACAGGACCTGTAGGGGGAGGGGGAGGTGTCACTGTCGGAGGAGATCACAGACGATGTTGACGAGGAATGAGACATCTGAAATAGACAATGTCGAGGAAGCTGTAGACATTCTACCCATCCAAGTTTGTTTTTCATTCATTACTTGCAGTACTAATCTGGAAGAATATTTTGTGAACTAACCAATAATAAACAGAAGGCCCTACATAAAAAAATATCTGCCTACAAAGAAACTGTACAACAAATACCATGTTTACATAAGAACCTATCAGTATTTTGTTTGAGACAGTTGCAAAGAGATGACATTACAATAACTAGAAAGTTCTAATTTGGTTTCTAAACTATCTGAGAACATGATATATTACTAGCTACAAGCTGATTCATTTCAAGTCATGTCATAAATGTTATCATTGTGTTGAGGTAGTGGATGGCATAAGATATGGAAGATGACATGATCAATGATCAGTCAAAGACAGGATGACATATCAGCTGAACAACTAGCAGTGACTATTAGGCCGACAAGGGATATTTAGACAAGACAGTCCCCAGCTCTGTTCTCAGAGATCAAACATGAAGGGTTACCCACACAACATGGTGACTGAACCGTAGATGAGGTAGGGAGATTTCAATGATTGTGACTTCGCCACTTGTCCAAAACTGACTTGTCCCATTGACCTACTGATGATCAAGCAAGGTAGATTTCAGTAAGAAAATGACCTGATGACCAAGCTAGGGACATCTCAGTAAGATAATGACCTATCAAAGGCCAAGCTAGGGAGACTTCAGTTAGTAAATGACCTAATAGACCAAGGTAGTTGTATCTCAGAGAGAAGATGACCTAACGACGACCAAGCTGGGGACGTCTCTGTAAGTCAATGATCTACCGACGACCAAGCTAGGGACGTCTCAGTAAGTCGATGACCTACCAATGACCAAGCTAGGGACATCTTAGTAAGTCAATGATCTACCAATGACCAAGCTAGGGACGTCTCAGTAAGTCGATGACCTACCAATGACCAAGCTAGGGACGTCTCAGTAAGTCGATGATCTACCAATGACCAATCTAGGACATCTCAGTAAGTTGATGACCTACCAATGACCAAGCTAGGGACGTCTCAGTAAGTTGATGACCTACCAATGACCAAGCTAGGGACGTCTCAGTAAGTTGATGACCTACCAATGACCAAGCCAGGGACATCTCAGTAAGTTGATGATCTACCAATGACCAAGCTAGGGACATCTCAGTAAGTCGATGACCTACCAATGACCAAGCTAGGGACGTCTCAGTAAGTTGATGACCTACCAATGACCAAGCCAGGGACATCTCAGTAAGTCGATGACCTACCAATGACCAAGCTAGGGACATCTCAGTAAGTCGATGACCTACCAATGACCAAGCCAGGGACATCTCAGTAAGTCGATGACCTACCAATGACTAAGCTAGGGACATCTCAGTAAGTCGATGGCCTACCAATGACTAATCTAGGGACATCTCAGTAAGTTGATGACCTACCAATGACTAATCTAGGGACGTCTCAGTAAGTTGATGACCTACCAAGGACTAATCTAGGGACATCTCAGTAAGTTGATGACCTACCAATGACTAATCTAGGGACATCTCAGTAAGTTGATGATCTACCAATGACTAATCTAGGGACATCTCAGTATGTTGATGACCTACCAATGACTAATCTAGGGACGTCTCAGTAAGTCGATGGCCTACCAATGACTAATCTAGGGACATCTCAGTAAGTTGATGACCTACCAATGACTAATCTAGGGATGTCTCAGTAAGTCGATGGCCTACCAATGACTAAGCTAGGGACGTCTCAGTAAGTCGGTGGCCTACCAATGACCAAGCTAGGGACGTCTCAGTAAGTTAATGACCTACCAATGACCAAGCTAAGGACATCTCAGTAAGTCGATGGCCTACCAATGCCAAATTATAGGGACATCTCAGTAAGTCGATTGCCTACCAATGACTAATCTAGGGACATCTCAGTAAGTTGATGACCTACCAATGACCAAGCTAGGGACGTCTCAGTAAGTCGATGACCTACCAATGACCAATCTAGGGACGTCTCAGTAAGTCGATGGCCTACCAATGACTAATCTAGGGACATCTCAGTATGTTGATGACGTACCAATGACTAATCTAGGGACATCTCAGTAAGTCAATGACCTACCAATGACCAAGCTAAGGACATCTCAGTAAGTCGATGGCCTACCAATGACTAATCTAGGGACATCTCAGTAAGTCGATTGCCTACCAATGACTAATCTAGGGACATCTTAGTAAGTTGATGACCTACCAATGACCAAGCTAGGGACGTCTCAGTAAGTCGATGACCTACCAATGACCAAGCTAGGGACATCTCAGTAAGTTGATGACCTACCAATGACAAATCTAGAGACATCTCAGTAAGTTGATGACCTACCAATGACCAAGCTAGGGACGTCTCAGTAAGTCGATGACCTACCAATGACCAAGCTAGGGACGTCTCAGTAAGTTGATGACCTACCAATGACCAAGCTAGGGACGTCTCAGTAAGTCGATGACCTACCAATGACCAAGCCGGTGAGAAGATGACATGTCAGGATGATGTACCTGTGACCTGTAAAAGGAGATCCCTATGACAGCAGGACCTACCATTGGCCGTGCTAGGGAGATCTCGGAGAGAAGATGACCTACCAGTGGCCCAGCTAGGGAGGCTGTGATGGTGTCGGGAATACTGGAGAGACTACTTCTGTCCTCTAGCCCACATGCAAACAAACCAAATTTGCTGCTGTCAAATTTGGCAGGCTTGTGACCTAGACTGAAAAACACAGAAGATATCATTATACACTGTACATACATGTATTTACAATCTGTAAATCATATTGGTCAATTGCGACCAAAAGTGAGTGAGATGGGGTAAACGCCCCTTTGAACAGTCTTTCAGTTGAATCACAACTTCATCTGAGAGGAAATCCCAACGTGATATCTACCACTTTGGTAAAGCTCACCAGCACAAGAATCATAATCATAGTGAATGTGGCATTCAAACCCACAAAAATTGGATTCTAGCATGACTAAATGAATGAAATAATATTGAAGGTAAATGGAAAAAATATTTCTGTAAACTAGATGACTTAATTCTACTAGTTCATATCAGAATACCACAAATTCCTGCTTGATGTCATCATATTGGTAAACGAAATAAATGTAAGTAGATTATTGTTGTCAAAAGACCTTCATGCAACAAGCCAAACATCTGAACTTGACCTTCTCATTTTGAGTTCCAACGTAATATTTGAGCTTCTCTTTAACAGAAATCCATTTGACCATGCCATGGTTACTATACATGAAAGGCCACACCCAGACCCTTTCTATCTCTCCACCCTTCTGTAACTCCAGCCCAACTAAACATGAGTCCTCTTTATCTCACCAAACTAGCAGACTAGTGTGAAAATCAATGGCTGCAATGTCTCTGGCTGATCTGTGGTTACAGGCACAGACCTATTGACCTTACCCAAGGAACACACTCACATCGTCCAACCCTAGCTAAGTTTGGTAAGACCAACTTTGTCAAAACAATTATCAGTAATCTTAGTCATTGTTAGGCATTTAGAAGTTGAAAGACATGATTTTCTTTATGGATAACAATACCATGTCAATACACATGATGAAGAGTGAGTGAGTGAGTATGGTTTTATGCTGCTTTTAGCAATATTCCAGCAATATCATGGCGGGGGACACCAGAAATGGCTTCACACATTGCACCCATGTCGGGAATCGAACCCGGGTTTTCGGCATGACAAGCGAACACTTTAACCACTAGGCTACCCGACCGCCCCTTTAAGGCAAGAAGTTGCCCTGAATCATTACAGACAACAAAGAAGTTGTTACCATAAAAAGTTTCATATCTTCTATCTGTGAACTGGAGAGTAAGGGAGTGAGATGGATTAAATGTCACTTTGAACAGGATATAAGTAACAGCGTGTCAGCTTCATGTGGGAGAAAAGCTCTAAGTGACACAAGTCTTAGACTGTGGTGAAACCCATGAGCACGTGTATGATGCTGATAAACCCAGAAATATAATCAGGCCGTGATCTGAGACCTGTCACTTAATAGGAATAGGGAATGGTTACCACGAACCCTGACACGTTCAGCATGAGGTTCATACAAGGAATAGTGGGGTCTGTGGATGTCATGATTCATCGATATATATCCAAGCATTGCGAAATCTCCTGATGATACGACACCTAGCAATGTTTTATTTCTGTATCAACATCTTAAAGTAACATTTAACATTTAATGTGTAAGATGAGCGAAAATCTGCCCCAGTAACAACCATGACTACAGGGGCTGCCGTTACCTTACCGCCTACCATGCAAAGAATGACTTCATATGACTAACAGAACAAGCCTAAATTACTAAACTGACCTATCATGATACACAAACTGGTCTAATTAACACCATCTTGTTAGCTGGGACACATGAAACATGGAGAATTCACACACATAACTATCATGAATCATGTATCAAGATGTGTAGCAATACGTGAGGTAGATGTTTCGTTACTTCCCTAGGGGCATGCTAAAAGAACATGTAGGGTTGGTCACAAAATTGACATATGTGGGAAAGGTAATCTGTTCGTGCTTTTGCTCATAGTTCATTATGGCTCCCTATAAAAGAACATTACAAAGAAATCACAAAGTGTACAATACTTTCATGAAGGGATTAGTAAACTTACATTTTCAAATGCAGGACAATATTTATCATCACATCATAATAACACAAAGACCATAAAATAGTTACAACAAATGCAATCTAATAAAGCTAACATTACAATAAACATAAGGATACACAGTCCTCAATCAGTTTCTGAAAACAAGAAGAGACACAACAAAGGCATAGCGTGACACTCGGTGAGGGTTAGACGAAGTAATTATTACAGTACATATTTCGCAGGCCAAGACCACATCTTTAGTTCACACTGTTTGTTTGTTGTTTGATACCGCACTCAGCAATATTCCAGCAATATGATGGCGTCAGTGAATAATTGAGTCTGGACTGGACAATCCAGTGATTGACATCATGAGCATTGATCCACACAATTGGGATACGATGACATGCATCAACCAAGTCAGTGAGCCTGATCACCCGATCCCGTTAGTTGCCTCTTACGACAAGCATGGCTGCCTTTTGCGGCAAGCATAGGTTGCTGAAGACCTATTCTACCCCGGATCTTCCTGGGTCTTAGTTCACACAGACATCCTTTATAACTGAGGTTGGAATTGTATTGTTTGGCAGTATTTCAACCATATCACAGAGCATCAGTTTAATGCTGAGGTGAGTGAGGTTTAATGCTGCTTTGAACAGTATTCCTGTTATATATCATGGCATGTCAGCTTGATGAGGGAGGAAAACCCAAAGTGATGCAGGTCTTAGATGTTTACCACTTTGGTGAAACCCACTAGCATGGGTATGATGCTGACAAACACTGAAACATCATCAAGGTGAACCAGGATTTAAAGCTACGATCATAGGTTTCGGGCTTGCGCAAGGGCAAGACTCTGAACAGAGAATTGCTGCGCCTTTGCTGCTAGGCCACCCGTGTCCCAAATATGGGAGGAAGAAGTATTGCAGGTTATAGGCATGTACCAGTGAAACCTACAAACACGGTCTGATGCTGACAGACCAGGATCACGATCATGCTGAATCAGGAGTTCAAACACACCACAGTGAAGTTAACTAATCCTGCTCAGAAGTCCAAAGACTGCAGCCAATATCAACACAAATTCCCATGTATATACAACCAATGATAACCAATATTATTGCTTTGTGGAGGATACTTGCATTTCACTGGTAACAGGACCAATAAAGAGGATAAAAAAAGGCCTTAGTGTTTAGTCATTGAATGCAATGTTGAAATACCTTCTATTTGAGAAAATAAAATCTTTAACAAAATTCCCTATTTTGACAAAGAATTTTGAGTTTTTTCCAGTTTTCCTGCCAAGAGCACTTAGTTTGGAATCCTAGATTAAATCTAGCACCACCAGTAGTTGGCATGACTACAGGATGCAAAGCTGCAGTGAATTGTGGCATCTTAGAAAACTATTCCACCCTTGCCCCCTCATATAAGTTAACGTAGGAATGAAGGGCAAATATGTTGTTGAAAAATAAAATGTTGAGGAAGTGACTTGCTACCTGCCCCTCATAACACAGAGAGTTACAAATATCCGATGTCAAACGAGGAGATGATTAGTTCTGTACAAAGAAACCTATTCCTGAGGTATACCTCAGAGTGAGCCTTAAAATACTGCAGCCTTAAACCTATGAGTGTCCACGTATGGTGCTGATAGACCATGGAGCATGATCAGGGAGGATCTTTGAATCTGAAGCCACAAACAGCCTATCCTGGCACCACCGAGGGAAATAACTCTGCACAACTTATTGCCATACCTTCGACTACTGGACCACCCTATTCCCTTGAAGAATGCAATCTCAACTTGAATGGGAGCTAGAACACAATCTCGAATTGGATGAGGGAACTGAATTGTGACTTTGACATTGATGGGGAACTGGAATGTAACCTTGACATTGATGGGGAACTGGATCGTAACCTTGACATTGATGGGGAACTGGAATGTAACTTTGACATTGATGGGGAACTGGATAGCAACCTTGACATTGATGGGGAACTGGAATGTAACCTTGACATTGATGGGGAACTGGAATGTAACCTTGACATTGATGGGGAACTGGATCGTAACCTTGACATTGATGGGGAACTGGAATGTAACTTTGACATTGATGGGGAACTGGAATGTAACCTTGACATTGATGGGGAACTGGAATGTAACGTTGACATTGATGGGGAACTGGATCGTAACCTTGACATTGATGGGGAACTGGATCGTAACCTTGACATTGATGGGGAACTGGAATGTAACCTTGACATTGATGGGGAACTGGATTGTAAACTAGACTTGCACAGGGAACTGAATTGTAATCTCTACTTGGATGGGGTATAACTGGAATGTTGGAAGGGAATGTGGATTGTAATCTCGACTAGGACATGTTGGATGAAGAACTGGATGGTAATCCATATTCACCACTTTCATAATTTGGCACACATTGAGTACATAACCAGTATATATTTTTCATGCAGAAAACATGACTATACTTCACATATACATTGTGTAAGTATAACAAATAGATGTCAGTCACACATGAGCACACATACACCAACATCATATCACAGCTGGTGACCATCAACCGCACAGCTAGGTACACAACACTGGCTATACAGTGTTACCATGGTTACTGGGTTAGTGACAAACACGCTCCACCTGGATCATCCTCACTAGTCAGGGGTACATATCATGTTACCATAGCAACCTTCAGCAAAAATTATATGAATTCATTAGAAGCACAAAAACAATTTTGAAAGTTTGAACAGTCAAGTCAAACACTGAACTAGGGCAATGTCTAGGCTCTCTTGATTTTTTTATTGATTTATTTTTTTCTTTTGGGTGGGGGGAGATATTTCTTTCCACCATTTTTTTAACAATGTTTTCCCCCTCCCCGAGAATACTGCATGGTCCAGCCCAACAACTGCCAGACTATATTCAGTGATTGCTCCATCTTGATACACTACTACTTGTATAGTCTCAAGTCTATGTTCTTAATACTTGTCCCCTGACCAGTAAGGAAGCAGAAACATGGTGCTATCATTCAACAATATGGCCATAAACATCTTGGTTTCTTAGGCAGCTGACGGCAACATAGGCCATGAAGATAATTCTTTGACTTTAATTCAAAAGATTATACACTTTTAGCTTTTCCTGACTTTGAATAATTCACCTCAGAGTAAGGGAGTAAAGAACATGTTAGAAGAGTGCTTAGAGCACATAAGGGTTCCTGAGAGTTTTTAAAAAACAAAAGGTCTGTGACTAAGTGTAGTGTATGTTAAGATAGTTATGCCATTCACAGAGCTATGATTTGTTTCTTTAACAAGTTCCTAGGTTCAAACTTGGAACAAAAGTTTCTTCAAGTATTGACAAGAACAGTCAACTCTCATTAGTAGATTCTGCTGGAAAGAATATAACCAGAAACTTTTGTTTGAACTCAATGAAAGTTGACTGTATGTTAATATGCAAAAGAAGTCTATCATAAAAAGAAAAGAAATGAATGATTTCGAAACTCCTCAAGCCTAAGAAACTAAGAGTGCTGTGTTATGGCTGACATGAGGCTGCATCCAACACCTCACCTAAGGCTTTGAGCAAATGTCGGTTCATGTAGCTGTATATGCCTATAACAGAGGGACGACACATTCTACATCTTGTATCCATGGAAACTATATCACTCAGAGAATTAGCATATTATTTACATACCACTGGTTACTTAGGCTGAAAAAGTAAAACATTTGGTTTTCAGAAAAGACTTTTGGAGATGAGGGGGTAGCTGTCTGATTCCTTAATATTTGAACAAGTCACTGAAATTCAAGGATATTAATACCTTAATAATATTAACAGTAATTAAAGTCTTCGAAGTCCTAAGAATTGTTCAAATTGACAAAATTGTCCTTCACAAAGTAAGGTGATATGAGGTTTAACATCGCACTCAAGATATTTCTCTTAGATGATGTGCTCCTTGTACAAGTCCAGACTTATGCCGGTTTAGTCGTGAGATATGCCATGCTGTAGTTCATTTCCTTTATGCCAAACACATGGCAGGGTAACAACAAGTACCATCTTTTAACTTCTTGTGGTACAGCACAGCCCGGGATTGAACCACCAACCTTCCACTCTCAGAGCAGATTTTCTATCCACTACCCCAGAGGCAGTCACGTCACCAAGTAAATACACTGAGTTGCGCATGTATCCCTATACAGGTCATCAGCTTTAGGAATGCATGATACCCACATCCCAATGCAGAAATGTCAGGATTTCAGATTAGTTTGTTTTCGGGGACATTCACTGATTATAATCCAAAATGACCTATAAATATTTTTCAAATTTGATAACGATTCAATAGAATGTGCCCTCAAGCGTAGATGAAATTGCGAAATGTCCTCATGCCATTTGTCTATCAAGTTTTTTGGTCCCGATTTAAAGTCCTGATTAATGTCAAACATGCTTCAATCATATGCATAGTTACAATATGGCAGATACTGCCAATGTGACCATAAATCTTACCTCACTCGCTAAATCATATGCAAAGCCTTTTTGAACAAAACACAATGATATCCATGTGCTGGTGGGTCTAAAGTTGGTTGGTTGGTTTGTTGTTTAACACCACACTCAGCAATATTCCAGCTATATGACAGCAGTCTGTAAATAATCAAGTCTGGACCAGACAATCCAGTGATTGATATCATGATCATCGATCCATGCAATTGGGATCGATGACATGTATCAACCAAGTCAGCGAACCTGATCACCCGATCCCGTTAGTCGCCTTTTACGACAAGCATAGTCACCTTTTTTGGCAAGCATGGGTTGCTGAAGACCTAAGTGAGGCAAGTAACAGATATCTGCCACATTGGTGAAACCCATCAGGATGGGTAAGATGTTGACAAATGAGGATCTAGGATTTGAATCCATGGCGAATGGGTCCAGGCATGGCTGTGGGAAACGAACAAGTCTGGCAATTTACTGTTTCTCACTGTTTTGTTTGTTAGTTTGTTGTTTGACGCCGCACCCTGCAAAATTTCCAGCTTTATAGTGGCAGTATGTAAATAAGCAAGTCTGGACCAGACAATCCAGTGATTGGGATGCGATGACATGCATCAACCAAGTCAGCGAGCCTGACTACCCGATCCCATTTGTCGCCTCCTACGACGAGCACAGTCGGCTTTTATGGTAAGCATGAGTTGCTGAAGACCTATTCTGACCCAGATCTTCAGAGGGGGGGTTTTCTCACTGAGTGAGTGAATGAGTATGGTTTTATGGCACTTTGAGCAATATTCCAACAAAACCACACCAGAAATGGGCTTCACACATTGTACCCATGTGGGGAATCTAACCCAGCCTTCGACGTGACAAGCCAACGCTTTGGTTACTAGGCTACCCAATGCCCCTTACGGTATCTCAAGTCAAATCTAGTGCTTAGCAAATATGCTGCCATCAATCAGTGGTTACAGCACAAGGCTATCTGACTAAAACCAACTTTTCTTCTTCCAAATCCTTACATCAAAAGGTGTCCAGTGACTAGTTAATGACACATAAATACACCTCTTGTGAAGGAGTAACTCTTCAACCTAAAGGAATCTTTGAAACTATATGAGTCAGGAGTTTTTGGTACAGACTGTAGAGACGAAGCCGAATTGTCTTAGAAAGCTGACATCTGATTGGCTGAAGAAGCAACATATCCTTCATTCAGATTGGGTGGAGAAAGTTTGCGCAGGGTTCACCCGACACAACCTAGGAAGATGTCTCAGATCTTCATGCTGAGAGATATCGTATCAGAGTCAAAGATTCGATTTGTACGTGATTGGTGATTTATGACACTAATCCATTTTACCAATGATTGGCTGGTTTCAGTTTCAACCTGGAAACCAAACCGGTAAAATCTGTCATCGATTATTTTTTAATTATACAGTTTACATTCTCATTTAATGAATTTGTGAGAGATAAGAAGATTCATTATTACATGTATAAAATGAGGAAACTGTGACTACCCACAAGGTTTCATGGCCTGCTGCTTTTGTAATGTTTCATCGTAGATAATGGTTAATATTCATAAAGTCTTTTGCTCTATTATTGTTTGTTATTTACATGACAGATTAAGGGAAATGCTGTCTAGTTATGATGTCCTATTCTCGTTCAGAATCAATCACCATAAGGTCATCTTTCCTGCTTTTTCAAACCACAAACTGATTGTGACATTGTAACCAATTCCCAACAGAACCTAGTGAGGGAGTGAGTATAGTTTTACACCTCTTTTAGCAATATTCCAGCAATATCACTGGCGTGGAACACCAAAAATGGGCTTCATGCATTGTACCCATGTGGGGAATCGAACCCAGGACTTCGTTGTGACGAGCGTACGCTTTAACCACTAGGCTACCCCACCACCCCAGCAGAACCTACAAATGATAAAGCACGATGTAAGTACATAAGCACTATCTAAGCTAAGCTTGCTAAACATGTTACCCCTTTCTCCACATTTCTTGCAATGACACCATCACCGTGACACCACAACCAACCCTGCAAGCGGATTGCCTGACAATTTAAGATCTTACCTGGGAGAAGAGCAAAATTTAATTGCACAAGTCAGGATAGGCTCAGATTTAGCCTTTGCTCTAAACAGTGCAAGAAATACATATTGGAACAAAAATATTCTCCATGTATGTATGATAATATCTAAACGACAAAATTATCATTTTTGGGAGATAATATTTTCAGCAATACTTTACTTTACTGCATTACACATGAAAACAATCAAACAGGTGGTTTTAGGGTGATTTCTTCAACTAACATTAGTTTAGATAATTTCATCATTCTTCAAATATTATTTTTAATGTCCAAAGAAATTTGCTGAAATTTAATATTTGTATTGGGATTCAGGGTTCTATCATACATGTAGAAATCTATTTTTTGTTGAATAAATACAATAGCATCTAGCTGAGAGTAATACATGGATATATTTTGATAATGAAGTAGTTGTGTTATATGAACATTATGAAAGCAGTAGCTCACCTGGCTGATTTCTTCTTGATCTTGGCTGACCCTTCCATGGGAGGCTCTATTGCACAAGACAGTTCATGGCTGGAAGGGAAACAGGGGCACTTGATGCTGTTGTTTGTATTTGTTTATCACCGCACTCAGCAGTATTGCAGCTAAATGACGGAACTCTGTAAATAATTGAGCCCGGACCTGATAATCCAATGATCAATATTGTGAGCAACGACCGACTCACTGGGCCTTCCACCCAATCCATTTGGTTGCCGGACCAGCATAGGTTGGTAACCAAGATACCCTTCAGGGTCAGACTCAGGTGTGCTTAAACACTATTCTTTCAATTTCATCGTAGACTTAAACTGAATCAACCAAATCCACGAAAGCTAATCTTTCATTATCACTGTAAGCTGAATCAAACTAAATCCACGAAAGCTAATCTTTCATTATCACTGTAAGCTGAATCAAACCAAATTCACGAAAGTTTATCTTTCATTATCACTGTAAGCTGAATCAAACCAAATCCACGAAAGCTAACCTTTCATTATCACTGTAAGCTGAATCAAACCAAATCCACGAAAGCTAATCTTTCATTATCACTGTAAGCTGAATCAAACCAAATCCACGAAAGCTAATCTTTCATTATCACTGTAAGCTGAATCAAACCAAATTCACGAAAGCTAATCTTTCATTATCACTGTAAGCTGAATCAAACCAAATCCACGAAAGCTAATCTTTCATTATCACTGTAAGCTGAATCAAACCAAATCCACGAAAGCTAATCTTTCATTATCACTGTAAGCTGAATCAAACCAAATCCACAAAAGCTAACCTAACATTATCACTGTAAGCTGAATCAAACCAAATCCACGAAAGCTAATCTTTCATTATCACTGTAAGCTGAATCAAACCAAATCCACGAAAGCTAATCTTTCATTATCACTGTAAGCCGAATCAAACCAAATCCACGAAAGCTAATCTTTCATTATCACTGTAAGCTGAATCAAACCAAATCCACGAAAGCTAATCTTTCATTATCACTGTAAGCTGAATCAAACCAAATCCACGAAAGCTAATCTTTCATTATCACTGTAAGCTGAATCAAACCAAATCCACGAAAGCTAATCTTTCATTATCACTGTAAGCTGAATCACACCAAATCTAAGAAAAGCTAACCTTTCACATATCACTGTAAGCTTAATCATACAGAATCTAAGAAAAGGTAATATTTCATTATTACTGTAAGCTTAATCAAACCAAATATAAGAAAAGCTAACTTTTCATATATCACTGTAAGCTTAATCACACCAAATATAAGAAAAGCTAACCTTTCATTATCACTGTAAGCTGAATTCCATCACAATCTAAGGAAAGCTAACCTTTCATTATCACTGTAAGCTGAATCACACACAATCTAAGGAAAGCTAACCTTTCATTATCACTGTAAGCTGAATCACACACAATCTAAGGAAAGCTAACCTTTCATTATCGTTGTACACTCTAACTGAATCGAACCAAATCCAGAAATGAGTATCTTCTTTGAAGTTATAAATCTGAGCAGCTGACTGGAGCAGTTTGAGCTGAGCGAGCACTTCGAACTCCTTCCGATGTTTCTCGAAGTTGATGAGGCCTTCCTCTGTCATGTCAGGGTTGGCTGTGTCGATCATGGTCAGATCTGTCAGAAACGTTCCCAGGTACGGCACCGTTCCCTGGACAATACCCTGCAACAACATCACATGTGCATCTAGGAATCAAGTCATTTCAATTTTAGGGCTTTCTGAAGTTCCTATAGGATACAAACATGGGATACAGGAGACATATTCTGCCCTGGAAATTCCTTTGAGAAGAACGATTGGGTGTATGGGACCTGTCCTTTCAAGGAAGACATGCAAGGGGTACTGGGGACATATCCTTTCAAGGAAGACAAGAATGGGGTAATGGGGACCTGACCTTTCAAGGAAGACAAGCATGGGGTACTGGGGACCTATCCTTTCAAGGAAGACAAGCATGGGGTACTGGGGACCTGTCCTTTCAAGGAAGACAAGCATGGGGTACTGGGGACCTGTCCATTCAAGGAAGACAAGCATGGGGTACTGGGGACCTATCCTTTCAAGGAAGACAAGCATGGGGTACTGGGGACCTGTCCTTTCAAGGAAGACAAGCATGGGGTACTGGGGACCTGTCCTTTCAAGGAAGACAAGCATGGGGTACTGGGGACCTGTCCTTTCAAGGAAGACAAGCATGGGGTACTGGGGACCTGTCCTTTCAAGGAAGACAAGCATGGGGTACTGGGGACCTATCCTTTCAAGGAAGACAAGCATGGGGTACTGGGGACCTATCCTTTCAAGGAAGACAAGAATGGGGTACTTGGGACCTATCCTTTCAAGGAAGACAAGCATGGGGTACTGGGGACCTGTCCTTTCAAGGAAGACAAGCATGGGGTAATGGGGATCTATCCTTTCAAGGAAGACAAGCATGGGGTACTGGGGACCTGTCCTTTCAAGGAAGAAAAGCATGGGGTACTGGGGACCTGTTCTTTCAAGGAAGACAAGCATGGGGTACTGGGGACCTGTCCTTTCAAGGAAGACAAGCATGGGATACTGGGGACCTATCCTTTCAAGGAAGACAAGCATAGGGTACTGGGGACCTGTCCTTTCAAGGAAGACAAGCATGGGGTACTGGGGACCTACCCTTTCAAGGATGAGCAAGCCTAATGGAACTAGACACCTTCTGTGGATTTTTGGGGATCATCTACAAACAGTTATTTATCACATGCTCATTCCATCCCAACAGAGATGAAAACCAGGAAACCAAGACTTACATTATCTATCCATGACTGGCGCTTCTGCATGTTACGTCGCTTTAATGTCTTATTTTGGCTGTCCAGATCGGGAAACTTTGCTGTCGCTTCCTGTAACAGAGCATAGTCAGACACTGCACATGTAGTTCTTGTTTTGTTTGTTTAACGCTGCACTCGGCAATATACCAGCTATATGAAGACGGCCTGTAAATAATCAAGTCTGGACCAGACAATCAGGTGAAATAAATTTGTGAGTAACGATCCCCGCTGTCAGGGTACGATGTCACGCAATCAACCAAGTCACCGAGTCTGATCACCTGATCCATTTGGCCGCCGCGTACTACCAGCGTAAATTGCTAGGGACCGGAAAAAATTCGGAATCCCCACTGGGACGTTATTCTTGTAGCTTAACATACCTTGTAAATAAAATTCATGTAATCTCAGGATAATTTCTGCATTTCTTTCAAAATTTGTGTTTTGTGTAAACGTCTATTTTTTTTATACAAATTGTTATAAATGTCAAAATCAAAATTTGAACACTTAACGAACTTATCAAGCTGTCAACATCAACAAGAAGCACTGATGAAGCAGCAGAATCAGTGAAATAAACCTAATGCTTGTAAGATAGAGTCTTAAATTCTGTAATAAACATCAATGCATATGGTAAAATATTGCTGAGCAATTGTAATTCTAATCACACAATACATGGTGTGTACTGTTAGTCAGTCTTTGATGACACACAAGTCCTCACACAATTGTCAGCAGCACTCGTACCTTCATTAGCAGTTCCCGAGAATTGAGCTGGTTATTTTCACCTGAGAATATTTCTGACAATTCCTCAAATAGCACCATAGTATCCCTGCAACAATGAAATGTACGTTATTCACGGGATGAAAATCGGCCATAAAATACCGTGGGGACCACTTCGGCTACTTCAACTTTTGCAATACCCATGCATTGTAAACGTCATACTTGATTTTCAAAAGGTGGCACTGCAGTGTATCAGAAAAGCCAACTCGACAGTGAAATGCAACAGCATCCCTAGACTGCATTGACAAAAAGCTAGAAGAAACACACACAATTGGTTGGTTGGTTGCTTTGTTGTTTAACACCGCACTCAGCAATATTCCTGCTATATGACGGCAGTCTGTAAATAATCGAGTCTGGATCAGACAATCCAGTGATCAATATCATGAGCATCAATCCACGCAATTGGGATCGATGACATGCATCAACCAAGTCAACCACCCGATCCCGTTAGTCCCCTTTTACGACAAGCATAGTCGCCTTTTACGGCAAGCATGGGTTGCTGAAGATCTATTCTACCCCGGATCTTCACGGGTCTAACATCATGCAAGATAGGTAATACTTTCGGTCAGCTTCTTCCTCCTGAATGATAATGTCTCTGTGGACTTTGTTTAATGCCACACTACAGCAATGCTGTAGCTATATGATGGCTGCCTGTAAATAATCAAGTCTGAACCAGACAATCTAGTGATTGATATTGTGAGCAACGATCCATGCTGTCATAGAAATCAAACAACCAAGTCATGGAGTCCAGCCATCCAACCAACATGGGCTGTTGGAGATCAGTTCTAACCTGAAATCCCTACATGGTTCGGTAGACTTACTTTGGTAGAGACGACCATGTCCTGCGTAGCCGGTAGACTGGGTGAGACTGTAGGCCCGAGATTATCGCCTTCAGAGACGAAAAGTTCTTTAGCTCTCTGAGTTCCTGTTCAAGGACAAAACAACATTTGATCTGTACAAAAGTTTATGAAATCTAAAGATATTTCTACTTTAAGAGAGAAAACCAAAATCCAGTTAAGGTAGGTAGGCCAGAGCTTCAGATTTGTCTGGGGAGCCCTATCATTGGCCCCTGACATAAACTAAACATGTATTCCCAAATAGTCTCATATTTCACTGATACCTTACTCATCATTTTCACAGGTATTATTTCTTTGCTTGTGTTGTTTAAGGCCAAGTCAGCAATATCACAGCAGCCTGAATATAACCGTGTCTGTACCAAACAAACCGGGGTGGTCAGGTAGCCTAGTGGTTAAAGCGTTCACTCGTCACGCCGAAGACCCGTGTTCAATTCCCGACATGGGTACATTGTGTGAAGCCCATTTCTGGGGTCCCCCGCCATGATATTGCTGGAATATTGCTAAAAGTGGCGTAAAACCATACTCACTCGCTCACTCACTCACTCACTCACCAAACAAACCAGTGATTGATACTGTGACAAATGTACCATGGGCTACGATGACATAATATCAAGTCACTGAACCTGACCACCCAATTCGAATTAGACACTCCTTGCAAAAAGCTATGATTCTCCAGGCCAGGACAGTGGGTTAAGTAAGGTTTATTTCTAGTCTGTTAATTGTCCATAAGTTGAGGTAAAAAACTACAAAAAAGAATGTTTGGTGCAGACAGTAAACCGCATACCAGTGTTTGACAATAAGTTGGGTCCTGTGGTCCTTGAGGTACCTGGTGATTGTTTGTTTGTTTGTTTGTTTGTTATTTAATATCACACTCAGCAATATTCCAGCTATATGACAGCGGTCTGTAAATAATCGAGTCTGGACCAGAAAATTTGGTGAATTAAAATTGGGAGCAACAATCAACGCTGTCAGGGTATGATGTCACGCAATCAACCAGGTCGCTGAGTCTGATCACCCAATCCATTTGTGCTTCTTACTACCAGCATAAGTTGCTTGGGACCGAATCCCGTTAGTTGCCTCTTACGACAAACATGGATTGCCGACACCCAATTCTAACACGGATCTTCACGGGTTGGTTATAGTAATTTAATCAAAGGGCCTGTGACATTTTTAACACTAGGATAACAGCATTTCTTTAAACAAAAAGAACATAACCATGACAACATACTTGAGCAATGTGTATCCATTTCTGTACAATTTTGGCTCTTTGCGATGTCTTATGATCCCGAGTTTTGAGAATAGTAGCTATCACACGAAGAGATACACGGTTGAACTGTTCTATAGTAGCGAGAACACTGGCTGCTTCCTTTCCCCCCTTCTTCCCCCGTCGCGCCCACACCGCACCCAGACAGTGGTGCGGAACCACCTTCCGAAACAGCTCCTGGAAAAAGAATTGGGCATTGGTTAAAATCTTAAATTTATGACTCAATGACTTTATGACTAAAATCTAAAAACAAATCTCAGAACTAAGCATGTCAATGGTAATTTTTGCCATTACCACTATACCACAGCAGTCTGACAAACAAGTGGTTGATATAATGAGCAACAATCCACAATATCAGCGTATAAATGGACACATTATGACTGCCCGATCCTCTTTCAGTTTGAGCTTACGAAAAGCGAAGATATCTGGGACCTATTTCCCAAGAAATATCCATTGGGTATACTTGAAATTTACAATCAGATAAACTAAGTATGTTAAGCTATAAACTGTTTCATGTTCACATTTATGCTTTTGATAGACAGATGGAATGTCCTCTTTAAGTGCAGTCCGACTCTTATACAAAATAATGATATCAACCTGGGCCAGACAAACCAATGATTGATAACAAGAGCAACAATCTTGACAATCCATGCTCTTGAGTATGATGGATGAATCACTAGCAAGTAGGTCACACTTTGTACCCATCCTAATTTCATATGCAACCGATTACATAAATTTAACTAGAATTCCAAACAAAGTGCCCTGGGCAGGCACATCAGTGTTTTAAATATTTTTAAAACCCAGAAAGACCCATAAGTGTTGCCTGCCCATCTTCAAAGTTACCTGCCCACATTCAGATATTATAGATATTAAGAAATCCCAAAATAAGAGACAAATTGCATCATGATTCAGTTGAAATAATGCAAACAATTACCAGAGAATCTACAAGGAGTTATAATAAAACTGAATTTGTAGGTAGTCTTAAAATTATCTGCCAGACATCCGGGCAGGCGGAGGAATATTTCATGCAGCCCGACAGAAAAGTTACCTGCCATGAGGAGGTTAGTTTGGACACTGAGGCAAATTTGGAAACTTTGTTACTTTGTTCAAAATTGGGATTTTCCTAAAGTAATTATTTGAATTTGAACATTGCTTTCAACTTGTACAATGCAATAGTACTAAACTGAGCATTTAAGCCTCTGCCTCTGTTCTGGTGCTGCTATCAGTGAAATCCAAGTCACCTCTACCAAGCCACAACTTCAGTTACAACTATGACAGCACGAATTGGGAAATGTTTCATTCCAATTTGGGAACTTTTACTGACATTTGCTGCACACTTAGAGCTGAATATCGGCCTCTGTGCAGGTCAAGATAAATCCCTGCATTATGACAAGAATTGAATTTTTCAGTTATATCACAACAGCCTTGTAAACAAGTGGTTGACAGCATGAGCATCAATCCAAACCACCAGGGTATGATCACAAACAATTAGCCAAGTCACACAATATAACCACCCAATCCTTATAAGCCAACTCTTCACAATATGCAAGGGATAATCCAGGTCTTTTGTGCACGAGAACAGAAATATTAGAATAAAAAGAGCAGGATACTTACTGCGTCTCGATGTGTCAGCTGTTGAGCAAAGGTATGACTAGAGATGTCGTTGAATGTTAATGGCTTGTGATACTCATTGTCTATCATATGATCAACCTCTTCACAGATGGAAAATCGGAATTCTATTTCATTAGCTGCAGAAAAAAAGGGATAGAATATCATTAGGCTAAAAAAAGCATCTGCATGTTTATTCATAAATTGCCAGATGAATGTGTACATGCTAAATACAAAGCAAAGTCTCCATCGACATATTCAACTACAATTCCAGAAAACTAACTCATTTCAAATCATTTAATTACCTTCGTTGAAATTATGAAATTCAGAATTTAGCAACTTGATTCCTTCGAGCGAAAAAGCAAAAGTACACATGACCAGCTTTTTGTGCATAATCTGTCCACTGGTATCACCCATGCATTGTGACTAGGGTTGGGACGAGTCCAAATGTACAACCTGGGTACCCACCACCTTATTACCTGACCCTACCCGGGTACCTGCTGTAGATATTTAGAGATAGGTACAAACTGTCCGATTTGGAAAAGTTTGACCGTAGCCCTGGCAAAATGTATAAAGATACACGTATAAAACGATCTGGTCATGCATACACTGAAGTTTACTGTATAAAGTTTTATCTTTATTCAAACATATACAAGTCAGCAGGAATGGGTGAATTGTCAGAAAGAAATGGGAAAATTAGTGATTTAAAGTGTAACCATAGAGTTTTAGATAATTTTTGTCATTAAACAATATATCATGTGACTAACAACAGGTCCGGTTAGTCCTGTGGGTACCCGGGTCCTACTCAGGACCCACCCGACCCGAGTACCCAAGTTACCCGTCCCAGCCCTAAATGTGACCGTAGCAACATCCAACAAAATGGCAGAAGAAGTGCTAAAACATGTGCAGGGGAAGCCTGATGTATTGGTCCATTATTATTCAGATTCATAACAAATTACAGATGTATTGTGGTACGTATCACAATAAATGAATCATTATTGCAATATATTACTATATAAAAGACATGTCAATACTAAGCTTGAGATTATATAAATATCTGATGTTCAACTTCTCAACTTAAGTGGATTAGTGGTCAAATCAAGTGGGTGGGACCTAGTCTTAATTTATTCTGACACTTTCCCATGTTTTCATTGTATGATGCTAGGTAAACCTCTCCTCGGTAATGCTTAGGATAATAAACCCTTAAATAGAGTGGGGAAGCACAAGAGATGAAATATTTTCACTTGCCACTCTACCCTCATGTCTTACAACCCCAAGCATAAATGAGGAAGAGTGTTTTATGTTACCCCTCACTCCCTGCAAGTGGTTGATAGTGTCAAAGGAAACATGGCTTGTATCTAGCATGTCTAGTTATCCAACACATCTTCCCACAACCAAAATGACACTGACCATCAGCACCTGAATGATCCTTTGTGAGGCGCTCGATCCGATGTCGTGCCCGACCTGCGAGGTCACTGTCAGGCAGGAAGTGGAGAGAAAACTTCTCTAACGTATGGAGACAGGGATAGTTTGGAGGCTCCCGGAAATCTTCCGGATAGGTGTCCAGCCACACGGATATCACAGATTTAATAGTTCTGTGAACAAAAAACAAGACTAGAAATATGATTACACAGATTCAACAGTCTGTGCCCAAAACGAGTCAACAAGCCTTGGGATCTTTAACACATGGACTTCCTCAGCTGAGCATACAACACCAAACATAAATTTAACCCAACTCAAGATTGTGACAAGTGGCCGAAATAACAGACTGTTTCAATGTGTGTTTTTGAAATCAACTTTAATATTCATTAGAAACATGCTGTTGTAGTTAAGAATTTATATCCCAACTAATGCCATCATCAAAACTAACAATGGATTCTTGCAGTGAATTTAAAAAAAAATACATGATGGATATTATAAGTAGATGATTGTTTGTTGTTTAATGCCGCACTCAGCAATATTCCAGCTATATGACGTCAGTCTGTAAATAAATGAGTCTGGACCAGACAATCCAGTGATTGCCTCATGAGCATTGGTCTATGCAATTGGAGTATGTGCATCAATCAAGACAGCAAACCTGACCACCCGATCCAGTTAGTCGTCTCTTTATCACATGCACAGGTTGGTGCATACCAGTTCTAACCCTGATCTCCACGGGTGTAACATGGTAACTGTATTGTGATATAGCTTGAAAATTGCTGACTGGCACTAAACAACATTCACTCAATCCCCCACAAAATAGGGGGTGAATGAGATAATATTGTTTAATGCCAGTCAGCAATATTCCAGCTTTACCCATGCAGTCTGTATATAATAAACAGAAGAAGCTCACATCATAGAATTAATAGTTATTCATTAATGGTTATCCCTGGTAATCAAGTCTCTATACCATCTAACAGACTTTGACGAGACACCCATCTAAGGGTGACTATATATGGCTACCACACTGCACAAGCTGCAGCAGCCTACTCACTTGAGCTGTAGTTCATTCAGTTCTGTCCTGTCATCCTCACAACACAACTTCAACATCTGGTACCTGGGGAACAAAAGGACTCAGAAATGTACAGACTGGGATTATATGTTCTTTATGTTTAACGCCACACTCAGCAATATTCCAGCTACACAATGGCTGTGTGTACATTACTGTACACGATGGCTGTGCATGAACCAAGTCTGCAAGCCTGACCACCCAATCCCATTAGTCACCTCTTACAACAAGCATTGGTTGCTGAAGACCAATTCTAACTGGATCTTCATGGGGGTGTTCTTCATGATAAATTATAGATATTGATGGTTACTCTTCTTAATTTAATCATTGAATAAAATCATGGATACATTTTAAACTTAATACAATGAACACTCTTCTACATCAACATGATCATAGCTTGGTGTCTTGAAATTAGTGAGTGAGTGTTGTTGAACTCCACTGTCAGCAATCTTGCATCCATTTCAAGACAGTCTTTAATAATCAACTGAAGGCCAACCAGTGAGTGAAAGCATGACCATCATCAGATTCACAGGTGAGGTAAAATGGGATTTGACGTTGCTTTCAAGATTATTGCACTAATGCCCATGCATGCATATGTACATGTGTAAATGCTTGTACTTCCCCAGACTAATGCCCGTTACATAGTGCTAGCCTACTGAGACACCATGCAGCAGTTTAACATGGATGTCCCTCTCAGACACAGTATATCCAAGCACACCAGTCCTTGTCTATCCCATTAATGCCAACTGCCAGCAGGCTAACACAAGTAGCATCTTATAACCATTTTGGGTATGATGTAGCCGGAGATGTAGCCACTCTCCAGGCTGACGCTCCATCCACTACGTCATGGAGATGGTCACATGGTTACAGAGAATGATGACACACAACCAGCCTAATCACGGCATCCGACCACCTGATCTAAGTTTGCCGTCTTTTATAAACAAGAGAGTGGTGGGGGCCTATTTTAATCTGGCTCTCTGCAGGTCTTGTCAATCATCTTTCTCCTGCATCAGTACCCACCTGTCTATAAGCAGCTTGAGCACCTGTTGTGGTGTTGCGAAGGTGCGGTAGGTGGCGAGGAAGATGTTGACGTAGGTGGAGTCCAGCTCCCCTCTGACGGTTGACAAACTCTCCACCAGCTTCTCGAGAGTACCTGCCTTGATCACCCGGATCTTCTGGGTCTCCCACATCAAGTGGGAAAACTCTCGCTCATGCTCATCTTCAAGCTGAAACAACATCCAAATTCCATGGATTCGAGTCTGTTCAACAGAGGATTTTCTCTTACTCAGCAGCAGTACTTTGGAACAAACTGCCACCAGATCTCAAGATGTCACCTTCTGTTGGCTTTAGCATCTGGACTAGACACACCTCTTCAAAAATGTCTACAATCAGTAAAATTTCACTACTATACAGAACTATATATTTGTATATTTCTTGAGTTTTACCTTTATCTTTCCTTACCATGTTACACTATGAGCAAGCACTTGGTAGATGAAATTTGATCTTTAATACATGGGATTTTTTTTAAAGACATGCTTTGCTTGATTAAAAAGACACATTTTTATATCTTTTCAAGCTCTTGGTCAGTAGTTTTCTTTAAAATATTATCTCAAGGGGATAATATTATCTCAAAATATGCAAAACAAGAAATTACATTTCTCTGGCTTAACAGGTGACCTTTGAATCTAAACCCATCTGTTTCAGTTGGGTAATATCAGAAAAATACAAGTACATGTACCCTCTGTTGAATTTTCAACTAACATTAACTAAACATAAAAGGGCACCTCAAAACTTTATCTGCATGTTGTTGTTTTTTAATTTATGAGTAAACACCATTTGCCCCTGAAGATAATAGAAAATGGGAGTGCCGTTGATGCTTGACATGCTACGCTTCCTATCAGAGATATATAACCATATGTCATGCGGTTCAAGGAGCTTTGTGATAACACAACAGGATACTGTAAGATTAATGCATGTAAGGCTAGGTCGCCAGTTGAAAATTGAGAACATTATTTGTAATTTCCTGGTTTATGGACTTGAGTAGGTTGTTGAGATAAAAAGAAATGTAACCATTTTTTTGTGATCTCGTAAATGTATCGTCACGTAAAAAAATAAAATTGAAATGAAAAGCATTTATCATGTCATTAAGGGTCTTTCCTTATCATATTTTTTTATTTTGTTTGTGTTTTCATTGTTGAAAACAGCAAATGTACATGAATCGATATTGTCTGAGGGAAGAAAAAACAGTTTCCACATTTGTGAACCATTGCATCACCTGACTTGTGAAGCAAGTAGACCTCAAACAGGGTACAGCACCTACATCATCCCATGGCCAATAAAGTCATATTTATCTTCTATTTCTAACTTCTGTTTCTACCATAAGGATGAGGGAAATGTGGGACAGTATCCGATATATCTAGTAATACATGTTTCAATCACTTACAACAGATCTTATTTTAATTTATCCTTCAATCAACTTCACAGTTGTAATTAATATTTTCATTTGCAGAAACAACATTCAATGATAGAAGTAAGCATGACCTCATGTGTGTGTGTTTGCTACAGAAACATGATGAAGGATGGTGAAATATAAGTCTAGTCTCAAAGGCAACTAAACTGAAGAGTTAGAAGTTAGAAGGGTTAGACAACCTAATCACCAATTTCATTAAAATCAGACCTTAGTGCTCATTACTGCTATGTGAAGATCTGAGGACCATACGAATGTGTTTAACATGTGTTTCATGCACAGTATGATTCACAAAATAATCCCAGGAATTAATAAAAAGGAAGAGTTTTCAATCTCTATGAAAAGGAAAGGGTCAAATGTTTCAAACTACAACTGCTTACTCCTGCTAATGGTCAAAAGACATTCATCAATTTTGAAGATGGATCAAAGCTTATATTCTTGTTGTCAGGCTCTGAGTCTCACATGCCAAAGGGCATACATCAACATATTTTTGTGTGCCCTGTGACGCAAAAACAAAATTTCTAACCCTTTAAGGTGTTTGAATATTCAGTTACAAAGTGCAAGGTTGCGTACCTGAGCTTGAGAGCGGTATGTGACTTTCTTCAGGTAGGCACTGTACACTGCTCCATCTTCCCTCTCCTCGCGCCAGAATCGTGTCACATCATCCTGCAACACAAATTCATCCTCTTCAGTCTTGGAAACTAAAGCAGGGCTTGTTGCTATAGTTTTGGTTGTTTATTGTCAACACCGCACTCAGCAATTTTCCAGCTATGTGATTGTGGTCTCTAAATAATTGAGTCTAGATCTGACAATCTAGTGATTGATATTGTGAGCAACAATCCACATCATTTTGGTACAATGACACTCATTCTGAGTCATTCAACAAGTCAAGTCTGACCACGAGATCCATTTGGTCGCCTCTTACAACCAGCATAGGTTGCTGGGGACCTATTCTAACCCCAAATCCCACATGAGGCTGATATTGTTGTCTGAGACTAGTGAATGTTTATTCATGATACTGAGGAGGGCAGAGGCCTAGGGTATTATAACTAGTCACAGCTTGAGTGGGATGCATACAGGCACACACAGTATCAAGACTGCAACTACCATATCCACAGTGTTCAAAATGAAGCATGAAAGTCAAGGTGTCCTTGTCCTAGTCCTAACGTTGAATATTTTAGATTGATGGGGTCTCTAGATTCAAATACCAAACCTCAAGGACCTCTTTAACTTCAAACACTTACTGTATTCGACGAAATAAGCGCCGCTCTAATAAGCACTCACGTAAATATTTGCTAATATATTGGCTAGTGAACAATCCCAATTAGCACCCCTTCCGATTGATCAATGTACACAAGACTTATTTATTCGCGTATAATATGCACTCGTGCGTTATATCCATTCTTAATTATGGGCAATTAAATTCGGGAAAAAATATATGTCGCATATAAACATATCAGTCTGTCAGCATAAACCACGAAATTTATCTTTCAACTCTGTTTTTTCCACCAAAAAAATATTCTAATAAGAGCCCCCTATTTCTAATTTTGAGTACGCCCTGGGTTCTTATTAGGTCGAATACGGTATCTATAATCTCAACTTCATGGACGGCAAAATGTACATGGACAGCTTTCTTATAGTCATGATAATAAGTTAATAACACTATAGTCTGGTTTGCAAATGGTAAGTTCATCACTGTTTTTTAGCAGTAACGATGAACATGGGGATCAAGAAAAAGGTACTAATGAAGAAACTGTTACATGGTTGGACAAACGAGTAGTGTATTTGAATCAAGAGATCTTGACTTTTTTTTTCAGAAGGGCTATGACAACGACTATGCACCAGACAACAGTGATGAGAGGAATAATCCACATACTTGAAGACAGTGAACACACGACCCTAAGGCAGTCTTGTTCTTGTTTTCCGGTATGTAGTTTAATTTGGCAATCCCCTAAATCAATATTAGGCACATGACTGAATAATGTTTTATGTCCCAGTCATCAATATTCAAGCAACATCATGATTACCTGTAAATAATTGAGTCTGGTTCAATATATCTTATTTAAAAATATATATCTACAAAATAAAAATAATAATATCCAAATGGAGCCCAGAATAATCATTAATATCAGGAGGCAATCTGTACTTGCCAAATCAAATCATTCTAGACTTGAGTTGGACTCCTTTTAGATTTTTTCTTTAAGGTCTGGGAGACAGACTAGCATGAGGTATTAAGGACCTATTCTACACTAGAATCCTCACATGGGACCCATTTATACATACAGACATGGGTACTTGTAAAGTGTACAGAAACAAAAATTCATGTATGTAAACACTTAAATGAGTGATCCTGGTGATTGGCAATATGTGGAATACACAATATCAAGAATACTGTGGAACAGTTAAACATGACAAAATATACGAAAAGGCACAAGGATTTATCTGTATGTTCTTTGGGCCCAAAATTTGAAGCAAATATCTGCAAAATTCCCAAAGTGGAATATAACACTACCATGATTTATAATTATTTGCTCACTGTGGTCAAGTTATTACTTAGGTCTAACATGACTGCACTGAACATACTGAATGCATTGGTAAAATACCTCAAAATTTAACACAATAACATTTTCTTTTTGGATTCAATTTTGCACAATATAATCGCAATAACCAACTTTCCTGCATCAGACACTTAGTTTGAAATCCCAGGCAATCAAAGGGTCAGCCCGCCTACATTCCAATCCATACCCAATGAGGGATGTGCCACTTGTTGGTGACATCGCACGCTGTAACAAATGACCACTTCCTACACAACTTCCTTGTTCAACAACAATTTCTAATTGATGTGTTGGCCATCTTCAGCTGAAAGAATGCCATTTATAACTTGTACTCCACCCACTGACAGTCAATGAGTTTCTGCAGCCCAGGGCATGTACATGTATGTAATCAATGTTCACAGAGACAAGGCGGGGTTCGAAAATATCTGCACGTGCGAGACTAGTCAAATTCAGTACAGCTCCAGATAACTTGCATACAGGTATTTAATATGTTTAAGCATAATATGCAAAATAAATCATTATAACCCAATTCATTTTGAATTGCTCGCATACAAATAAGCATGAAAACAATTAGAAAACATACCCCATGATTACCCAAAGTAGCCTTTTCAGATCTTTATTTAATATTTACTTATCAAATACAGACATCATCATGATCATATGTACATGATTTTCTGGGGTAGAATAGGTCTTCAGCAACCCATGCTTGTCGTAAGAGGTGACTAACAGAATTGGTGGTCAACCTTCTGGCATGGTTGATGCATGTGATTGTAACCCAATTGCGAAGATCATTGCTCATGATATCAATCACTGGATTGTCTATTGACAGACCACTGTCATATAGCTGGAATACTGCTGAGTGAAACCAAACAAAAAACAAACACTGCATTGAATAATGCACAAAAGAAATGGCTCGCTTAGTGTAGCTTTGACCATGTTGACAGAATTATTTTTAAACACGGTTTACTCATTGGCACGGTTTACTCATAGACAGCATGAAAGACTGGAGCCTTGACGCAGCCAGGTCGCGAACCACCGACCTCCCCATATCCGTAATAATTTTGGGTGTCTGCCATCATGGTCAAAGGCATGAAGTGGGAGTCCCAGGTTGCACAAACAAATAAAATATAAAGTCTAAACATGATAAAAACAAATTGTATTTTTATTCCACCAAATGCAAATTTCTGTATTCACTACAAAGCCTAAACTATAAGACAACAGGCTAAAAGTGTCAAACAACGGGACATGGTTAACCACAGACCTATATACTGGGTTTACTAAAGCTGCACTCATGACATCTTCATATAACTTCTAGTATAAGAACAAAAACCTAACTACACCAGGCACACCAGTGAAAGTATGAGCAATGATCCACAGGGGTGGGTGGGTGGGTGAGTGAGTGAGTGGGTGGGTGGGTGGGTGGGTGGGTGGGTGGGTGGGTGGGTGGGTGAGTGAGTGAGTGAGTGAGTGAGTGAGTGAGTGAGTGAGTGAGTGAGTGAGTGAGTGAGTGAGTGAGTGTGGTTTTACGCCACTTTTAGCAATATTCCAGCAATATCACGGCGGGGGACACCAGAAATGGGCTTCACTGTTGAGGTACGAGGACACACAATCAACCAGGCCACCGAGTCTGACCACAAGATCATCTCATTCCTCTTACGACAAACATGGTGACTGGGGACCTTTGCCATGTTAACCAAACCAGTATCCACATTGGGTGGAACACTTTGAGTAATTTTAACAACTACAAACAATGAGTTCTTCAAAATATGATAACATGAGAAGTCCTGTTGATTTTTACTGTTGTATTTAATGAATGTGACAGTTCTGTTTTCATCCTTGTTTGTGTTGTTTGTTTGTTGCTTAACATGCTTAAAGGGGCACTGATCTAACGGAATTCCCCGGACTGGGCTACCGTCTGCAAGGACAGCTAAATAAACTTGTGAGGCTGGAGGCAATATTTGTTTTACTCATTTTTGCATAAACACTGATTGGTTAACCGGGATCTATAAAGATTTCGACAAAGGGCGCATGTTAATTAATTTCTTCAACCTAAACAAACAGACAAAAAGAACGGCGGAGCTCATCGGATGTCGTCATTTGGAAATACCCCAGATGGTTATAGTTTAATACTAAAAAAAAGTATCCATGCAGTGAAAGCTTTTCGGATTTCAGATTGCGTCTATAATACGATTACTACTCCCTTGTTGTCATCTCTGTTTTCTCGTATAACCCCTGCACTTGTGTATTTGTCGTCATTCACTTGATGCTCAGTTAATGAATTTATTACAGGTACAATTAGTGGTAGCACCACTTATATTACCTGACAAAGGTTCCCATTTGGCATTTATTGTGTCTGGGGTAATTATTCAATCTAAATCCAGGTTTGAAGTGAGGTGAAATGTGTGTTATGTAATATGCATGTGGCAGACCAGCAAGAGGTGAATGATCAGTTGATTTACTTTTTTTTGTAAATCAACGGATCGTTCCTAGTCATCAAAGGATTAACAGAATATACATTGATTGATTAATCACTGTTATTTTGCACAGTGGATATGTCAAAAGTGAGTGTTTACATGTCTAGGTTTACTAAAACAAAGGGAATACACTCATATCATGGCGTGAAGTGCCGATGTAAAAACAACATACTTTGTTCAAAGGGTTAACTGATAATACGTTGATTGATTGATCATTGTTATCTATCACTCAATGGATTTTTTAGGTACTGTGGACGTTATGAAAATAGTTGCCACGTGGGCTTTCTCAGCTGACCCTTGAGACTTGACACCTATGTGAAACACCTGAAACAATCCAAGTGATCAGTTGAGAAACGGACACGGGTTAAAATATCCCCAAACAATATATATTTTTTAAAATATGTGATTGTTACAGAGACACGTGACATCGAATAAGTTTTTTTGTACTGCCGCAGATGAGTGGGATATTGTTCCTTTGTGTGGATATTCATGGATACATTCCTCGAACAAGGAAGCTGCCTAAAATTTATACACATAAATTTGGTAGGTTGTAATTATGGTATTTGCATTTTGTTTTCCTTCATTTGCTGTAACATTGAACCTATTCGTCCTTGTTTCTCTACGTCTTGGTTGGGAAATTCTTCAATGCGCGATAGACGTTGTTTTCACAGGCCTTTTCCTTTGTAAGCGTGTATATATACCGTCAATTTGTAAAACGTGATTCTCTCAGGCAATTTATAAAATGTGTAAATATTTCAGTCATTTTGACTAAAAAATCTGTCCAGATTGATTAAGACGATTAAAAGGGCCTACAAACATCACAACTGATTATTATTTAGGATTAGAAGCCAAACAACATAGAAATGTACTTTTCAACGTAACATTTTCAGTCTCTTGGTGATGACATTAAACATCAAAATGTTTGGAATTCGTTATCATAATAATACAGATGGAAATGTTTTTCAGTCACTTTGTAAAATAACTGAATATTTAGGCGTTTAATAAATTTGAAAATGTTACACATTTTGACAGTAAAAAAATATACACACTATATAAAAGCAATGCTCAGGTGAAATATTTACATTGTGTTGCAAGTCAAAATAGTGTAAACGAAAATCGCAAAATTACCAAGCAAGTGTCTTATCAAAACTTCGTCACCATTACCGATGCTACCCACAAAGATACCTACATTTCCTTATTATCTCGAAAACTGTATTTCATTTTGTTGATCAATGTGACCATACGCCCTTATTACTACCCATACAAGTGACTAATGCGCTTACGAATGGCGCAGCAGAGGTCGCGAACTAGTCTAGATTTCTGCTTTACATCCGGGTACTCACTGGGAAAAAACAATAACAAAGGCAACAACCAGTCCCGGGGCATTGCGTTAGATCAGTGCCCCTTTAACACCGCACTCAGCAATAATCCAACTATATGACATCAGTCTGTAAATAATCGAGTCTGGACCAGACAATCCAGTGATTGACATCATGATCATCGATCTACGCAATTGGGATAAGATGACATGCATCAACCATGTCAGCGAACCTGACACCCAATCCCGATCTTCTAACAAGCATAGTCGCCTCTTCGGACAACCATGGGCTGCTGAAGACCTATTCTAACCCGGATCTTCACAGGTTCATCCCTATTTGTGACCGCCTATTGCATGTAGTAGGCCCTTCCTCTTGTCATAATATCTTCTCAACCATTTAATTGCCAACACTTGAACACATCAGCAGAGAATTATGGAAAGTACTTCCTGTGTATGTTATGCATGCTTATAATACCATCTGTTTTCATCAAACAGCATCTCTAATTCTTCAAACACTCTAAACAACATTTTGTAGATTTCAATTTCTTCACCCCCTCCCTCCCTCTGTCTCTCTGTACATTTGATTAATGAATACTTTTTATTGATAGTGTTGATATTCAACACATCTAAAAAGCAGGAAATGTCATTGATTAATCTTAACACAATTCATAAAATACAAATCCTCAATCAGTATAACTACTCTTACAGTGACTGCATTTGGGGATTTCAAGTCTTATTCTAGCCTTAGTAAAGTAACTTTCTGTCAGAGGCATCGAGTAAACTAGTAATTGAAGTTTATAGCAACAGAGAAAAGTAATGAAAAGGACACTAATGGCCATGTACAGACTAGAAGACCCAAAATTGTCTGCACAGGCTGATGACTTTATTGCCATTCGTATATTATATTCCTACTTGTGAGTGATTCACTAGAAATTTGACTGAAGTCCCCAACAAGACCATTTTCATTTGGGAAAGATACCTTCTAAATCAATTAAGGAACATGGTACTTTTACAATCATTAGACAAATATCATTTATGTTTCGGGTTACTGTTTACAGATTCATCATGTTGCCCACTTAAAAACACAAAATAATGATTGGATTCAATCTAAATTCATTCTAAAACCAGACTTGTATACATGTTCTAACATATCTAATAATGACCAAATTTATGGGCCATTTCGGCATTTTGAAAAATATACAGTTACAGCCCATTGTTTGTTCAGAATGATTCGACTCTAATACCTGGTTTGTTGCAACTTGCACTCAAGGCCTGTCTCATAAAACTCTTGAAAAGGTGGTAGGGTGAGGTTAAGCATCACATTCATGATTATTGCACTAACATAGCAAATGCATACTGACTCTACTAAGCCAATGAGTCCTTGGATAACCACAAAAAGTACAATCTTTTAGTGTCCTTTGACATGTCCAGGATTGAGTGAGTGAGTGAGTATGGTTTTACGCCGCTTTTAGCAATATTCCAGCAATATCATAGCGGGGGACACCAGAAATGGCCTTCACTAATTGTACCCATGTCGGGAATCGAACCCGGGTCTTCGGCGTGATGAGCGAACGCTTTAACCACTAGGCTACCCCACCGCCCCTGTCTAGGATTGAAGCACAGACCTTCCAATCTCCAGGCAGATGATCTATCCACTGGACTACAGAGACAGTCATACTTGAAGATAAGGGGCATTCTGGTATTTGAATCGTGGGACCCCAAAATATTTTACTCTAAGAATTTAGTTTATTACAATGACCTCATAACCACCTTAATTTTGAACACTGCAATTTGAAACCAAATAAAAGACAAAATATTTTTAAACACTATGTTTTTCATTTTGACCTAAACCACAAACCTATGACATGACAGGTCTTAATAGTTGCACATGCATACTGTCAAATTGACGTGACATGAGAATGCTCAATATTTTTTGTGCTCAAAGAAAGTTTTTATGTTATTATTCTAATGAACATGATGAATTGATTGTTATACCGCAAGCCCATAACCCCTGACAAAAGATAACGTAATTATCACGTTGCCATTCCACATTATACCAAAAACCTGCACAACTCTATTTCCTGTAATAGGCACCCGCCTCCAATAACTACAGGGTATGAAATAGCATGCAACACAATAACCTCCATGTATGTTAGATTTAATTGTTCTTTGCATGTATAATATCAGTTTTGTACTTGTAGTTCTTTGCTTAACACTAACACAAAGTGTATTTGTTGCAATTTTATTACTATGTTCATGTTCGCTGTCTATCTTGAAATAAATTCTTTGTCAAAAACATAAAACTGTATTGTATGTCAATTTATTTTGTGACAGTATGCAGCACTGTAGTTGAAATATTAAGTGCCTGGTCTTCAATTACCACCTTACCTCCATTACCCGCTATGTCTGGATGGTTGTTCAAAGAATAAACACTGGATCACTTATTAGGGGATAAATGGTACTTTGCTTCACGAAAATGGATAAGTATATGTGCATCATTTATCACATAAACTTGATAAACTGGGATATAATCCAGTACAGCAGCGAGCGAAAAAATGCCACTGATTAGTAAATATAAAATAATCACTCGGTAACCAGCTGGTTATAAACTGAAAAAAGGTCAACTATTCAGAAATATAAAGATAATTAAATTTTAAAGGGGCTGGATTAAGTATTTCTGAGTTTCTTTAATCGTAGTCAGAATTCACCATTTATCTTCATGATTATTCCAGGTACCGAAATTCGTGAACTCAGAGCATCACAAAATCTTCTCATGAACGAAACCAAACCGAAACAAAATATACATTCTCCATATAAATACCTGTTTCAAAACGGTAAGCGAGCGTTTGTAAACAACAAACAATGTCCTCGTGACTGAAATGCTGAATAATATGACAGCGTCAACCAAATTCAACCGATACCAGTACATAAAAATATCACCTGTCAAACGCAGTGTCACGAACTTACAAGCATGTACCTGCGATAAATCCAAATGATACAAATTCTTTGAATGATCACTCACCTGATTTTCCTGTCTGCCTGCTTCCATTCCTTAACTAAGTCAAAAGTCTTAAATTCATTTTAGCCATCTTTTGATCAAACTGATCAAGTTTTGGTTCAATATTTTGTGTGATAGCGATCACCCAGCCTACTTCCGGTCAGCCATTTTGTCTGGGTTTCCGACACTTACTTTCGGGGATTTCCGTGAAATCTGATGGCCACCCCCGAGTTACTTCCCTTACAATATTTCGCACCAAGCTCCTTCCCAGCGCGTGACACCTTCGTTTACACTCTCGGTTAGTATAGAAAGCTCCGGGCTATCGGATGTGAGGAGCTTGATCTCGCACTCACGTCAGCTGATGCGCCTCGAGTGGGAGGTCTTCCTCTTATTGCTATTATTACTTCGATTTTAAGGAAAGTCACAGCATGACAATATCATCTTGAAATAACCTTGTAGGAATACCCTTTACGCAGTCAATCAAACATGCATAGAAACAAAACATTGTAATATTAGACGGTTTGTGGCCCGTTTAATTTTTGGTCGTTTTGACGTGTGGCAATTTTTACCAGTTTTCTAATAGTGTATATAACTGATAATACCTATCACTTGACATCAGAACCGTAAAGTTCTTGATAAACTTGATAAAAGATGATCTCACATCCACGTTTCTGTTATTATTTTTTTATCTTGAGAAGACACATTGTTGGCAGTACATTTTGTTTTCAGACAACTGTATTAAAGCGCCACGTCATTAGATAAAGTGGGTATGCAAATCAACGTTGTTTTACGCCGCGTTCAGCTTTATATTCCATATATATATATATTCAGGTCCGGAAGCTCTAAGAACTGGCTTCACATATTTACAATTACGGACCCGGATGTTCGGCGCTGTCAGGCAACTTAATCACTAGGCGACGTAATTTATTAGGTTAGGTTTAGGTGTTTTTTTCCCCCAAGAAATTGTCTTTAAGGTTGGTCATAAACAAAAACAACCAAAAAAACATCAACTACTTTTGTTTTTTCTTACACATGTAGCAGTGAATCGGCTGGAATAAAATTTGTTGCCACTGAAATTTGTCTCTGAAATTGTTTGACATTGACATGCCACTGGAATCTGTCCTCATTATAATCTCGAAATTGTATTTTTGTATAGAGACTATCAAATGAATGCCAAATGTGGATATATGCCGTATTTGTATTCTGTTCAACAGAATATTTTATGTATGTGTTGTCTTCCTTCCCTATATAATTTTACCCTTTCGTATGTTTATAGACAAAGAGGATCGGTGGGGTAGTAAACCAATATATTTTTAGTCATTTTTTTGCTCAGCGCCATTTTTCTGGAGGTCGACGGATTCAAAACACTTAAAATAAGAAACAGGAATGTCACCCTAGATCTCGGTTATCTAGTGGATCATATCTCTCTTCTATTATACTATTACTTACAAAAAGAATGGATATCATTTTATTCACCGGATAACCGAAGATGTCCAATCCTATATAACAGCCACACTCATTCTGATGAAAGGAATATTTCTTTGCTCTGTTTGACACATATTTCTTAACACCACACACATCAATATGCTAGCCATATGACGACCGTATGTAAATATTCGAATCTGGATCTGGCAATCCAGTGATTTGACACCATAAGCATCGATCTACGCATTTGGGACACTATTACGCGTTTCTTCCAAGGAAGAGAGCCTTGCCAACCGACCCCCTTCTGGCTGAGCTTCAAAGTTTTTCAACTTTCCTGTTTCCCCTATCCGGAAATCTAATCCCCCGGATTGCTTTCGAAAAATATTTTTACAAAATAAATGTTGCCACGACAAGTGGCACCGCTTTATACAATTTTGGGGTCTGGCTCGTCAACTAAAATGCAAAAAAACAATGTTGATATTTACTTTTGCCTTTGAGCGTATAGAACGGAGGTTTACTCCAATTGATAATCTTGGATGAATGTTTATGATTACCGTCGACCCCCCCCCCCCCCCCCCCCCCCCTATCTCTCACCCTCTCTCTCTCTCCCTCTCCTCTCCACCCCACCCCCCTCTCTCTCTCTCTCTCTGAATATGGTGCATGCATTTATTGTAAGTCGTCAAAATCTGTTGTTACGAAATTAATACTTCTCTGCCGTATTAAATCCAGGAAATTAACAAAGACATACCTCAAAGTCCCGCATTTAATGTGTATCAACGAGGCAGTCAGACACCTTGACGCATCCCTTTGAATATATGATACAGTTCTCGACTATCAGGGTCTGCCTCCTTTAACGATTCAAAAGATTCAAATGTTTTATGTGCTATTGTGGTCTGAAGTACGATCCCTCGCATGTCATTTGACACAGAAGAATGTGTTGATTGCGTTCTGAAGTCGAAAAATAGTTTGACGAACATGACAAAGCACACATGACTCCCTGCTGGTCTGCGTCGCTTCGCAGAAGGAAAAGTGACGGACGGAAAGCATGTGATCTCGGTATTTCTCACGTTCGGCCCCGAGACTTCAAGGAGCCTGCGTTCATTTCTGTGTCATCACAAGCATGTGTACATCTGCAAACTCCATGCAACCAAGACTGTAAACAATGTCACATATACGTGTCATAAGAATAGCTCGGCTGTCGTGTTCGCAACTGAACGAATGTTCATGCATTGAGGTTGGTTTGATTTTAACGCCATTTTAAAGTATTTCATTCATTTGAGCTAAATTTCGGACGGTATGATGCAGACAGACCAAGGTATATATTATCAGGCAATCAGGATTCGATATCAAGACAACGGATCCTGTCACTGCTAAGGGACGTAACACTGCATGGCGAATTGCTGCGTCGTAAATACTGGTGGGTCACCCGTGTTAGTGGAAGGAATTCATGATAGGTCGGGATCAGGTGGTCAGGTATATACCGTGACTTGGCTGATGCATGTCATCGTATCCCACCCAATTGCGCAAATCGATGCTCATAATGTCAAACACTGAGTTGTCTGGTCCAGTCATATATCTGGAATATTGCTGAGTGCAGCGTTAAACAACAAACATGCATGTTAGATAGATTGACCGGACGAATAATTGGTTAATTGATATACGGAATGAATGGGTGTTTGGATGACGATAGAGTATCTTGCTAATTTAATGGATGACCTGTTGATTGTATGATTGATTGAATTGTTGAATAATTGATAGGATGGTTGGTTGAACGAAAGGAGGATTGACTGAATGAACATTTTCTTCAACGTGATGGATAATTGAAATAACACGGAAATAAATATTCTTTCAGGATTAACGTCATTCACAACAGGACGTTACCGCCTTTAGTGACAAACACGAGCTATGCAGAGTTGCGGGTGAGTTGATAGAAGGTTTGAATCCGGGACTCACTCTGATTCTGAGTCTTGTTTATCAGTACCATACCCGTGCTCATGGGTATCACCAAAACGGTAAACGTCTGAGACATATATCACTTGAGGCTTTCCTCCTAAATAAAGCTGACATACTGTTATGTTACTTTTAAAGGGGCTCTCACACTTTGCCGAGTTGCGTCCCGAGTATGGACCCGAGTATGGACCCGAGCTGACTCGGGGGTAATCGCATGGAACTCGTAGCGAGGTCGTACTAAACCCGGGGTAACTCTGGATACCTCGTACTGATCTACGAGAGTTTTGGAACTGCTCAAAACAGTCGGGCCGCCAGCCAACTCGTAACAAACTTGTAACACACTCTTCCTACTCGTAGTACCCTCGTGGCGACTTCGTGATGCTCGTACAGAACTCGCATGAGGATCGTCTGCAAAATTTATTGCCGAGTTTACCAAGTCTAATACGAGCTATACGAGTGTGCCACCTCGGACCAAAGTCGTACCAAACTCGTACCAAACTCGAACAGCTCGTATCGAGATCGTTATGCTCGTATGCAACTCTTAATAGACTCCTATTAGACTCCTATTGGACTCCTATGGGGCTCGTAACACACTCGTAGCGTACTCGTATATATATGTTGTCTCTTCCCGAGTCTTAACCGAGTTAGGCTCGAGAGAGCTCGGCAACCAGCTCGGAAAGTGTGAGAGCTGCTTAAGTACTGTTAAAACGGCATTAAACCCTATACATACTCACTATAGTAAGGAAACATAGAGGATGTGGTCAGTAAGAATACCAGACGACCACAAGATCCCATTAACTAACTGTCCATACTGACCTGGCTGAGATGATGTGTGATCGGGTCCCGACAGTGACGTCCCATGCTCCCACATTGTACGCCACTGGTGTGTATGCACCCGACCGGCGACACACATCGCCTGCCGCGGTCATATAGCTGAAACATTAATGGCTTTGACGTAAGCTAGCTGCTAGATTAACACAATGTACTGTCGCCGTAAATAGGGTCGTGTCTACAGAGACAATTTAGCTGGTAACAACATTTCTATAGTTTCAGCCTAAGTAGATCTCTAGTTTTCCATTTACAAAATTCCCCGAGTTTTAAGTTGTAAGTTCGTCGGAAATTCTACTTATTGCAGCGTAAAATCTTGTATCTATATTTAGTGAATTAGGCCGACCTGTGCAATTATGCACATTGATCATCATTTGAGTGAACTCATCCCTTCCTTCACACACGCCACGCAATTTGCTATTGTTAAGGCAGGAAGTTAAGGCTGAAATACCAGGAAGTTTTGACTGCTTGCGCATCACATTTGGCCCCGAGCATAAACTACAGGAAACATCAAAAATGTGTATAATGTTAAATTCATTGCTTTCTCTTTCTCTTTTGGGGCCGGTTGGGTAACCTAGTGCATGGTTGAAGCGTTCGCTCGTCACGCCGAAAACCCGGGTTCGTTTCCCCACATGGGTACAATGTGTGAAGCCTATTTCTGGTGTCCCTCGACGTGATGTTACTGGAATATGGCTAAAAGCGGTGTAATAGCATCCTCACTCACTCTTTTGTCGCCCATCTGTGAGGATTCCGGGTAATAATATATAGGCCCCTTGAACCTTTACTTGTCGTAAGAAACGACCAAAAAGATGGAGTGGTCAGGTTTGATGACTTGGTTGACTGTATATCATCATATCTTAATAGCGTAGAGCTATGCTCATGAGGTCAGTCACAGAGCGCCTGGCCCAGACTCGATTATTTACATACCGCCGTGGTCCCGTGAAGACCCGGGTTAGAATAGGTCTTCAGCAACCCATGCTTGTCGTAAAAGGAGTCTTACGGGATCGGGTGGCCAGGCCTGCTGTTTGTTTGTATGTTTGTTGTTTAACGCCGCACTCAGCCATATTCCAGCTGTATGACGGCGGTCTGTAAATAATCGAGTCTGGACCGGACAATCCAGTGATTCACAGCATGAGCATCGATCCACGCTATTGAGATCGATGACATGTATCAGCCAAGTCAGCGAGCCTGACCACCCGATCCCGTAAGTCGCCTTTTACGACAAGCATAGTCGCCTTTTACGGCAAGTATGGGTTGCTGAAGACCTATTCTACCCCGGAATCTTCACGGATTGTCTGGCCTGCTGACTTGTTTGATGCGTCATATAGCTTGAATATTGTAGAGTGCAGCGTTTAACAACAAATAAACAAGTTGCCGCATACTCCCTGAATACCCCACTCAGACACTGTATATTGACTCCGAGCCGACCTGTCCTTGTTTTATCCCATTAATGCAGTGAGCCACATCCCCACTACGTTCACCCGCATCTCCTCTCCGCCCATCCGCATCTCCACTCCGTCTACCCCTAACCTCACCTGCACCCCGCTCTATCCTTCAGCACCCCTATTCCGTCCACCTGCATCTCCTCTCCGTCTACCCCCACCTCACCTGCACCCCGCTCTATCCTTCAGCACCCCCATTCCGTCCACCTGCATCTCCACTCCGTCTACCCCCACCTCACCTGCACACACACCCCTATCCTTCAGCACCCCTTTTCCTTCCACCTGCATCTCCTCTCCGTCTACCCCCACCTCACCTGCACCCCGCTCTATCCTTCAGCACCCCTATTCCTTCCACCTGCATCTCCTCTCCGTCTACCCCCACCTCACCTGCACCCCGCTCTATCCTTCAGCACCCCCATTCCGTCCACCTGCACTCACTCCGTCCACCAGTACTCACCTCCGTCGACCTACACCCAACTCCGTGTCCACCCGCACCACCACGCTGTTCATCCACCCCGCCCACCCGCACCACCACGCTGTTCATCCACTCCGCCCACCCGCACCACCACTCTGTTCACCCACTCCGCCCACCCGCACCACCACTCTGTTCACCCACTCCGCCCACCCGCAACATCACTCTGTTCACCAAACTCCGCCCACCCGCACCACCACTCTGTTCACCCACTCCGCCCACCCGCAACATCACTCTGTTCACCAACTCCGCCCACCCGCAACGCCACTCTCACGCACTCTGCCCACCCGCAACACCACTCCATTCGCCCACCCCCATCTCATTCCGTCCACCCCACTCCATCTACCTGCACCACCACTCCACCTGTATCCCATCTTCGTCCACCTGTATCCCTATTCCTTTCACCTGCACCCCGGCCTATCCACCTGCACCCACTCCGTTCGACTGCACTCACTCCGTCCACCAGTTCTCACCTCCGTCCACCCACACCCTCACTGCATTCGTCTTCTCCTTCTACCCTCACCCTACTCCTCATCCACCCACGACCCAGTCCTCCCACCCACTCAGCACCACCACTAATTCCGTCTACTCTCCGCGTCCACCCACACCCCACTCCGTTAACCCACACCACCACTCTGTTCACCTTCTCATTCACCCAGCCCGCCCACCCGCACCACCACTCAACGTCCACCAACATTTCATCCACCCGCACCGCAACTCCGTCTATCCTTACCCCACTCCACATCCACCTACATCCCTCTCCGTTCATCCACCCGCACCACCACTCTGTCTACCCTCATCCCACTCAACGGCCACCCACATCCCTCTCCGTTCATCCACCCGCACCACCACTCTGTCTACCCTCATCCCACTCAACGGCCACCCACATCCCTCTCCGTTCACCCACCCGCACCACAACTCCGTTCATCCACCTGCACCACCACTCCGTCTACCCTTACCCCACTCCACATCCACCCACATCCCTCTCCTTTCATCCACCCGCACCACAACTCCGTCTACCCTTACCCCACTCCACGTCCACCCACATCCCTCTCCTTTCATCCACCCGCACCACAACTCCGTCTACCCTTACCCCACTCCACGTCCACCCACATCCCTCTCCTTTCATCCACCCGCACCACAACTCCGTCTACCCTTACCCCACTCCACGTCCACCCACATCCCTCTCCGTTCATCCACCCGCACCACAACTCTGTCTACCCTCATCCCACTCAACGTCCACCTACATCCCTCTCCGTTCATCCACCCGCACCACAACTCCGTCTACCCTCATCCCACTCCACGTCCACCCACACCACCACTCTGTTCACCTTCTCATTCACCCAGCCCGCCCACCCGCACCACCACTCAACGTCCACCAACATTTCATCCACCCGCACCACAACTCCGTCTACCCTTACCCCACTCAACGTCCATCTACATCCCTCTCCGTTCATCCACCCGCACCACAACTCTGTCTACCCTCATCCCACTCCACGTCCACCCACATCCCTCTCCGTTCATCCACCCGCACCACAACTCTGTCTACCCTCATCCCACTCCACGTCCACCCACATCCCTCTCCGTTCATCCACCCGCACCACAACTCTGTCTACCCTCATCCCACTCCACGTCCACCTACATCCCTCTCCGTTCATCCACCCGCACCACAACTCCGTCTACCCTTACCCCACTCCACATCCACCCACATCCCTCTCCTTTCATCCACCCGCACCACAACTCCGTCTACCCTTACCCCACTCCACGTCCACCCACATCCCTCTCCGTTCATCCACCCGCACCACAACTCCGTCTACCCTTACCCCACTCCACGTCCACCCACACCACCACTCTGTTCACCTTCTCATTCACCCAGCCCGCCCACCCGCACCACCACTCAACGTCCACCAACATTTCATCCACCCGCACCACAACTCCGTCTACCCTTACCCCACTCAACGTCCATCTACATCCCTCTCCGTTCATCCACCCGCACCACAACTCTGTCTACCCTCATCCCACTCCACGTCCACCCACATCCCTCTCCGTTCATCCACCCGCACCACAACTCTGTCTACCCTCATCCCACTCCACGTCCACCCACATCCCTCTCCGTTCATCCACCCGCACCACAACTCTGTCTACCCTCATCCCACTCCACGTCCACCTACATCCCTCTCCGTTCAACCACCCGCACCACAACTCCGTCTACCCTTACCCCACTCCACATCCACCCACATCCCTCTCCTTTCATCCACCCGCACCACAACTCCGTCTACCCTTACCCCACTCCACGTCCACCCACATCCCTCTCCGTTCATCCACCCGCACCACAACTCCGTCTACCCTTACCCCACTCCACGTCCACCCACATCCCTCTCCGTTCATCCACCCGCACCACAACTCCGTCTACCCTTACCCCACTCCACATCCACCAACATCCCTCTCCTTTCATCCACCCGCACCACAACTCCGTCTACCCTCATCCCACTCCACGTCCACCCACACCACCACTCTGTTCACCTTCTCATTCACCCAGCCCGCCCACCCGCACCACCACTCAACGTCCACCAACATTTCATCCACCCGCACCACAACTCCGTCTACCCTTACCCCACTCCACGTCCACCCACATCCCTCTCCGTTCATCCACCCGCATCACCACTCTGTCTACCCTCATCCCACTCAACGTCCACCCACATCCCTCTCCGTTCACCCACCCGCACCACAACTCCGTCTACCCTCATCCCACTGAACGTCCACCCACATCCCTCTCCGTTCATCCACCCGCATCACCACTCTGTCTACCCTCATCCCACTCCACATCCACCCACATCCTTCTCCTTTCACCCACCCGCACCACAACTCTGTCTACCCTTACCCCACTCCACATCCACCCACATCCCTCTCCGTTCACCCACCCGCACCCCCACTCTGTCTACCCTCATCCCACTCCACATCCACCCACATCCCTCTCCTTTCATCCACCCGCACCACCACTCTGTCTACCCTCATCCCACTCCACATCCACCCACATCCCTCTCCTTTCATCCACCCCATCTCAACTCCGTCTACCCTTACGCCACTCCACGTCCACCCACATCCCTCTCCGTTCATCCACCCGCACCACCACTCTGTCTACCCTCATCCCACTCAACGACCACCTACATCCCTCTCCGTTCATCCACCCGCACCATCAACTCTGTCTACCCTCATCCCACTCAACGTCCACCTACATCCCTCTCCGTTCATCCACCCGCACCACAACTCCGTCTACCCTTACCCCACTCAACGTCCATCTATATCCCTCTCCGTTCATCCACCCGCACCACAACTCCGTCTACCCTTACCCTACTCAACGTCCATCTACATCCCACTCCGTTCATCCACCCGCACCACCACTCTGTCTACCCTCATCCCACTCCACATCCACCCACATCCCTCACCGTTCATCCACCCGCACCACAACTCTGTCTACCCTCATCCCACTCCACGTCCACCCACATCCCTCTCCGTTCATCCACCCGCACCACAACTCCGTCTACCCTTACCCCACTCAACGTCCACCCACATCCCTCTCCGTTCACCCACCCGCACCACAACTCCGTTCAACCACCTCGCCCACCGTCCACCCACATCCCTCTCCGTTCACCCACCCGCACCACAACTCCGTTCAACCACCTCGCCAACCGTCCACCTACACCTCACTCTATTTACCCACCCGCATCCCCACTTCGTCTGGTCGAACGCTCGGAATGAAAATGGTGAACCTCTGCGAAGTATTCCCTTATTTCCAAGCTGATCTTCTATTGGTCACAAAGTCTTCCAAGCTTTAAGTAAGTTTATTTCAAAACCGTCGCGCTTTAAAAATTTATAAATGTAATGCCGCGCGGTACACGCAGTATATTTGATAGAATTGTTGGACATAAACTGAGTATCGAACCCGGTGCTGGTTTGTTTTCCCGGTTTTTCTGAATAAGTAAACAGCTTTTGGATGATGGTGCCCCTGTAAGTCGAACCTGCTATTACTTATTACATGGGTATCAGTGCATTTCACCACATCTTTCTAGCTTGCTGGCCTGTTTTTCGTTATTCAAAAAACAAATAACGAAAAACGAACCCGCTGCTTCCAAATGAATGAGGTGAGGGGAGTTGAAATGGGGTTTAACGTCACGTTCAATATTATTGCACTCTCAGAGCGACGTGCATGCGCGCGAGCGAGTGTGTGTGGCGGCTTGTAACAGTCTGGAATAATATCTTTTATTACTTGCCCGTGAAGAGATCACCGGCTTAATAAACATACAGCTGTATTACACATTGTGTAATACCAAAACGCGTGCTTATGTACTCTCGGAACACGTTTCACTAAAAATATTGAAAGCTCTCAACATCCTTTGGCTTATTGAACGACATTGCGTGTGGAGATGATAGATCACTGAGAGGAGCGTAAGCACACTCGATGACCCCAGCAACCTTGTTGCTAGGCTGACGTCACATGGCATTGTTTCGCCGAAGGATCTTGCAACAAAATTCCACAAATTACGTCATCGGGTATTGTGACATGATTGCAAACTTTGAGGTGCAAGGCCCCGTTCCACAAGGCGATCGTGCTGTAGCGCAACGACAGTCGTTGGTCTAAGTTTAAGTATGTGAGTTGCGATAACCTTAACGCTACGATAATTTTGTGGAACGGACGCCTGAATTTTAAAGGTAGACCGTTGTATGGTATTAAATTTATACGTTTCAACTTTTGACGTGTTTGAAGTATTATTCTGTTAAACTCAATTTTATTATGCCGTGGATCGTGTAGGTGTCAGCCTATTCACACTCGACAGTATAATTCTAAAAACGTTTTAAATGGCAAGTAATAAATAAAATACTAAACTCGCTACCGGGTAAAACCAATTTTATGAAACTCGTGAATAGTTGTGGTATCTGACTCTCTTTCGCTCGTCAGATACCACAACTATTCACTCGTTTCATAAAATTGGTATTACACGGGAGCTCGTTTAGTATTCTATATGTCTCAGTCTCTGTGGCTGTGGAAATCTATATGATCATGATCAGTGCCACACCCGTTTCGCCAAAGTGGTAGCGTGTAAGACCTGCATCACTTTCCAGAAGCTGGCAAGCCGTGATATAACTGAACTGCTGTTGGGAACGGTGTTCAACCACTCTCACTCACTCAGTAAGTTTTTTGGTTTTTTCTTTGTTGTTTAATGCTACACTCAGCAGTATTCCAGCTATATGACGTCGGTCTGTGAATAATCGTGTCTGGATCTGACAATCCAGTTATAAGCATCATGAGCATTGATCTACGCAATTGGGACACGATGACACGCATCAACCAAGTCAGCGAGCCTGACCATCCGATCCCGTTAGTCGCCTGATGTAAATCACTGGATTGTCTGGTCCAGAATCGATTATTTACAGACCGCCGTCATATTGCAGGAATATTGCTGAGTGCGGCGTTAAACAACAAACCAACCAACCAACCGTCAGTCGCCTCCTACGGCAAGCATAGTTGATTAATTGTATGTTGTCGTAACCCGATGACGTGGATCGTCGTTGTTCATGCTCCCAGTTACGGGCTTGTCTCGACTCGATAATGTACAGACCGCCAGCAAACAGCTGACTGCTGTGCTACAATGGCGAAAGTGTAGACGATATTTTATGGCGCTTCAATGTCTAAGAAGTCCATATGACACTGACCAACAAAATAAGGTCAATTAAAATAAATAAATAAACGCCTTTTTAACACGTACCGTTACATAATTGGACAATAAGTCCTACACAAATTTTGGTAAAATGTCTGGTTATTTTCGTCCCCATTACACATACATGTATACAGCTAGCAGTTTGAAATGCGCAGAATATTTGAGGTTTGACCAATAAAACGTTTCATATTTGACCCGGATACGCATTCACACGGCATCAGACCCTACCCTGGCTTCTCTCGACAGGTGTTGTGAACACAGTTAGAAGATTGACAGCTTTGTAAAGTCATAAATCTATATACTCATAATTATTATTACTTTTCAGTTTTCAATAATTGTACACGATCAGATATTTTGCATTAAGCCCGTTCCACAGTAAACCAGCGCGTTGGCAGCACAGGTCGAAGTCAACAGCTAAAAACATGCCTCAGTTGTTTCAAGATAATCAACATTGATAAATGTAGCGCAGCTACAGCAGTAATTGTTTGGAAAGCGATTTTTTACTACTTGCTGCCCCGGCGCTTTGTGAAACTCGCAACCCCTCCGTCCACTCGCATGCTCGACCCGTGAAGATCCGGGGTAGAATAGGTCTTCAGCAACCCATGCTTGCCGTAAAACTCGACTATGCTTGTCTTAAAAGGCGACTAACGGGATCGGGTGGTCAGGCTCGCTGACTTGGTTGATGCATGTCATCGATCCCAATTGCGTGGATCGATGCTCATGTTGTCAATCACTGGATTGTAAGGTCCAGACTCGATTACTTACAACCCGCCGTCATATAGATGGAATATTGCTATGGCGTTAAACAACCAACAAACCCGCACCATCACTCCGCCCACCCGCTCTCCAAGTCCATTCACCCGCACCCCACTTCGCGTCCACTCGCATCCCTCTCCGTTCACCCACTCCGCAACACCGGCATCCCAAATCCCCCACACCCCCACTCCGCCCACCTGCAGACACGAATTTCGAATATTCCAAAAGCTGTATTTAAACACTGTTTCGATGTTTCGTACTCGTCTCACATCTAATCTAATACAGCACAATAATATTTAATTCACATCACCGGAATGTTCACACAAGACTTGAAAAAAACAACATTGCTACGTGTAATCAGAGCAAGACGCACACGGTAGTCACACATGTAAACTAGATCTCCGCTATCGCGACGCTTGGCGCACTTCACTATCAGTCCCGGCAACAACGTGTGTCTCAATCAGCCTGGTCCAACGCTCGGAAAAAAAATGGTGAACCTCGGCGACATATTCCCTAATTTCAAAGCTGACACTACCATTGGTTCCATAGACTTCCACGAATGGCTTGGTGGAAGGTAAGTTTATTTCAAAACTGCGTGGCGCTTAAATATTTATATGTCATGCGACACGGTAGCGAGGTTAACGTTAAAACTGATAAAAGGCTGCCAACGTGTGAAAAAGAGTGTTCTCGGCTTCCCCGTCGTCGCGTTGATTATGTACTTCACTGCGAGATCGGTCGCGTCCGACATGCACCCTTACCGGTACCTTGGAGAAGTGGGTGGGTTTGGGGTGTCTTTGGATGGGTGGGTGGAAAAAGATGGCGGATATGAAAGGGGTGGGGCTTTATCCAGACAGAAGTTCAAAATTTCAAACATGTTTTTCTTTTATCTGATTTTTGCATATATAATAATTGTAATGTTATAACCAAATTGTTTAACTGTATTGATTAGTGTTGTTGTATAAGGATTAAAACTAAGATTAGTTTAATTGCGGTTTGCCAATAACAGTTCAACATTCATTTCAGGAAAGGACAGAAACTATTTGTCATATACAATGGTAACTATATATTAATGTCAATATTTATTGCTACTGCACAAGTTGCAGAAAAGTAAATAAAGAAAATTAGCATTTGAATCACTGGTATTGTACAGCTGAAGGTGATATAACCAAGTTATGCCATTCATAAGAACACATTAGAAATGCACTGACAACAATGTTTCACAATAGTATTACATGCTACATGTATTCACATAACATGTTGAAAGGGACAAAGTCTTGCTGTAAACAAATATAAAGTAGGTGCATGTATGGATGTATGGATAGATATATATATACCGTTTTCGACATAATAAGCACCCTGTGGTCTTAGAAAATTGACAAAGCGAGTTGCGACAAGGAGTTGAATTTGTTTCAAGAGATTGATGGGTAGTGGATAAACTTTGTTCAAACTCTGATGAAACTGAAACTTTCCAATAATAGTAACTAGGCAATTACATACCCCTTCTACGCTGCTGTTTTTTTTGTAAAAAAAATGTGTAATATTCACTAGAAAATATGGATTGTCATGTAAATATTTAGGCTTAGGGGCTGCTTATGAAGATGGAGGGTGGAGCTTAGGGGAGCAAGGCGTTTAGAACTGTGTATATGTAAGTGTGAATATTATCCTACCCTATTTTTTATCCCGGGGATGAAATTCTCTACTGTCAGGATGATTCTCCCTAGTGAATTTGAACCCATACAAGAGTGTTTAATCTTATCCTATACTATACTCTAGAGTAAAACTTCCCCCGGGATAATATTTAGGTAGGATATAATCCTTGCTTACATATACAGTATGTATATGTAGTTTTAGCAGATGTTATTTGACAAGCAGGGAGAGGTTTCTCATTGAAGCATGTTTCATATGAATAATAAAATTGGGATTTGAATCACAAGGAGATTATGACCAATAGCAGGTTATATGAGGGCTTTCAATGAGAACTACCACAATGCATGAACTGTGTGATAAGATGATGTTGACCTTGATGTTAGAGCGTCTTATCACAGCTGAGGTTATCTGCACATCAGCACGCAAGCAGAAATAACTTAGAGCTTTATAAATTGTAATAGTATGAGTAGGGAAAATTTAAAGGTGGGCTTTCATCCACATCCCTGTGTCCTTGTGAGCCCAAGTTGGGTACATATTGCTGTAATTCATGACTAGAGAAATTGATACATTTGTGGACCGACAGATTGATATTAATCATGAAATTTGAGTTGGCTTGGATCGAATGTCTTGAAACAAACTTGCTGAGGCTGCCAATTTATCAGGGCTTAGTCTCTCTTTAAAAGGAGTTTTCTATGCTCTGTTTCTTTAATCGATGGCAAATGTATGATTGTAAGCTTGGCTTGTGGGGTCTGCCAAACATTTAATATTCTGGGGGCCTGGAATGTTTCTTTCAGTCAGAATATGTTTTGGGTCACTCCCTGAGGATAAAAAACAAATTCTGTGAATGAGGTCCTTGCCTCACCAATGTACAGTTATCCTTTGTTACATATTTTCTACTAAGAAATCCCATCTGAAATTCTGCATTACAGAATTTCATACATAAAATGTTTATATCAAAAATGTATATGAAAGTACCTGGGTTATAATAGTTTGTTTGTTGTTTAACGCCGCACTCAGCAATATTCCAGCTTTATGTAGTGGTCTGAAAATAATCGAGTCTGGCATCAATCCACTCAATTGGGATATGATGACATGCATCTACCAAGTCAGCGAATCTGACTACCCGATCCCTTTAGTCGCCTCTTACAACAACCTCAGCATGGGTTGCTGAAGACCTATTCCACCCCGGATCTTCACAGGTCGGTTATTATAGTATACAGACCTAGTAGACTAATGCTAAGTCTCTGAAAATATATGATTTTGATAGAAACAGACAATTGCATTTTAATTCAAAAGGAGCCCCAGTGAGATGGGAGATTCAGAACCTGAACCTGGGAAAAATCTAGAGTGCTTTGTTTAGGACTATAGTGTTACAGTAAGGGCTTGACAGAAGAGAAGATAATATGGTTCAGGGACTGCGACACAGACGACCGACCTAACTGTGCCCTTGGTTTTCATTCACAGAAGTTTCACTTCATAGTTGATTCCCAGGGAAAGTTGTGTCGTGTCACGGGGACATCAAGGGAGTTGAAAGCAGGAAATGAATGTGACGATGATAATACTGGCTAAGTGTTGTTGGGAAACGAACAGATCTACCAGTACATGATTTATATGCGACCCTAGTTCATTCTACGCTATGTCGTTCGTGCTGTTAGGCTTCAACTGGCTCACATGTTCAACAGACTCACTGTTCAGCTATTTCAGTATTTATCCCCAAACAATGTACCCAAACTGACAGTAAACTAAAGAATGTTGCTGTACATGTATTTAAATAAAATGACTTATAATATGTCCTATGTGTAATGGAACGGTATTAACATAAGCGCTTGTTTACCAAGCCATTTTCACACCTTTGTGAAAATAAATATTTTTAAACCAATAAAATGACTTACTTAAAATATATCATGAATGAAAGGCTCTAACAAAAATTAGCAATTTTCAAAATACCCTTTTTTCAGTCAAATGCAGCATTTGTAATTAGTTTTTGTAACTTTATAAAACATGCACAAACAATGTTGTCCTGGCCTAATGAACATGCTCATGTTGAGCCCATATCATTTGATAGAGAAATTTGTTAAATCCTGTGTGAAAGAAAACTAAACTGTTGCATCAGCCGCTCCGTCTACATCACTATGCTGACACTCTGACTCAGCTCAGACACATATACTGCACATCACTTAGTGATAATAAGAAGCAGGCCATTTAAACTAGAATGTGATTCTGACAACTAATTTTTATCTGTGATTCAGATTACAGGATTGAATGTAATGGTTTACTGGCACATGACCTTATTGAAGTATGTTGTCCTGACATTTCAGTTTGTCGGCCAGGACACAGCTTTGACACTGCTGACGATTCTATATTGCCCGGGGTGACATTACAAAAAATATCTGTTGATGGATTCAACCCACTGGATGCAAAATGGGGCCAGGTCCAAATTGGAAAATATCATAATAACAGTTTTATTTATTTTTATATTCCCATCTGCTCTATTTTGGATCAGACAAATAAGAAGATATGAAAAATAAATGAAATGAAAAATATCTGTTGCTTCGGCTTTGTTTGCTAAAAAAAAAGAACAAATTTTAGTTCGTAATGAACGTAGTTCATTTTAAGCATATCTACAACAAATGGCCGTACTAAAAAATGAGTTTGTTTTATCGGTGAGTTCATTTATAAGCATGTTCGTTATAAATGTAGTTTACTGTATTACTGTTACAGGCAAGTGGATAGCCTATCTGACACAGAAGTGTCGATAAGGACTCCGTTCAAAGACCTTTAAGTTGCATTGTCTTCACTAGTACAAGTGTATCAAGATAATGTAGAGTGATCTTAATATTTGTGTAGTGTTGTGAACGTGTTGTGTAGTGTAGTGTTGTGAACATGTTTGTGTAGTGTTGTGAATGTGTTTGTGTAGTATTGTGAAAGTGTAGTGTTGTGAACATGTTTGTGTAGTGTTGTGAACATGTTTGTGTAGTGTTGTGAAGGTGTTTGTGTAGTGTTGTGAACGTGTGTAGTGTTGTGAACGTGTTTGTGTAGTGTTGTGAACATGTTTGTGTAGTGTTGTGAACATGTTTGTGTAGTGTTGTGAATGTGTGTAGTGTTGTGAATGTGTTCGTGTAGTGTTGTGAACGTGTTTGTGTAGTGTTGTGAACATGTTTGTGTAGTGTTGTGAATGGGTTCGTGTAGTGTTGTGAACATGTTTGTGTAGTGTTGTTAACATGTTAGTGTAGAGTTGTGAATGTGTTTGTGTAGTGTTGTGAAAGTGTTTGTGTAGTGTTGTGAACGTGTTTCTGAATCAAATATTAGAGAGAGGCAAGAACAATTTCCTTTAATGTAAAAATAACATATATTACACCCACTCCAAATCTTTAAAAAAATTCAAAACGGTGCAAGTCTATACTGATTTAGCAGTATCCTCTATATCTCCAGGGCTCGCTTTAACCTACATAAACACCTGGATCCATTCCCGTGGGTCTCGCGATCTCATATTGCTCGCCCTTCATTCATATCCTTTAGCCAATTTGATTTGCTACGTTAATCAGTGTAACAGACCTATCAGAATGCCGGTTACAAACCAGCCTCAATGTTGAGTTGGCGATGTCAACAACATGGTGGCCAGTCCCATTGATTACAAAAGAGTTTGCGAGAAACTTTACACTAAAAAACTTTGATAAGATAGAAAAGGAAATGAAAATGTGGGAAAAGAACCCTGACGCCTATGGGTAGAAATGTTGTACTAAAATCATTGTTGTTACCCAAACTTAATCATCTGTTTTGCAGCATACTAAGCCCATCCGATGTCACAATACATCCATGCACACTCTATGTATGATATTGAAATGTAAAATATGATGGAAAATGGAATAAAATCCAGAGGATCCAGAGGCTAGTGTAGGTTTACCAAGATACAAGCCCTTGGCCCCCTTCCACAAAGCGGTATTAGCGCTAAGATGATCGTAACGCCCATACTTTAGCATAGGCTTACGATGATCGTAGTGCTAAGATCGCTTTGTGGAACGGGGCCCTGGAGATAAAGAGGATGGCAGACTTAGTTATGTTTGGAAACAGTATACTGAAGTACTACAAGATCACCCATGCCTGACACAATATATCAGCAACATGTCTCATTGATGTGGTCTGGTCCAGAGAGTGACTCAGCATGAAATATAAAACCCCCCATTTGTATTGTTCATGGGTTGACAATTGTCACAGCAGCCTTGACCTCACTACATGAACCATGTCAGACCTCACGTAGTGGCTGCAGTGCTGTTCAGTTCAGTTTGTTTTATTCAGGGGAGCTGTAGGCTGTGTGTACATAGATCAGCCACCTTGTATAGAAAGATCACCTTCTATCTCTCAGAACTAATACTGAAATCTTATACCGTATTCGATGTAATAAGCGCCCACGGCGACATTTGCTAAGATGTTGGCTAATGAACAATCCCAATTAGCACCCCTTCCAATTGATCTTATTTATTCGCGTATAATATGCACATTTAATTATTGGCAATTAAATTCCGGGAAAATTATATCTGTGTACATAAACATTTCAAGCTATCAGCATAAACCACGAAATTTATCTTTCAACCCTTTTTTTTTCCACCAAAATAATATTCTAATAAGAGCCACCTATTTCTAATTTTGAGTGTGCCCTGGGCGCTTACGAGAAATACGGTAAATGAGATTTGCTTGGCTGATTTTCTCATCTAAACATGGGCTTTTGTGTTGGCATGTTTGTATGGATGAATACTGCCAGTTAATATTGTGCTATGTACCGATGCATATTGGACACTGTCACACGCAACAGGGCACTGCAGAGTTAACCATCAAACAAACAAACTGTTCCACAAAGTGATCATACTGCAACGACTGTCGTATGTATATGTTGAAGTGTGGGAGTTACGATCACCTGAGCGCCCAGATTCGTAAAAAGGACAGCACATTCTGCACATTCCAAGACACATTTTGGATTAATTTTGTTCCATAAATATGACAGAAACAGGGAGACAGATAATTTGTTTAACCATTGGGTATTTACTCACGTTATCACTCACTGATCATTTACATGGCTTGATGTAGATCTGTGAAACATGAAACCTATTATTGAAAAATATAACCTAATATTTGTCTACCTCAGTTCATGCACCCAGCACATGTCAAAAATGATTAAATCTGTGTAGGTCTAACCCTTATTTGTCCACACAAACTTGATTTTTGAACACACTGAATACCTCTAAAGTTCATTTCCCATACTACATCACAAATCCCAGAGTTACGTGTAATTTGTCATACTTTCTTTGGCTTGACATCATCAAACTGTGGGTACTTCAAGATTATGTGCACATGTTCCTATCACGGTTGACAGCAGTGCGTCATTATTTTATTAGATGCTGACAGCAGACCTGTCTATGTTTCAACTTTGATAAGTTGATAATGGGACCAGGGTGCAACTTGGTTTTCATGTCATCATATATGTGAACCTGGTGCAAGTTAGATCAAGTTACCTTAATCGAGCCCTGATTTAGTTGGTCATAACACAGTGCATCAGTGTAAATCAGCAAAATCATTTCAGCCTCACTAAATGACCATTTGTCAATAGAACATTATATATACATATGCATAGAATATGATTCTTTTCTTAAGAGCTTCAAATTGGATGCTTGAGGAGATGCTGTATCATTATCGAGATATATTTTAATCACTATCGGAACACAATTCCACCTAATAACTGCATTTCAGAGGATTCTATCCATTTTGTTCAGGAGATTCTATCCATTCTATCCATTCTGTTCAGGAGATTCTATCCATTCTGTTGAATCAGAAAACCACCAGGCATGAGTCAGCATGTTTGATACAACATGTTCGTTCCGGCTGACTGTGTACAATATATCTTCTCTGTGTGCACAGTGGTGGTCAGTAGACCGCATCGAGTAGGCTTTGTGCAAGAACCGTGACTTGGTATGTTTGCCATGATAATCTCTTCTTTGTCCTATGAACTTGTGATCTTGGTGCTGAATGTTGCATGCATGCATCTGTATGGAATGAAGAATCTGGAAAAAAATTATAGTTTGGGCATACAGCGTTTAGAGTACTGAATGGCTTCGTAAAAGTTACTTACATTGTTTATTTGTTGTTTAATGCTGCACTCAGCCATGTTGCAGCTACAAGTAATCGAGTCTGGACAAAACAATCCAGTGATTGACATCATGAGCATCAATCTATTCATTTGGGACACAATGACTTGCATCCATCAAGTCAGTGAGCCAGACCACTCGATCCCGATAGTCGCCTCTTATGACAAGCATGGGTTGCTGAAGATCACAAGGTCATTCAAAAACACATTTGATATGAACAAATGTTTTGTCTTTAGAATGAGGGGATAGATCCACTGACAGGGATTTATTTCAATGTGTCTTGAGGCCAATATACGGCTGCAAAATCTGCAGCAAATGTCAGTAAAACAATTCCCAAACTGAAATGAAACATTTCCCATTTAATGTTATTGAGGTTTCACTAATGTTATGACTTTGTAGCGGTGACTTGTATTTCACTGACAACAGGACCAGTGTGGAGGAGGAGGTTTTCATGCTTAGTTCAACAGTTCAACTCAAAAACAGCAACAACACGATAACAATTTATCCCAACTTTTTTTTCAAGGGCATTTTTTTTCGGAATCCCACATAATCTCTGTGACAAATAAAACTGTCAAAGTCTACAACCTGTGTCACTTTCAGCATTCTCCCCACATACACCCCACCAACCTGACGCATCCACCCTTCCATCCTGATGCATGCCCCCCTTCATCCTGACACATCCACCCCTCCATCCAGACACATCCCTCTCCATCCTGACGCATCCCCCCTCCATCCTGACACATCCACCCCTCAATCCAGACACATCCCTCTCCATCCTGACACATCCCCCCTCCAACCTGACACATCCACCCCTCCATCCAGACACATCCCTCTCCATCCTGACGCATCCCCCCTCCATCCTGACACATACACCCCTCAATCCAGACACATCCCTCTCCATCCTGACACATCCACCCCTCCATCTAGACACATCCACCCTCCATCCTGACATATCCCCTTCATCCTGACACATCCACCCCTCCATCCTGACACATCCCCCCTCCAACCTGACAAATCCACCCTCCATCCTGACACATCCCTCTCCATCCTGACACATCCACCCCTCCATCTTGACACATCCACCCCTCCATCCTGACACATCCACCCTCCAACCTGACACATCCACCCTCCATCCTGACATATCCCCTCCATCCTGACACATCCATTCTCCCCCCCCCCCCCCCAACCGACACATCATCATTCCCCCACCCCCACCCCCTTCCTGACACGTCTTGATAAAACTGAAATACTTTTCAAAGTTGTGTTGTGTGATCAAGACAGAGTCCAAAACTCATATTGGCATTCAACAGAACCGAAGAGTAACCTGATCGGAAGTACCTAACTGCAGGGTTCAAATCCTGATAATGATCAATGTTCTGCCACGTTAAGCCTCTTGTATTTCGCTGCCAATTCGTAGTTTTGCACCTGTTTGACTTGTGGCAGGCATTTTTATTATAAACTTATTCACAGCTAGACTCGGAATGTCTGCATTGTATTTCTCAAATTCTGTAGCAGATAAATGCAAAGTTCTGCATGATTTCTGCACAAAATGTGATTTTCAGCAAGATAAGTACATTTTATTTACTGACCGCCATGAAATATTGCTGACTGTGATGTAAAGCAATCATTAAAATCACATCTTTGTTCTCGCTAATGCTAAACAGAAATCACTTATGATATTGGGAAAGTGACAGTCAGAATGTGTTTTCTAATTGCCACCTCAATTTGAAGTGGGAGAGACTTTCTGTAGTCTGTGAGAAGCACTGCCATACAATCTCGCCCATCTATCAGACATTCCAGAATTTTCTTTTGTTCAGTTTTCAAATTTTGAATCGATATCTGTCATAGCTTAGTCTGGAATGGAAGCTGCCAGTTTGAAATTAGTGCCATAAAGCACAAGAAAGCTACTTTGTGATTGGCTAATGTCAACTTCTTGTAAGTCATTTCATTGGTTGGCTAAAGTTCGCAAAAGTTTGTTCTGATGTGATCTGTAATGAGATGTCCCCAGATCTTAGTTTAGCAGTAGCAGGCACTGAGATCTGTTTCTAATGAGTTTGGGTCTAAAGCAAAACAGAACAAACAACAAATGTCCTTCATGTTCTTCCTATTCCCAAGGTTGTATGTTGTTTTGTGTTCCTCAGTTGGGCCGTCCTGTTCTCCCATCCCGCGGACTACACTCCTGTGTGCACCACCGAGCTTGGCCGAGTCGTCCAGCTTGTCCCAGAGTTCGGCAAGCGGGCGGTGAAGATGATTGCTCTGTCCTGTGATGATGTAGTAAGCCACAAGGGCTGGTCAAAGGTGAGGTAGCATCACTTCAGAGATTTTGAGAAGTCATTGTTGTACAGTGTCCAAACCTTTAGATATCAGCTTTGAGAAGTCATTGTTGCACAGACCACCTCCATGGTGTGGTGGTAGAGCGCCCGCCCGGAGAGCAGAAGGTCCGGGGTTTGATCCCCGGACGCGTCATTCCAAAAGACGTTAAACAATGGTACTTGTTATTACCCTGTATGGTGCTCAGCATTAAGGGGCAAAAAAAATAACTGGTCGGCTCAGAGTCAGTATACTGTGTCTCAGTGGGGTATTCATGATAAACTGCGCCATGATATCTCAGTAAGCTAGCACTATAAATCGGCATCAGTCCAAACTAGTATTAGCAGACACAACACACGTGCATGCACATGTATAAGCACTATATAAGTGCAATAATCTTTGATGTGACGTTAAACCCCATTGCATAGTGTCCAATCCTTCAGAGGCAGTGAAAAGAGCCGGGGTAGAATAGTTCTTCAGCAACCCATGCTTGCCATAAAAGGCGACTAAGCTTGTCGTAAGAGGCGACTAATGGGATTGGGTGGTCAGGTTCGCTGACTTGGTTATGCATCACATCGTATCCCAATTGTGTGGATCGATGCTCATGTCAATCACTTCAATTATTTACAGATCGCCGTCATATAGCTGGAATATAGCTGAGTGTGGCGTTAAACAACAAACACACTAACAAACAGTGTCCAACCCTAACCCATATCCACATCTGCTTCCCTGGTTAGATTTGTTTTTGTTTGTTTGTAATTTAACGCTGCACTCAGCAATCTTCCAGCTATATGACAGCGGTCTGTAAATAATTTAGTCTGGACCAATCTAGTGGTTGATATCATGATCATTGGGATAGGATGACATGCACAACCAAGTCAGCGAGCCTGACCACCCGATCCCATTTGTCGCCTCTTACGACAAGCATACCGAATTGACTTTTATCGCAAGCATAGATTGCTGAAGACCTAATCTACCCTGGATCTTCATGGTTCCCCTATGACAACCTGTACAGGTTGTAACAGGCGACTTATGGCTCAGGTGGTCATGCTCACTGACTGATTGATTGATAACAACATTGGCTCACCCGTTTTCGATCAGTGGTTTATGTTAAACAACTAATTGGAGAGAAAACAAATAGTCCAATCTCTCCATGTTTCTTTTTGTGTCAGGCAGCCATGTTTATACCTCTTGTGCTAGCTCATCTTTGTTTGGATCAGTTTGGTAGAATAATTGAAAGGGTGACCATGTTTGACAGCTTGATTCCTGAGTTTTGCTTGCCCCACACTGAAGCACAGTAAAACATGTGGTGTCTCCTTTGGCAAGTGACTTTGTTTGATATATGCCTCTGTTCACCCAGCACAGCAATGAAATGGTACCTTGTGGGAGGAGATGGTGACTCTTAAGTTTCTAGCACCTCACACACTGCTTGGGTTGTATACTCACCAGGGAGCTGAGAATATAAATCAAGTGAGCACTGATCCATTGACTTGGGTAATAGTGAGTGAGTACGGTTTTATGCCGCTTTTAGCAATATTCCAGCAATATCACGGCGGGGGACACCTGAAATGGGCTTCACACATTGTACCCATGTCGGGAATCGAACCCGGGTCTTCTGCGTGACGAGCGAACGCTTTAACCACTAGGCTACCCGACCGCCCCGACTTGGGTAATAATAAGAGTTATAAATTGGACAGTGCACTATACAAATTCATAATATAATATTATTGCTGACTGTGGCACTAAGGAACAAACATTCACCCCTGTTACCTCATCCTGGCATTACAAGGCTATCCTTGTTCCTCCACAGGATGTGATGGCCTATGCAAAGCAATCGGGTGACTTCCCCTACCCTATCATCTCTGACAAGGACAGGTCTCTAGCGGTCAAGCTGGGTATGGTGGACCCTGCCGAGAAGGATGCTGCAGGCCTGGCCCTTACCTGCAGAGCAGTGAGTAGCTGCTGGTCATTCTAGAGTATCCATCTACTTGGGGGTTCTGTAGTATCTATCTACTTGGGGGTTCTAGAGAGTCTATTTACCTGGGGGTTCTAGAGTGTCTACTTACCCGGGGGTTCTGTAGTATTTACCTGGGGGTTCTAGAGAGTCTATTTACCTGGGGTTCTAGAGAGTCTATTTACCTGGGGATTCTAGAGTATATATTTACCTGGGGTTCTAGAGTATATATTTACCTGGGGTTCTCGAGTGTCTATTTACCTGGGGGTTCTAGAGTATATATTTACCTGGGGTTCTAGAGTGTCTATTTACCTGGGGGTTCTGTAGTATTTACCTGGGGGTTCTAGAGTGTCTATTTACCTGGGGGTTCTAGAGTGTCTATTTACCTGGGGATTCTGTAGTATTTACCTGTGGGTTCTAGAGTGTCTATTTACCTGGGGGTTCTGTAGTATTTACCTGGGGGTTCTAGAGTGTCTATTTACCTGGGGTTCTAGAGTGTCTATTTACCTGGGGGTTCTGTAGTATCTACCTGGGGGTTCTAGAGTATTCATCTACCTTGGGGGTTCGGGCATATCCATCTACCTGGGTGGTCTGTAGTATCTATCTACCTGTGGGTTGGGGGTACAGTATCCTTGGGGTTTACAGAAGATCTGTCTGCTTAGGGGTTCTGGAATATCCATCTTCCTGGGTATTCTGGTTTGGGGATCGAGAGTATCCATCTAACTGGGGATTCTACAGGATCCATCTTCCTGGGTATTCTGATTGGGGGATCGAGAGTATCCATCTAACTGGGGATTCTAGAGGATCCATCTTCCTGGGAAATCGGATGCCAGCAATGCTACTGATATCTTGCAGATTTCTCTACTTTCTGTGTTCAAGGTAAGATCAATTATCACACATGTAACTATGCACATGGCAAATTATCAGCATCTGATACACTCCAGACTCCACTTTTCCCAGATAAATATAACATGTTCTTGTTCCCCAGGTTTTCATTATTGGACCAGACAAGAAGTTGAAGCTATCACTCCTCTACCCTGCTACAACTGGCAGAAACTTTGCGTGAGTTTTCTCCTATTGGTTTATTTTCCACAATTCCACAATTTTTATCTTCAAGGTTGATATTTTGATAATAAGTTCTCTATATAGCATGAATGTGTCATAATTATTAGCTGAGGTAGGGGTGGGGTGGGATGGGGGGACAGTAGGTTCTATGAATCTTGTGCTGGCTGAAGTAGATTGTATGATGATTGTTCTAGTTGCAGTAGATTGTATGGTGATTGTTCTAGTTGCAGTAGATTGTATGATGATTGTTCTAGTTGCAGTAGATTGTATGGTGATTTTTCTGGTTGTAGTAGGTTGTATGATGATTGTTCTGGTTGCAGTAGATTGTACGATGATTGTTCTGGTTGCAGTAGGTTGTATGATGATTCTTCTGGTTGTAGTAGGTTGTATGATGATTGTTCTGGTTGCAGTAGATTGTACGATGATTGTTCTGGTTGCAGTAGGTTGTATGATGATTCTTCTGGTTGCAGTAGGTTGTATGATGATTGTTCTGGTTGCAGTAGGTTGTATGATGATTCTTCTGGTTGCAGTAGATTGTGCGATGCCTGTTCTGGTTGCAGTAGATTGTATTATGATTGTTCTGGTTGCAGTAGGTTGTATGATGCCTGTTCTGGTTGCAGTAGATTGTATTATGCTTGTTCTGGTTTCAGTGAAATCCTGAGAGTGATTGATTCTCTCCAGCTTACGGCCTCGAAGAAAGTTGCCACCCCAGTTGACTGGGAGGTGAGATAACTGCTAATAGCACAAGAAACATACATTGAATTGATGACAACAATATACTTCATCAATCTTTTGTCATTCCAACATCGACTTCCTGCAAAAATATTTTGTTCAAACCCCCTCCTGGAATCTGTCAAAACAAGGATAGACACATGGTGTTAAATCAAACACAGCTCTTGAGGGTGTTATGCAACAAAACTCAAAGTCCAGCACTATCCCCAGCTTTTCTCTTGACGTGCTAGCAGATTACATTCAAATAAAGTTGGACCTGTGAAGATCCCGGATAGAATAGGTCTTCAGCAACCCATGCTTGCCGTAAAAGGCGACTGCTTGTCGTAAGTGGCCACTAACAGGATTTGGTGGTCAGACTTGCTGACTTGGTTGATGCATGTCATCGAGCCCAACTGCGTGGATCGATGCTCATGATGTCAATCACTGGCTTGTCTGGTCCAGGCTTGATTATTTACTGACCGCCGTCATATAGCTGGAATAAAGCTGAGTGCGGTGTTAAACAACAAACAAACAAACAAATCAAATAAAGTTGAGCAAACATTAGCTGCTTCTGTGCAGGTCTTTGGTAAATGTATGCCATTGTGCCTTATACATGCTCTGTGTGTTTGCCACTGGTGATAAGCAAGATCACCCAATCATTGTGCTTTTCAAAATATAAACACCTAGTTATTTGCTTACAACTTCAAAAAATATCACATTTACATGATCAGTGTTTGCATCTCTAACAAACCTCAATTGACTTATCATTGCTGTTATTTTTGTCTTTTATTTCAATCCCATATTATTATTTTACCCTATCTGGTGTTATATTACCCTACCAGGTGTTATTTTACCCTACCTGACGTTATATGACCCTACCTGGTGTTATTTTTCCCTATATGGTGTTAATTTACCCAATCTGGTGTTATGTTACCCTACCTGGTGTTATATTACCCTACCGGGTGTTATGTTACCCTACCTGGTGTTATTTTACCCTACTTGGTGCTATATTACTCTCCCTGATGTTATATGACCCTACTTGATGTTATATTACCCTACCTGGTGTTATTTTACCCTACTTGGTGTTATATTATCCTACCTTGTGTTATATTACCCTACCTGGTGTTATTTTACCCTACTTGGTGTTATATTACCCTACCTGGTGTTATTTTACCCTACTTAGTGCTATATTACCCTACCTGGTGTTATATTACCCTGTCTTGTATTACAGAATGGGAAACCATGTATGGTTGTGCCGTCTTTGTCCAGTGAGGAGGCCAAGAAGCTATTCCCCAACTTCGAGACGGTTGCCCTTCCTTCTGGGAAAGAGTATGTCCGTATGACTACAGAATACTGAACATTTGCACCACAGGTCATTTGAAGTTATAAATATTCTGAAAAAATGGCTGCTTCAGAAATGAAATATTTGGGAGTATATTTAAAATATTGTTGTAAATTCTACAGTTTTACGGTTGCAACAGTACTGCTGCAAGAGGCCTGCAGACATTCAAGCTTGTGTGCCATTGTTGTTTGTTAAGACAATAGATGTGATATAAAATGTAAACAGAGAATGGTGTATTTTTTTAGCAGATTTGCAAGTTTGAGAAACGTCTCTCTGTAAAGTGCCTTTTGTATTGTATTGAAAGACTAGCTGAGGTCATTGTTTCAGATGCTATTTTGTTTGTTTAAGAAATAAAGACATGATAACAATTTGTATATTTTGTCATAATATCTGAAAGTGACACAGAGTTGTATCCCTTCAACTGCCCGTTTGGAATGTTGTGGATGTTGTCTTGTTTGAGAATTAAATCAGTGCACGCCACCTGTCATCTGCTACATGACATTTTCATTATATAGGGTAGGCTGCACTTCAACATAAGTTTATTTGTTGTATTCATCTTGAACAAATCGGGACAGTGGGGGTAGCCTAGTTAAAAGATTTCGCTCCTCATGCCTAAAACCTGGATTCGATTCCCTACATGGGTACAATGTGTGAGGCCTATTTTTATTGCTGGAATATGGCTAAAAGCGGGGTAAAACAATACTCAGGTTGAACAAATCAAGAAGATTGTTCCTTTAATATATGATAGTGTCATTGATAACCCAATGGAAAGTTGGGTCGGAACCTGACCATCCCAAGGGGTAGGAGTACTGGAAAGCATTGATCATGTACCTGCTTTATCTTTTGGGCCACCTCATGATTAAAAAATTACTTGGAAGATGGAAAGTTTCAAAGCCCCTCCACAAATGGTCTTTGTTTGTGTGTTTGTTTGTTTGTTGCTTAACACCACACTCAGCAACATTCCAGCTATATGACTTCGGTCTGTAAATAATAGAGTCTAGACCAGATAGTCCAGTGATTGACATGAGCATCAATTCATGCAATTGGGATATGATGATCCCTTGGACACGGCAGAAATCTATGATTGTGGGTTCGAATCCCCGTTTGTCTCGATTATGTTTCTAGGTTTGTCAGCACCATACCTGTGCTCGTGGGTTTCAGCGAAGTGGTAAACGTCTGAGACCTGCATCACTTTGGGCTTTCCTCCCACATTAAGCTGACACACCCTGATATAAGTGCAATACTGTTAAACCGCATGGAACAGCCCGACTCAGTCTCTTCACGGTTGTCCAGCTGTAGTCCATTGCAACTGTAGCACTCACCTCCATTCTGAAAAGAAAACCACAGTTATGAGTGAGTGAATTAATCGGGTTTAAGGCTGCTTTCAAGTATTCCAGTTATATCACAGCCTGGCTATCAGGCCAATGTGGAAGGAAAGTGATGCAGGTCTTAGATGTTTCCCCATTTGGTGAAACCCACGAGCAGGAGTAGGTGGCTGAATTACCCAGAAACATAATCGGGGCAAACCGGATTCAAACCCACGATCATAGGTTTATGGCATGAACAAGAGTCTCAACTCTACACAGCGAATTACGGCGCCTTAGACGACTGGGCCACCCGTGGCCCCCACAGTAATGATGGTGATGATGATATATTTTAATTATTTATGCCAGAGGTACAGACCCTTATTCAGTGATACAAAACGCAAAGATGTGCTAAACTGCCTTGTCTTATAAACATCAGTAAGCAATACTTGGATGCAATGTGTTTCCATTATTTCTCAACTTCTCTGACAAATTTAATATTGACCTTTAATAAAAGATACTGACTACAAAGTCATATTGTACTTATATCGCCAACTGTTTCCATTACAATTGTAACACAAAATCAGTAAATATGTTACGTTAACGCCAGCGAATAATCAGTCTCGATTAACTGCCCAGACAGAATCCATTGGGTGTAAAGGGCAAAAAAGTGGTGAAAATTTTATGAATGTATCACTGAAAATCAGCGATTACATCTGGTGTTCGCGAAAGGGTAAGCATGTCCTGCTCTACCGGTATCACCCGCCACTCACACAAGTTACATAAGAATTCTCGACCAGACAATCCTGTGACATGATAGGTATAAGCAGCATTTGGGTATGTACGTGTTTCCGTTGCTATTTGTCCACTGACAATTTCGGTATGATTGTTTTATGATGACCTTTATAAAAAAATATATTGACTACAACGTTAAATCCTAGTCATAACGCATTTACGCCACATACTAATTACATTAACTGTCACACCGATTAATATGTAAGTTGAGTGGTTCCTTTTGAAGTTTGAAAACTGCATTGATTTTCAAACTACACCAGAACACTATCTTTTCTTTATTGAGGGATGCAAAATATACTGAAAGTAAGCGACCTGAATTAATTGATTGAGTCATTCAACAGTGACCACATTCTGAACATTCATGAGTGCACTAACATTAATTCTAGGGCGTATTGCTACTGCCACTTATTAAACCCATTTAACTGCCTTTCTTATTGTAAAAATAAAGCTGTGTTTAAATAAGATGTATTGATTATTCGTCGATCGTGTGTACCATGTGGTACTCATTACACATTTTAGTTCTGTAAGAACCGATTTTTTGGTTAACCTCTGCGTTTCAATTTGGAAATCGCCATGTAACAAAAATATAAATCTACTAAGACTTCTATTGAAATATGGTGTTGATATGGTAACCCACGACCACTGGTTTTGTGCTTATAAACCTTGAAACATTATCAGGACGAATCAGGAATCAAAGGTTTCTGTCAAAAATGAGCGACGGAATTCCGGCGCCTTCAGATGCGATTGTATAATGATATTATTTTCAGATTATTTCGTAAAAACTGAAAAACACACACAATTATTTGAAAAATAATCGACGAGTAGGAGTTGTTTATCGTACAATAAACACTTCGTGGAGAATAAACCATGAGGGGCGCAAATTCTATTGGAACACTGTGTTGAGTGAATGACAATGAGTTTAAGGATGCTTCTAACAGTATTCCAGCAATATTGTGGCTTGGTACTCCAGAAAGGGGTGAGAGGAGGGGGAGGAATCCCCCACACTGTACCCATCGCCGAGAACATCTTTAGTACTCACTTATTATACATCTACATCGGCGTAGGAAGAGTTTCTAAGTTCATCGGTCCCCGTGGGCATATTGTTTTAATTTGCCGAATTACGTTTCGATGTTGTCAGTGAATGAGGAGTCTAAGTTATAAACCTTACCAGAGAGTGTGCGTGGATTTACACCGCTTATAGGAATTAGGGGTGGATTTCACACATTGTACTACTCGGATACTCTCCCGAATCAGCAGTGTTAGTTATGTAAACAAATAATTTCGTACTTCTATCGGTCAGAACTGCATCCAAGGGGCCCCTCACAAACCACCATTACTAAAACCATCTGAAAGAATACTTCTTTATGTCATTATCAGTTTATACCACACTATGCCATAGTCGCATTGTGAAATAAAGTAACTCTTAGCAACCCCAGCATTTTGTTGAAAGCGACGCCAATCCCGAAATCATTCACTACAGTAACTATGTATTCATCGATGTTACCACGTGAGTGGGTTTGGAGATGGTAAATATATTGTTGGGAATACGTCATAGTATTTATTCCAAACGCATGATATTTACCGCATACACCGCATTTAGGCACCGATTATTAGTATCTTAGACCATGGATAATGAAAACAGTTATGTTGGTAATCTGAAACAATCGCCGACCAACATTGGCGACGCAATACCGTGCATTGACAAACTGAAGTGTAAGTTAAACACCACTTGGCAATGTCGGAGCTTCTTTTGTCCCCTTTAATTTGCCTTGATGATTGAAAAATCCGAGCCTCGGACTCTAACCATTTCAAAGAACAGACACCAGGTCATCGTGCTCTAACCTTTTCGTAAACACAAGGGGCGGTCGGGTAGCCTTGCGGTTAAAGCGTTCGCTCGTCACGCTGAAGACCCGAGTTCGATTCCCGACATGGGTATAATGTGTGAAGCCCATTGCTGGTGTCCCCCGCCGTGATGTTGCTGGAATATTGCTAAAAGCGGCGTAAAACCATACTCACTCACTCACTCACTCGTAAACACAAAGAAGTACCTACCTGGCCCTTGATATTTGAAAATGTATCCGTAAATGACCCCAACGGATGTGTTATCTATTGGTTTAAAATGCCGAGAAACCTTCCCATGACATGATTCATATGTATATAATACAACACATAAAGTTACGAGTGGGTAGTTGTAAATATGTTACACACAATATGGCCACGAACAGATTGTTACATTTATTAATTTTATTATCTATTCCTGCACAAACATTGTTAACACGCTCTGTATTCCCTACAAAATCATATTATCATGGGATCCTGGGGGGTCTTAAAGCTCTTAAAAATGCACCTCAAACCAATTTCCAAAAGAACGTTCATTGTAGCACGTAAGTAGCAGAAACATCAACAATAGGTGTCTATGTCATGTTCATGTCGATTTTAAATGAATTCTCACCAGCTTCTTGAAATAACTCTGACGTGTACTGGCACAGTTGTTAAACACGTGTACGCCCGTCTGCCTCCGTTCGTCCAGTCCGACTTAACGCGCGTGAAAAACTCGTGCAACGGAAGTGAGCCCTGATTGGTTAACTCGTTTCCATGACATCACGCGGCAATGCTGGCTGACACCTGCATGAGCGCAGACAACGCCCCAAACCTGATTTAACCTGTGTTTGAGTACATAGCCTAAAGGTACCATGCCAACATTAAAGTGTGATATGGCGGTAAGGTAGCCTTGTGGTTAATGTGTTTGCTTATGCATCAAGCTGAAGTCCTGGGTTCGATTCCTCACATAAGTACAATATGTCAAACAAAATATGTCAAACCAATGTGTCGCACACTGTTATGTGGCCAAAATAGTCATAAAAGCGTCGATAAATCCAAATCACTCACTCACTATTGTTGAGTGTATGAAGTTATTGAAGTACAGTAAACTACGGTTATAACGAACACGCTTATAACGAACTAACCGATATAACGAACTTATATTTTAGTCCCGGTCATTTGTTGTACATATGCTGTATATAGGCTTATAACGAACTACGGTTATAACGAACTAAAATTAGTGGTCCCTTTGAGTTCGTTATAACCGTAGTTTACTGTACATGATCCACGGCCATTTCCAGGCCAGTTCCAGACGTGGTAATCAGGACAATCCATAGTTGTTCAGTCAGCAGGGTTTCTTTGAATGACATGTTTCAAACTTGTCAGCCAACCCGAGCCTCGTGTCGCGAAGCTAAACAGCCGAGCAAAAGAAACTATACACCCATGTTTGATGGTGACAAAAAACGAAACAAACAAGAAATGGTTATTCGTTGGTGATGTATTTGTTACATAGTTGTGTTTTGGGCCTTACTTTTGTAGTGTTTCAGTGACTGTTTTCAGCATAGTAATGTACTCATCGCGATGGTATTTTTTTTTATCAAATCCAATTTTCAAGAGCATACTTTCTTTAGTATATGAATAAATGTTATAGATGTATAAGGCTTTACAATAGCTTTTATTTAGTGTATGGATACGCTGATCTTAAAAATAAGCAAAATCCGAAAATAATGACAAGGTTTTTTTGTGTACAACCGACGGTAAAGACAAAACAAAATATTGCTAGGGATTGTTGTATGACTAGACACGAAAAAATAAGATTTTAAATCACCTACCGATCTAAATCGAAAGTTAAGGTGATTAAACAAGTCCTGTACAATTTATTATATTTCTTTATTTTTAGATATGCCGACCAAATGTTCACTGTCAAAAGCTGTAAATCTCTGTTATATACTTGTATATGATTACTTTATATAATTGCCAAAAAATAATAACGGCTTGAGACATGCTAGATTATTTATGTACGTTTGAATTAGGCCAAAATAATTTGTAAAAATGCACTTGCCTAGATCATTTCAACGTGCAAGTAATTGCGCGATAACCACGGTAACTATAGTCTGTCTTACAGATCCTGATACAAATATATCAAATACAGCCCATGCAAGACTATAATGTTTGGCAAGTCTAGATTACTGCAGTATCAGGATGAAGAGAGTCTCTGGGTTCCTTTTTATTAAATTTTTATTAAGATAATTTTAACAACTTTTTTTCTGTACGATATGTTCATTTCAGAGATTAGATGTTAGTCTACGATAGGTTACAGCCTACGATAGGTTACAGCCTACGATAACTCTCACGATGCCACGGATCAGTGATCAAAGGGACATTACTCAACCCGAAGTGTGTAAATTACGACCTTGGCGGAAAAAAAACAACAGTTATTGCATAATCACTTGTAAACAGTTTCTTTCAAAACGTGCATCGCGTTTGGTCGGTAACAAACTGTGAGTCATTTAGAAGACAACAGTGTACTGTTTTACCCTGTGATCTGACCTTTGCATTAACGTGAATTGCTGGTGTTAAAATATGTTGAATATAAAATAAAACGCCAGTTCTCAGGGTTCTGGTAGATTTGAGTTCCCGTGGTTAATAACTATTAGAAATAGAAGTTATTTTGAACATACGAATAAAACTACGAGAACATTCGATATTTTGTCAGAATATATATATTTTATGACAACTTCATACATTTTGGATGTTGCTTTATTGATTACAAAAACTTATGCTTTTGATCATTCGGTAGTGTTTTCATACATAATTGTCAAAACACACATAGAGCCATGCACCCGATTATGAACATAGTATCACGATATAATTTGATTATATTTGATCAAAACAGTCAAAATAAATTTAAACAATATTGCTGTGGCCCTCTAATGTACGGAGGTATTTTAGAGTTGCTCCCCGTTGTACAGCTCTTTCCCAGCGCGTGACAGCTTCGCTTCCCACCTTGGCTGGGTTCCTTGACTAACTAATCCTTTCGGCTTTAAACGCTGAGCTTGCGGCGCACATTAACTGATGAACCAGTTTATACAGTCGGGGTAGTTGAGAGCACCGAGAACGGTTTATCGCTGTGAGGAGCTTGTAAGGGGAATCACCATAACTTCAAAGAAATACACTCGTACCGAATGTCCGAAAGCGAAAAGAGAAAATTGAAAAATGTTTTGCCTTGAATACGTACATCCATGTGCGAGGTGTAAGTATACGTTAAGTCTGTTGTATTCATCCGTGGTTGTCAACTCCTTGTGTTGTTGCTAGCCATCCATTACGTAATAGCCAGACTGAACAGGGAACTAGCAATGTGGAGTGCGAGGAACTGAGAATAACAGGACTTCGTGATTCATCAAAGACTGAATTTTCCTTTTTGACATTATATTTCTTATTGTTAACTGCACGTGTTTCTGATTAAAGGTGAATATTGACATATATGCCAAATCGCCCACCTCTTCAGCCCCCACATAATACATCCCCTCCCCCACCCCCACCCCAGACCACACCCCTGTTCAAACACACAACACGCACCACACACACCATCCTGCCATACAGCCATTTCCTGTTTATCCAACAATCGGCTTTATCCGACACTATTGATAGGATGCCGACTAAATCAGTGCTATTTAGACTCGTTAATCCATAGCTACAGATAAGCAGCGTATTTGCGTAAAATACCCACCCACCCCCCCAAAAAAATTATTCAAAACCCAATTACTTTCAATTAGCTTCCGTACAGAAATTTACAGCTCGCGTAATTACCCAAAGAAGCTTTTTCAGCATGCGTACACACAAGCTAATTACTGATACACATTTATGGGCTAATTTACTTTCTAGGGCAAGTCTATTTATTTAGAACAGTTATATACATCTAAAACATTATTTCATTTTTTTTTAAATCTTAAAATGTTTACTAATTTTGGGAAAAACCCAATTGAAAGATAAATAGATGAGTGAAAAAATATTGGTTACCTAATGAAAAATGTAATAACCCAATTAAAATAGACACCCAAGAGTAGAAACTCAATTGCTCAAAATTTTATCTGGAGCTCTGTTAATCCTACGGTCTCACACTCCGACTACGACACACCTAATTTGCAACGGATTACTGAAATCACACATCATGTTAGTCTCGTTAATCTGACAGTGATCAGATTATACCTTGGTCATCTAACTGTTTGTACACAGCCCCGTGTTTTGATGCAAGCCGAGTCAGCTAGTGCCTGCAAATTGCAATGGCTGCAGAGATAAATGTAACAATTAACAATTAATTCTTTTCATAAATGAAGCAGGTAAACCTAATTTACAAATTGAAGCAAAATAAATATGCAGGAAACCAGATAAATATAGAAATAGGTATATTTTTGTTTGTTTGTTGTTTAATGCCACACTCACCAATATTCCAGCTATATGACTGTAAATAATCAAGTCTGGACCAGACAATCCAGTGATTGACATCATGAGCATTGATCCAGTTGGGATACAATGACATGCATCAACCAAGTTGTCAAGCCTGACCACCCAGTCCCATTAGTCGCCTCTTATGACAAGCATAATCGCCTTTTATGACAAGCATGAGTTTCTGAAGACCTCTTCTACCCCGGATCTTCACAAGTCAAATGGGAATAAGAAACATGACTTGCCTTGTACCATTCATTAGAACGTCTGTGTCCAGTACACCTCTAAGAAAGTATTGATAATACTTAATTTCTTTATGTCGGATTAATGGGACCTGACTGTATATTTGCCCCCCTACAGCTGATTCAGCTGGTAAATAATAATATGTAAATGAGATATTGTGTCAGTCACGACAGCACCACTGATATGATCAGAGTGCTGAGAATTTAGTTCGGACATGAATAGATCTGACTAGTAAATGAGATTTATTGGTATTAAGAATGATCTGGAATCCTGTGGAGACAAATTTTTGCTAAGTCTTCAATTTAACAATATCATACCCAAGACAATTTGTACCCATCATTTCATCAGTCACACCATGGACCCTAAATATCGTATTAAGTGTCCATGGTCACACCTGGCGGTATCTGATATGGAATACATGGAGAGAAAAATATGTTTACTGGAATTTATTGGATTTGTTCCTTTGACAAAATAAGCAAGTTATGTATCTAAAACTATATGCATTGGAGCTTGTACCTACCTATTCCTACCTGGATATAACAGTGATATATGTACTGCATTTATTGCCAGTAGCAATTGACTTGTCATAATGACCAATCACAGCCTTCATTTCAACCCCATACTTTCCCTCGACATATCTGATTGGATGTTGATGTATGATGGATGTTGTGACCTGGTGTTCAGACAATGAAATATAAGCAATGTGTCTTAATGTGGATGCAGTTTTTAGTCTTTTGCCTATACCTGAACATCAATATTTTGTGTTTGTTTATGATTTGAAAGGTAACAGTTTTATTCAAAGACAGGGTATGCATCTATGTGATGTCAAAATTTGTTAAGCAGTAAACAAATGTTTTTAGTGTTGTTGTTTTTTTTTATCTTAGATTGGGTACCTGGGTCGGGTAATAGGAGACTGGGTACCCTGGTCGGGTCGGGTTATAGGAGACTTGGTCAGGTCGGGTTTTAGGAGACTGGGTACCCTGGTCGGGTCAGGTTTTAGGAGACTGGGTACCCTGGGTCATGTTGGGTAATAAGAGATTGGGTACCCTGGTCGGGTCGGGATTTAGGAGACTGGGTACCCTGGTCGGGTCTGGTTTTAGGAGACTGGGTACCCTGGGTCATGTTGGGTAATAAGAGATTGGGTACCTTGGTCGGGTCAGGTTTTAGGAGACTGGGTACCCTCGGTCATGTTGGGTAATAAGAGATTGGGTACCCTGGTCGGGTTGGGTAATAGGAGACTGGGTACCCTGGTCGAGTTGGGGACAGGGTACCTGGGTAATATTATATTGCCTTACTCTATTTACAATTAATTCTGATATTGATTTATTCTGATGAAGTAATATATTATATAGAATTAATCATTATTGATGTGTTAATGGTTTGACCGTCATATTTATCATTTATTATACCTCAATCTGATCATAAACATGAAGAGCAAAGCTAAGGTGAATCTGACAGTGTGAAATGCTGATAAGACAACTTCCTATTCAGTTGGTCCATACACTGTCAATATTGAACATCACAATCAATAAGAAAAGAAGAAGTTCTTAGTGTCTGACTGTCTATGTGAATGAATTTTACTGGAATCATAGATATCTGGAAAAGTGAGTGTTAAATATGAGTTTGTACTCATTATTCTTTTGTCGGCATAAGATCTCAATAGATTTAAGAAAACACACCATTGTATGCAACTATTTGGTATTATGTTGTTATTTAAGCTTCTGCTCTTGTCAATACATTGAACTTCAACTGTGACTTATTTGGTCACATCCACTTGCCTACAGCCAGTTTGGCCTTCCGTCTTAAATAACCAAAGATATGGTTCAGTGATTTCCTTGACTGATTTCTTACAAATGCTCCAATAATGGTTCACTTTCCCATACATCTAGTGTATGCATGTCAATCTCCGATTGTACAGCCAATATCCTTCTAACAAGACCTGCTGTCTTCCTATTAACCATATTTGTGAAGTCACCAACTCAAAATGCTTCTGGTTTGCAATACTGTGAATGTGTCAACTGTCTGGGCTTAATATTTATACTTATTTCTGACATGTTCGATGTTGTTAGAGTCTCCAATATTCTCAAATTAGAAGTTTCATGTTGTAAAGGTCAGTTAAACTCAGGGCTGTGGTGTGTGTGTGTAGGGGTGGTGTGGGGTGGGGTGGGACGGGTGCCTCAAGAAGATGTTCATAACCATACTTCTAACCATTTCAGGGCTCCAGATATAAAAACTATAGGTATTCAGTATCTTTTTACTCTTTTAGTCCAGTCTGTTGGGTATATCTTAACCAGCGAGTAGGTTTTCTTAAATATTATTCTGTTAAAAATGATTTCCAATTCATCCGTTCATGGGGCCGGTGGGGTAGCCTCGTGGTTAAAGTGTTCGCTCATCAAACTGAAGATCTGGGTCTGTTTCTCCATATGGGTACAGTGTGTGAAGCCATTTCTGGTGTCCCCCGCCATGATATTGCTGGAATATTGCTAAAAGCGGCGTAAAACCATACTCACCTGTTCATGTGCTGCCCCAGGTGAGTCCCATGCACCATAAAATCAGGGCAGTGATACATGTCAATGTTACACTAATACCCCGTTGATAGGCGCCTCTATACATATGTGGGGGCACGGTCGGCCCAGTCGTCTAAAGCGCCGTGATTCGCTGTGCAGAGTTGCGTCCCTTGGGCACGCCAGAAACCTATGATTGTGGGTTCGAATCCCGGTTCGCCCCGATTATGTTTCTAGGTTTGTCAGCACCATACCCGTGCTCGTGGGTTTCACCGAAGTGGTAAACGTCTGAGACCTGCATCACTTCGAGCTTTCCTCCCACATTAAGCTGACACGCCGCGATATAACTGGAATACTGTTAAAAGCAGTGTTAAATCCAACTCACTCACTCACTCACTATACATATGTGCATACGTGTGTAGAAATACATACGTGAGTATACTTGTCATGTGAATGCGTTTACTCATGTGTGTATATTTACACCAGGAGCAAATTTGCATTTTGTCTGGAGTAGGTGCAAATGTAAATGTAAATTTGTCACCGTAAGAGGATGATCTAATTAATATCTGTTCTTTTGCCAACACCAAACAAAATGTCATTCAAGGAGTCAAAACTTTGTGTACAAATTAAATCAAACACCTGTCGCTTTATGCAAACATTTTCAGTGAAGTAACTCTCTTCTCATTCAACTTTGATTGGAAAACAACCTGTTTTGTGTTGAAAGTCGTGAACAGACAGACGAATATATGTGCCTTACACAATTTACATACTTTATTTACACACCTTAAATGCTTTTCATGTGAACGCATAGTAAATTTACATATATGCACGTATGTATAGTTACACATATGCAACATTACTTCCGTTAGTAAATGTTGTGCATGTGAATGGGGAATAAGATGCTTTTCATGGGAACGCATAGTAAATTAACATATACACATGTATGTATAGGTATACATGTGCAAAATTACTTACATTAGTAAATGTTGTACATGTGAACGGGGAATAATTAATTCAAATTTTACCCAAACAACTCAATATTTGACTTGGCTAAAAGGGATTTGGTTTTTATAATGGACACAAATATGCGGCTTATCTGGATCTGGGTGAAATTTATGTAAATAAGACAAAATATCATTGATCATGTTGATCATTTTTTTATATGAATTTGATGGACTATTATTGGGCAGTGCGATTATTTCAGCTGCTTAAAAATATTAATATTTTTCAAGAACTTTAATTGTGCATTGCAAGTTTTAAAAGGTTTGTGTAATATGAATATGATATTTGTCCATTTTTGTCTGTCATCTGCTATTGGAATCTAAGTGATGATAAACTCTTTTTTAATTAAGTGTTGCTGTGCGAAGCCCATTTCTGGTGTCTCCAGACTGGATATTGATGGAGTATTGCTAAATGCACCGTAAAACCATACTCACTCAATCACTAAATAAGTGATGCATAACATGACTCATGATTATTCGTTCACTTCTTCAGAAACATTTTAAAAAATGGCAAGTTCTGGTGAGGGAAAAAAGGGAGGCAAACCCATTCTGATACAGCGCCCCCTGCGAGCATTCAAACAACAGCAAGCGCTGGCCAATGATGAGGAACTGGCAAGGAAGATTCAGCAAGAAGAGGAACAGAGGTCAAAGCAGTTCCACAACGATGAGTTGCTTGCTCAGCAGCTCGCCGAGGAGATGAGAAGTCAGGAAAACGGAGAGGCCAGTGATGGTGAATGTGCTGAACAATTACAGAGAGAGTTTAATCGCTATCGCGGAATGACGCAGGTCGACTTGCTCCTGGCACGGCAGCTTCAGAGGCAGGAGGAGGAGACGGTTAACGCTCGGAGACACATGCTGCAACAGCAACGCCTCGGCTTTCAGCAACTCAGGGGAGATGACCCAGAGGTAGGATTAGCATCTTTTCGTGGTTGGAAATAATAATTAAAAGTGTGTTTGACCTCTCGTTGTATGCTTGTATTAAACACCCACCCTTCGACACAGTTAAAGTTTTATCCCCTTATACGTGTATTGCAGGTTTATTTAAAATGGACACCGTCCATCTGTCTGTCCATCTATGCAAGATGTCATTTCCAGAGCAGATCTTGAAAAACAAACGATATTTCTTCACCAAACTTTGAACATAGTTAGGTCTAGTGGTGAACTAGTGTCTTTTGATAGTTTGGGATTAATTTTTTTTTTATATTTCAAGTTTCCATGGCAACAGCTTAAACTCATGCTGGAAATGGTGGTAGTGCTCGTTTCCAGAGCAGATCTTGAAAAACGTACAATATTTCTTCAGCAAACTTGGTACATAGACAGTTTGGGATTTAAAAAATATATATATTTCAAGTTTCAATGGCAACAACTTTGACTTAGGCTGGAAATGGCGGTAGTGTTCGTTTCTGGAGCAGATCTTGAAAACCGAACAATATTTCTTCAGCAAAGTTGTTACATAAATAGATCTTGTGGTGAACTGGTGCCATTTGATAGTTTGTGATTTTTTCGAGTTTCCATGGCAACAGGTTTCACATATTTCTTCACAACAAGTATTTGCCATTGCTGGGGGTACCGATGACTTCGTCCTCTTGCATTTTTTACAGTGCACACTATACACATAAAAATATGGTGTTTGGCTTTTTGAGGGGGTCAATTACCATATTTGATGCAAAGATGGGGCTGAATACTCTCTGTACATAACCTCACAAAATGATGATTACAAACCCCTGGTTTAATACATGTACCACGTACATTTTTCATCCAAACTTGGTACATGCATTATACCAGGGCCTGAAGTGGTGCCTTTTGCTATTGTGGGGACCGGGTGAATTTGTCATCTTCTGATGACTCTTGTGAATGTATCTTTATGAAATTGTGACATTAAGTAACTAAGGACTTTAAGAACAAATGCTATTTTGTTGTGGAATTGGATGTTATGGTACAACTTCAACATGTCTTGTCAACCTCTGACCTAATATTGGCCATCTACTCGTGAATCATCAAGAAGGCATGTTATCCTTCTATATATACATGCAGGGATGCATCTAGGATTCCAAACTAAGTGCCCTTGTAATGGCTGCCAATTTGGGGAAAATAATTATTTTGTTAAAAATTGGCATTTTAAAAAGAAAATCCTGAAACTCAGGGATATTTTAACATTTGCATTCATTGCAAAAACATAAAACTAAGCATCTGTATCTTTTTCTTACTATCAGTGAAATACAAGTCACATCTACAAAGCCATAACAGTAGTTGAACATTATCAGTTGGGAAGTTCTAAGTTTCAGTTTGGGAATGTTTACTGACATTTGTTGCAGACACAGGGCCGAATAGTCCCTGTACAAGCCCTGTTTTATCGGTACAAAACATCACAAAATGATAGTCTTTTTTATCCATACAAAATCTCACAAAATGATGGTTTCTTTTATCCATACATAACATAACAAAATGATCGTTTCTTTTGTCCATACAAAACCTCACATAGGTCTTCAGCAACCCATGCTTGCCGTAAAAGGCGACTGTGCTTGTCATGAGAGGCAACTAACGGGAGCGGGTGGTCAGACTCGCTGACTTGGTTGATGCATGTCATCAATCTCAATTGCATGGATCGATGCTCATGATGTCAATCAATAGATTGTCTGGTCCAGATTCGATTATTTTACAGACCGCCATCATATATCTTGAAAATAGTGCGGCATTAAACAACAAACAAACACAAAATTACAAATGATAGTCACTCTTATCCAATACGTAAACTCACAAAAGGATAGTTTCTTGTATCCATACAAAACCACACAAAATGATAAAATGATAGTCACTTTTGTCCATGCAAAACATCACAAAATGATAATCTTTTTCATCCATACAAAACCTCACAATGATAAAATGATAGTCACTTTTATCCAATATATAACCCCACAAAATGATAGTTTCTTTTATCCATACAAAACCTCACAAAATGATAAAATGATAGTCACTTTTATCCAATATATAACCCCACAAAATGGTAGTTTCTTTTATCCATACATAACCTCACACAATGATTAAATGATAGTCACTTTTATCCAATATAAAACCCCACAAAATGGTAGTTTCTTTTATCCATACAAAACCTCACACAATGATAAAATGATAGTCACTTTTATCCAATATATAACCCCACAAAATGATAGTTTCTTTTATCCATACAAAACCTCACACAATGATAAAATGATAGTCACTTTTATCCAATATATAACCCCACAAAATGATAGTTTCTTTTATCCATACATAACCTCACACAATGATTAAATGATAGTCATAATACACACAGCAACACAGTACACAGAAACTTCCATAAAACATGAAAAAGCTAACAATATGTTGTCAGAATAGTGCATTTGTAAATTAAATATTCGTTGAAATCTGTCTTCAGGTGGGCGTGTCAGACTCAGATCTTGGCAACCAGGGGCCGAGCCTTCGACCTCGTGTGATTGGCGCCCCTCAAAGAGTGACTGTGGTTCAGAGCGGGGGCCGGGGCAGGAACATCATACAGTTCGGCTCGGGGAATCCGTTCATGAGGCAAAGGTTTCCGATACGACAGCATCCCCCCAACGGTAATAAATATGGAGAATCTCACCGTTGTATCTTCTGAACATTGAACCCTATGTTGTAACAGCCTGCAGTTTGTGTGGTGATAATTCAATGTTGAAATATTTCATGTTCAGAGCTCCAGATAAGCTTTTGGTGTTGTGGGTATTTTACCCATGCATTTTAAAATCATTGGGTATCAGTAATTCTATCTGCGAATTCAAAATTCTGTTACCCACTTGTTTTTACACATGTGGGTATTTAAGTTAAATATTTAAAAACACTATTCATCTAGTCCCTGCAAACTGGTGTCGTGTGGGTTCGAGAGCTTTATAGGACTCAAAAATACCACAATACTTCCACAAGAAAGTGTGATGGCAAATGATCATGATGTAACTGTCATCGTGGAGTTTGGCAAGGTTGACGGAATGCCAACTTATAATTTCAAAATAAGTTGCTCATTTGCTAATCGAATACACAGGGTTACTTCACAATATTTTGATGATACGCACAAGTTTTATTTTTGTAGCGTATCTGTAATGTTCGTTGCGTATATGATACGCTTGGATTATATTTTACTGCGTATTTTGCATTTCTGATGCATATTTCACGCAGATACGCAGCTTATCTGGAGCTCTGGAAACAATATTGACATTTAATAGAAGCCCTAAATTCCTACCAAAACTTGATTTTAGCTCCTAAATTTTATTAACTTTAGCCCAAAATCAAATCAAATCTGTATTGCATGCCTGTAAGTTGGCATAATCATAGTTGATGATAGTAACCGTGGTAACCTGCGTTATCCTGCAGCCCAGCTCCCAGATGGAGAGTCTGACCCGGAGACGATGCTGTTGTCCATGGGAGGCGGCATGAACAGCGACTTCATCAACATCATGGTGAGTGAAAACTGGAATCATAGATAAATAATTATTTTGATGTAGGCTGAAATATTGTTTTTCTCAACATAGTGTCTATACTTGTATTTGGCATAAACTTCTTTGCCTTCCGTGTTTTTTGTGTGGAACAAATAAGTGCTCATTTCCTTCAGTTATATTATTATGGTGTATTTATGTTTTTACTCTGTGTATTTTTGTATCCCCTCGGGCATATAATGCAGGGGGATATAGTCGACACCCCATTGTCAGCTGATGCCTTTTGCTATTTAGAAACTTTTATTTATTTTCTCTGACATAGAAATACAAAGTTCTAAATCCCAATTCCATGGTGTTGTTTTGATAGCTCAATAACTAGTCTTGTATACGGACAGACAGATTAGATAGAAATTCTCTCATCAAGTTGGACCTAAAGTAACAGTCAGATGATTTGTTCTTTCGAATTTGTTGGGGCTAGGGGGATTTGTCATCTTCTGATGACTCTTGATACTTCTGTCACAGCTTATGAAATTCATGCAACTCACAAGCCCGAGACTACTAACTTGTATTGCGGACAAATAAAACTGTTCTGATGGCGGTCCTCATTGAGCACAAGTGGGATCTGAGGGCTATATTCTAGGGCTGGGAGGATACACCAACTGTGCTATGGTATTCCACATTGAACACAAGTGGGATCTGAGGGCTATATTCTAGGGCTGGGAGGATACACCAACTGTGCTATGGTATTCCACATTGAACACAAGTGGGATCTGAGGGCTATATTCTAGGGCTGGGAGGATACACCAACTGTGCTATGGTATTCCACATTGAACACAAGTGGGATCTGAGGGCTATATTCTAGGGCTGTGTCGATACACCAACTGTGATGGTAGTCCTCATTGAACACAAGTGGGATCTGAGGGCTATATTCTAGGGCTGGGACGATACACCAACTGTGTGATGGTAGTCCTCATTGAACACAAGTGGGATCTGAGGGCTATATTCTAGAGCTGGGTCGATACACCAACTGTGTGATGGTAGTCCTCATTGAACACAAGTGGGATCTGAGGGCTATATTCTAGGGCTGGGTCGATACACCAACTGTGTGATGGTAGTCCTCATTGAACACAAGTGGGATCTGAGGGCTATATTCTAGAGCTGGGAGGATACACCAACTGTGGTAGTCCTCATTGAACACAAGTGGGATCTGAGGGCTATATTCTAGGGCTGGGACGATACACCAACTGTGATGGTAGTCCTCATTGAACACAAGTGGGATCTGAGGGCTATATTCCAGGGCTGGGAGGATACACCAACTGTGGTAGTCCTTATTGAACACAAGTGGGATCTGAGGGCTATATTCTAGAGCTGGGAGGATACACCAACTGTGATGGTAGTCCTCATTGAACACAAGTGGGATCTGAGGGCTATATTCTAGAGCTGGGAGGATACACCAACTGTGGTAGTCCTCATTGAACACAAGTGGGATCTGAGGGCTATATTCTAGAGCTGGGACGATACACCAACTGTGATGGTAGTCCTCATTGAACACATGAAGCGTATCACAATACCTTGCTCACGTTTAATATGTATCGTGATACTTGTATGTACTCTGATCAGTGATGCCTAAGCCGTCTTTTTCATAGACTGGATGGCCAAACACCTGGCACACTAACAAATTACTGTTGACAGTATCAAGTATGGCACAATTGGTGTAAATATTTACCTTTTGACTACTCATTTTCACTTGTAATTAGTGTTTGTTGTAACATTTATTAATAAAAACATTTAAGGTTAGAATCGATACTTTTTCTTAGTGTGCAATTGTGATCGATACTTGTATACCTTTGAAGATCCAGGTAGAATAGGTCTTCAGCAACCAATATTTGTCGTGAAAGGTGACTATGCTTGTCTTAAGAGGCGACTGACAGGATAGGGTGGTCAGACTCGCTGACTTGGTTGATGCATGTCATTGTATCCCAGTTGTGTGGATCGATGCTCATGATATCAGTCACTGGATTTTCTGGTCCAGACTCAATTATTACAGACCGCCATCATATAGCTGGAATATTGCTGAATGCATCGATAATCAACAACCAAACTACCTTATGTTTTTTATGTTCAATATGTTTGCAGACAAATTAATTTTTTTTCATTGCAACTGAATTCTAATCCTGCTCCTCTGCCTGTGTTGCAGCAAGACCCGATGCTGTTGGTGATGGCTATGAGTCGGGCGTCAGACTTCACAGGCAATGAGCAGAACGTGAATGTCAGTGACTATGATGTGAGTAAATACTTTGAATATGGTGCATGCTTGGTACAAAGCAATCTTTAAACAGACGGGTAGTGACGGTGGTTTTAGTGTCGAATATCTGGTTTTGTTCTGCAGTCTAGAGACCATATATGGAGGGACAGGCCTCAGCAGTAGATATTATTACGATCACTGCTGCGCCCATGAATGTAATTGATCAGCCCTGCTGCTTTTCTCCTGGCAGCATCATCCCGAGGCAAGAGAGTGAACTGACTTTAAAAGTCTTTAAAAGTCTTTAAAAGCAATCAGCTCAACACATTTACTCCCGGATCTACCGTAACTCGGTTAAAATATAATATGACTTTATACTTTTTTGATGGAATTATCGGAAGAAATTGAATCTGAAATTATTATTTTTCCAGCAATTATATATTCCAATATCGCGTTACTTTAGTTGCAGCTTCATAATTAATAATAAAATATTATATAAATAACCATAAGTGTAGCACTTTGTCGCTTGCTGTAAAAAACAGTGAGTTGGAGTTGTTTGTTTGTTGTTTAACACTGCACTCGGCAATATTCCAGCTATATGACGGCGGTCTGTAAAATAATCGAGTCTGGACCAGGCAATCCAGTGATTGACATCATGAGAATGGATCCATGCAATTGAGATCGATGACATGCATCAACCAAGTCAGCGAGTCTGACCACCCGCTCCCGTTAGTTGCCTCTAAAGATAGTCTGATTGTCATGTTAATATTCAGGTTTAGGGGTTACTTATGAGGATTACATTAATGTAAGCATTAATGAATGAAATTTTGAATTCAATATGATTGTCAAATGTTAAAGTCTACTTTTAGTTTATTATTATGATATTTAACTGAGATACATGTACTGTAATATGTAGGATTATGAAGTGTGGTCGAGAAAAAGTAATAATTTTAGGGATTCTTTCTAATGGACATCCTTTACAAACATCCAAATAAATAACAAAATAAATTATGCCACAACAAAAAAATACAATGATTTAATTAATTTTGCAAAAATGTCAACGTATCTAACATGTAGTTACTTATATGTTATTAATGTCCTTTAACCTTTAGCCTGCTGAATTATTTTCACACTTCTTACCCCTGCCTGCTGGATTAATTTTAGCATAAGGCGCTCTAAAGAGGGTGGGTGATTTCAAACAGTCGGTGCCTCATTAAACAAGGGCCAATTGAAGAAATATTTTGCACATTTATTCCTGATAGAAAACTACACAGTACTATATAAAAATATCCTGATGTTTTCAATCATACCAATGTTAAGACCAAAGCGAACACAAAATTTGTAAATATTCTTGAACTTACCTGAATTGCGTTATTGAAGGTGGTTTGCATTTCATGCTAGGAACCTTTTAATATCGTAACATTTGTGCAAATTGATTTCAATAATCATATCTCCGATATCTTAATTTTAATTGAGTAAAAATTCGGGGGTTTTTTATCAGCAAATAACAGCGCGATGGTAAATTAGGAACCATTTCAGTGAATTTATTATCTAAACGTTAAACATAAAAATAACTTAATTTTCGAGGTCATCATGTCGGTTGCAGAAATACGAATATTCGGGTTAATCTGACGTGTCATGTTATAAAATTTACAGGAAACAATTAATGACTTATAAATATTCACTAATCCTAATTTCAAGCGTTTTGGTTGAATATTTACGATATACAAAAATAAACAACCCGTGTCATGATGCTAGCAGACGTCCTAAAATCAAACATGGCGCGCTTCGCTCGACCTCCGCATATCTTACTGCTATTTTAACATCAACAAAGTTTACATTGCCTTTAAAAATATAACTTGGCGAAAGTTGACGATCTTCTCAATCGAAGAATGTTTTATTCGTCATATTCCAATAAATATGACGAGAGAAAAATGAAAATAAAGATCGTGAATTCTGACAGCACTATTTCAATAAGTGCATAGGTCACCGGATGTGATGTCACAGACAGGGGTAGTCTGCTGATAAGCTTTCGAAACAAAACAATTACAGTAAATTTTGAAATAGTTCGCCTATCACATACAGCAAAAACATAAGTCGATACACAGTATCAGTAATCGCCACTAACATGAAATAAAAATGTGACTTTGACGATATAATTCGCGTATTAGTTAATCCGTTTGACCTTGCATGCTCCCGTGACCCGGAAACGGTAGACGATAAATCAACATGCCACATGCAAGTTTCTCGGTATCTTTTATTTGAACTTCTGTTGATATTTAAGAATCACCATTCAATGTTGTGAATATAAATGGGACATGATTCATATTTCTGCGATGTAAACGCTGATAAGTTTCACTACAACAAGTGTATCCCACGTAATACGTCTATGGATATCGTCGATCAGCAAGATCACCCTCTTCAACAGGTGCGCGAAAATGGGCTTGACAAAACGTGTTTCAAAATAACATCCCCGCGTTGCTGAATATGATAGGGTATATATAAGCAATAAAATGCTACGTACATATTTTCGGTGTTAGTTCCACATTACATTTAGGATAGCTTTCCTTTCGGGAATACATTCATAGATTCTAGCATGATTTTAGAACAGTTACACGAAGGATTTCTAAATTTATTCCAAAAATATGAAGACCACCATGATGGCGTATTGATGATAGATTTGTAATTGTTTAATTATTTACAGCTGTTTACAGGTTTTAAAATTTTAAGTTATATTTAATAGTTATTTTTCCCACAATGATGGTGTGTGGGGACAGTAAATATTAGTCTTTGCATCAGCACAGTGTAACTGATCAAACTTCAATTATTATCTTTAGTTTAAACATATTTATTCAACAATTATTATCTTGCACTCTGAAAATCAACTATGTGAATAAGTAACTCTCTGATGTCATCATTTTAATTTTAGTATTCCATGAATAATGAATAAATCAGATCCTTAACATATACATACTAAACTCATATGGACATTAATCTTGTGCATTATGTGGTTTGTTTCCAAATAAAAAAATTCTAAAATAAAATTTAATAGGAATTAATTTAATTTAATTACAGTAACAGTACTTGTAACAGTACATGACATTTTTGTTTGTTTAATCACAAGAACCATGGTGGCACATGAGCTGGTAAGTTTGCCACAGGTTTCTTAGAAAATGCTATCTCAGTCTTCTGGTTGGAATGAAAAGAAACATGCCTGTGTACATGTTTACCCTTGCCAGATGTATTTTTTCCAGTCAGCCAATCCATTACTTTTGTTCACCTTATGTGGTCTATTTTATACATACAGGTACTGCTTCCAACCTGTTTTTTCTTTGTATGCAATCACAGTATCACAACTTCCTCAGCTGGTGTGTATAAAAGTTCCCCTGTCATCATGAAAAAAGAATTATAAAGGAAAGTCATATTTTCATTCAAAAACATATCTGTCTTTCCTTGAATACTCTTTGTCTAAGTGCCAGAAATGTCAGTGTCATAAAAAAATTAAAAACAGATTTTCATAAGGACTTTTCTTAGGTAGACCTAGATCTAAGTCAAACCATGTGACAAGTTAGGTAGAATTATAACCTTATAAGCCCTCATTTCTGAGGTGTCCATATTTTAAACATTTTTAGGACTAAACGTGATCTGTGTAGATCTGCCTGTTTTGTTATGTAAAACAAATTCTTGTCTTAAAAAATGAGAAAAGGAATCATTCAGACGAATTTTTGTTATCCCATTGATTCACGAAAATCAGTTGAAATGTACAGTGGTGACTTTTGTACCCAAAATTTCTAGTAATTTGTTACCCAAATGGGTATGTGATTTTGTAGATCAACCTAGAATTATTTCAAAGATATACATTAATTTGGTGTCTTAAACTTAACATATCACTTTCCTATCAAAACAATTCATTATAACTTAGGTTTAACCAACTTAACTGGCCTCTCCTTCAGTGACAAGACGTCAATTTTCTCTCAAAACTAAACAATCAATTTCAAGGATGACAGTCGTAATCATATTTGGAACTTGATGAAATATTTTATTGTGTGTTCTGTTCATCTACATGAAAACATAAATATAATTATAGATCTATTTTCTTATTTTCTTAGGTACAAATTCACAAAGTATTTTGGGTACAATTTAATTTGTTTTGGGTACAAAATCACATATATAGGAGCCTAGAATCTATATATATTTACACTAGCCTACCTCGTTGTGTACCAAAATTTTATCGGTTCAGAGGACGGGAGGTTCTCAGAAAGTTTTCAACAACATCTTTAATATTTAAATTGTTCTTTTTGTAATGTTAGACCTATAACAATATTATGTTATTATTATGGCATATCAATACGTTGTATCGCTCTCCGTTGCGTTCGTTTTTAGAAAATATTTTAAAATTAATATCATCGAGCGTGAAATCCATTACGGTTTCGGATTTAGACTTGCACATTTGATGGCGACAATCACGAAGAAATATGAAACAAATAGGAGTAAAGACTGCTCTCCAGGTCAATAAATAGTAAAGAGTTGACGAAAAATAGTAAATTATGTTTATTTTTTTTAATTTGAATCTATTTCGGAATTTCTTTATGATAGCTTACCAACTTTTGCATATTTTGCTTCCATGTGTCACATGCGGTACGTGCTTCCGGTTTCAGAAATCATAGCTAAAATTGCAAGTATTTTGATTATTTCTCATAAAATGCATTATTTTGCTATTGAATGGTTTACCTAGAATGTATATCAGTTCAGATTTTGCGTATCATCCAATATTTGTCATTTTTCGCAGTGTTTGTTGACTTTGTTCAACTCAACAAATCGCGAGTTAGGCCACGCCCAAACGTATCACTGACGTTTGTCAGCTGTTTGTCGGCTTGTCAATGTGTCGGAAAGTTTATCAAACGAAATCATTTCCAAACTCTTTAAAAATGAAATTCTTTTTACAAAGATTTATACATACGTGTCAATAATTCTAGAAAATTAAGTTAGATGTAACAAAATGATTGTAATAGTCTAACGGGATAACTATGCATGTGGAGTTGTTTGTTTACCGCCGTTGCCATGATAGTACAAGTTTCATCCAATCGATGATGTTACGATTCAGATTGTTTTTGTTTACAATTAGTTACACCGAAAGTTGCTAATTTTTAGAAATTAAGGAACATGAGTGTTTTCCTTCCGCCAGCAAACAAAAAATTATGATCGAATAGGAAAAATGATGAAATTATAAAGAAAATATCGGACTGCATGCCGCTCAACGTGAAGTGCCAAAAGTCAACAATGGCCGTTTCTGGTAGTTGTGTGCCGAGAAGTTTGGCCGAAACATTTTTAACTCGCGATATTTTCTTTTTGAGGTAAATAAATGACTGAACGTTTTGATATTGAGCAAGCTGAGGATTTATGCATGTCATACGTAATTTAAATGTTACGCAAAGCCTTCTTGGTAAATAGATATGGCGAGTTTTATTTTGGGGTGTTGTTATGCTATTCGCCTGTCGAATGGGTTCGACATCAGATGCACGGGGATGGACACCTCTGTCGAATGGGTTCGACGTTAGCGTGCAGAGCTTTAACAATTCAAGAAAAAGGGCTGGACAGCTGATTACCGGTAGTCAATTCACAAAACCTGTGCATGTGAATCTTCGAATAACGCGCAGTATCGCGTGAAAGTGACGCTTGGTCTCGTCTGATCAGTCTGCAACTAGCCTCGGGGTGGCCGGTAGCCTAGTGGTTAAAGCGTTTGCTCATCACGCCGAAGACCCGGTTTCGATTCCTGACATGGGTACAATGTGTGAAGCCCATTTCTGGTGAAGCCCATTTCTGGTCCCCCGTCGTGATATTGCTTGAATATTGCTAAAAGCGGCGTCAAACCATACCCACTCACTCCAACTAGCCCCAAGGCCCGTTACTCGATATATGGTCTCTGTGCAGTCTTTATCACATAGAATCATTTAGGAGATAAACTAGATGTGTTTTGAGATTTGTGGGTTTTATTGAGTATTCAGTGCCCTGAAATGTCATTTTGAATTAGAACATTACAATTTCTGGGCATCAAATACTCCATAAAACCAACAAATCTAAAAATATATCATGTTTGTCTGCAGTTTGATATAGATGCATTGATATATGATACAATGGACGACATCACATGCTTCCTTGAAAACTGTTTGTGAGAAAGAGAATATGTTGTCCGGTCACTACTGCAAGTCTATTTTTTTCACAACCCATCTTTTACAGGACATCCAGCAAGGTTACATCCAAACTGCTTTTTTGTGGGTAAATCCTGAATCAATATAAATGATCCAGTGTTTTCCTGAACAAATTATAGTTTATAAAACAAACAGGCCCCCCTCTAGTATATGAAACGGTTTTCTGGTAATGCTTGTATGGATTGTGTTCAGGGGCTGTGGGAGCTAGCGGAGAGGCTGGGGGAGGTTCAGAGGAAGGGGGTGAGTGAGGCGGAGATCGGGAATCTGCCCACATACTTGTACCAGGCCGGGGCTTCCGCCGCTCAGAACACAGACTGCCAGGTGTGTCTGAGTGCCTTCGAGCCCGGGGAGACCCTCCGCTCTCTACCCTGTCTACACGACTATCACAGCAAGTGCATTGATGAGTGGCTTAAGGTAGGTAGCTTCAACTTTGACTGGCAACTTTGACTTGTCACTCCCAGGGTTATACGTGATGCAGTTATGTGTGTCCAGTACGCACAAGTGTCCAGAATGGACTTGAAAAAAATAAAATTGTGCTTCCCATTGACGAGACACATAGTAAAATTCATTAAATCAAATTGTGGACAAGAAATATGAAGGTATACACCATTTCCCCTCATTTCCCACTTCCCCTAGTTTTGTAGGTCAAGGTAAAACCTTGCACTCCATGGGGTAAGATAGTCTCGCCAAGGTAGCAATAGGCTTCTCACCCCCATCCCCACCCCCACCCAGTACACTCCCCCATTTCCCCTCTTGGGACCCTAGTTTTGTAGGTCAGGTAAAACCTTGCACTCCATGGGGTAAGATAGTCTCGCCAAGGTAGCAATAGGCTTCTCACCCCCACCCCCACCCCCACCCCCACCCCCACCCCAACCCCCACCCACACCCACACCCACAACCCCACCCACACCCAGTACACTCCCCCATTTCCCCTCTTGGACCCCTAGTTTTGTAGGTCAAGGTAAAACCTTGCACTCCATGGGGTAAGATAGTCTCGCCAAGGTAGCAATAGGCTTCTCACCCCCATCCCCACCCCCACCCAGTACACTCCCCCATTTCCCCTCTTGGGACCCTAGTTTTGTAGGTCAGGTAAAACCTTGCACTCCATGGGGTAAGATAGCCTCGCCAAGGTAGCAATAGGCTTCTCACCCCCACCCCCACCCCCACCCCCGCCCCCACCCCCACCCCAACCCCCACCCACACCCACACCCACAACCCCACCCACACCCAGTACACTCCCCCATTTCCCCTCTTGGACCCCTAGTTTTGTAGGTCAAGGTAAAACCTTGCACTCCATGGGGTAAGATAGTCTCGCCAAGGTAGCAATAGGCTTCTCACCCCCATCCCCAACCCCACCCAGTACACTCCCCCATTTCCCCTCTTGGACCCCTAGTTTTGTAGGTCAGGTAAAACCTTGCACTCCATGGGGTAAGATAGTCTTGCCAAGGTAGCAATAGGCTTCCCACACTGCGCGGGTAGCATAGACTCCCAACATCGCCCCCCAGATTGTGGATCGCCTGGTCAGCCTAGTCCTATAAATGCACCCTACAAAAAGACCCTATGGTGATCCGGTTTAGAATTGGTCTTCAGCAACCCATGCTTGTCATAAGAGGCGACTAACAGGATTGGGTTGTCAGGCTCACTGACTTGGTTGCTCATGATGCCAATCTCTGGATTGTCTGGTCCAGACTCAGTTATTTACAGACCACTGTCATATAGCTAGAATATTAATGAGTGCAGCATTAAACAGTAAACAAACAAACACAAATGCAAAGCTATAAGAAACAAAATAACATTTATGCTATCCTGAACTGGGATATCTTTAATTAAAGTTACATCTTCCTGAGGCAAGGGAATTAACTCACTGTAAAAATGTTGATGGTACACACACTCTTCAAATCTTGCAATTGACCGAAAACTGCGTTGAAGTTATGAACCAGATGCAGAGACTCGTTAGTCCAACCCAAATGTAACTCCATAACACCTGCCCAGTTTGGCAAGGGTTGGAAACTGGACTTTAATAGTCAGTTACCTCCCTTGCCTCATGAAGAGGTTCCATTCAGGGTATTTTGGGAAACATTTGCTGCAGACATGGTGCCAAATATGGGCCTCGATGAGTCCCTTTCTGGCCTGATGTACGTGTGTATACAGGGCTGTATAAAACATGCACATGTGCAACATATTGTTGTAAAATGCAAACTAATATTTATGTCTACGTGCACCAAGTGCATGTCAAAAGAATTCAAAGTTGTGTCTGTTTGTTTGTTTGTTTGTTTGTTTGTGGTTTAACCCCACACTCAGCAATACTCCAGCTATAAGATGGCAGTCTGTAATTAATCGAGTCTGTACCAGACAATCCAGTGATTGACATCATGAGCGTCGATCCATGCAATTGATATACGATGACATGCATGAACCAAGTCAGCAAGTCTGACCACCCGATGCCGTTAGTCGCCCCTTACGACAAGCACAGTCGCCTTTTACAGCAAGCATGGGTTGCTGAAGACCTGTTCTACCCCGGATTTTCACGGTCAAATTTGTGCCTGACTAACCCTTACTTGTCCACATAAAATCAATCTTTGAACACAATCAATACCTCTTAGCTTTTTGTACCACACTACATCACTAATCCCTGTGTTACATTTAATTTGTAATGCTTTATCATCAAACTGTGGGTACTTCAACAAGATGTGGTCATATTCCTACTATGTTTTACAGCAATACGTCATTAATTCATGTGACACTGGCAGCAGACCGACCTATGTTACAACTTTCATAATTCAATAGGACCAGGGTGCAACCTGGTTTTCTTTGGTGCAACTGTTTTCATGTCAACATATGCACCTGGTGCAAGTTAAACCAAGTTCCTCATATTGAGCCTGGTATAACATTGGCCATTTGTTGTTGCAGAGGAACTCCACATGCCCAATATGTCGGCATGATGTGAGACAGTGATAGACCATCCTCCAGGGCCTACACAGCCGTCAGCAGTCTCAATGACACAAGCAACACTTACTAGGGCAACAGATAAACAACAAACCATGAATGAGAGAAATAGTGTGCGAACAGTACAAGCCATACAGGCTAGCTGATAAAAAAATTTGGCCACAACATTTGTGTTTCAGTTGACGGATGTGAAATATAGAATGTCTGCCGAGTGTCTTTTGATATCAAATATATCAACACAAGTAGATATATTTTATGTCTAATGACACTCGGGTGAGATCATCCAAAATCATTCTTCAGTTTTTAAACTGAAGTAACTAGTGTGTTGAGTGTAAGCAGTACAGCTAACCATCATTAGTGGCAGGGAGATTAGTGATGTCCTTGATTGTGATGTCATGGTAACTGAGGTAACTGATGACATCACAATAGTCCACAAACCATTGTGATACAATTTCATTGCAGCAAAATCTCCAAGGAGATGTCACTTGATCTGCTCCAAGAGACGTGTCCTGTGGACGTCAGTTTCAGGTAATAAGGGATGGTATCTTCATCATGGTGGTGTTTATGAACTGTGGCATCTGTGTTGATGGGTTCACTTATCAGGCTTCTGGATTTCAAGTTAGGAGTTGTACTCAATTTGTCATCCAAACCTGGCTCCCACAGGAGATATCACTTGGGTGAGATCAAGTGAAATCTACATTGTAGATATCACTGCAATGAAATTGCATCACAATGCTTTGCAGTCAATTTTTCAATATTGATAATGTCTGAATGCGGGCAGGTAACTTTGAAGATGGGCAGGCAACACTTATGGGTCATCTGCCCGACTGTCTTGGTTTTTTTTAAATCATTTCAAACACTGTTTCTGTGTAATAAGGGTTTTTAGCAGTCTATCTGTAATACTTGTTAAGAGACAAAATGATTTTTAACTTGCTAGGTCTCTTTTTGACATCGCGGACTGCCTCCGTGGTCTAGTGGTAGAGCTTCCACCTGGAAAGTGGAAGGTCGGGGGTTCGATCCCCAGCCGCGTCATACAACAAGATGTTTAAAGATGGTACTTGTTGTTACCCTGACTGGTGCTCACTATTAAGCGTTACTATTGCTTAAAAATGCTGATGCGACATTAAATTTTAACTCACCCCATTAAGGGGCTATAACAAGGACTGGTCGGCCTGGAGTCAGTATACTGTGTCTGCGTGGGGTATTCATGTTAAACTGCGGCAAAGTATCTCAGTGGGCGAGCACTATGAAATCAGCAGTAGTCCTGACTAGTACAAACAGACACGCAGACACACGTGTCCATGCATGTCGCTATATAAGTGCAATAATCTTGGAAGCGACATTAAACTCCATTTCACCTCACTTCACCTCACCTCAGCTTTGAAATCGCACTAATATACCCAAGCTAGAGGGATACTGCTAGTTGCAATCCCTATTATTTCCCCTCCATGGTTCTGTTTTCATTGTTTGTACTACATTTGTGTGCTGCCAATGCCAGTCACTGACTTCTTGCCACTTCATCACAAATATAAGGCGATATATATACTTCAGGAAGTGCAACAACATGGAGTGTCTCCACCTTGCTGTGTGTTAAATATGTACATCTTGAAGCTCCCTGCCCAGTCTCATTAAGATCTGATCTTTACTCCGATACAATACCTCTTTGCACGAAGGTCCGAGACACCTCCCTAGCAGGTCATATCAGGGGGACCCGGAGCCAATGTGGACTGACCTCCCCAGCAGGTCATATCAGAGGAACCCTGAGCCAATGTGGACTGCGCAGTGTAAATGGGGATGCACAGGTTCTTGAGACAATTGATATCAACTTTCTAAAAATAGTTTTGTTTCATTTCTTTACCTCCTCGATTTGGAAATTTTGAATTTAGATCAGAAACACCACACAAGACACACATGTTCCTTGGATTGTTCTCCTTTTTGAGTGTGGGTAACATGGTGTTCAGGAAGTGTGTAGATATCCACCAATATGATGATGCAGCCTTTTTCATTTTCATTCGGAACATGCCGATTACCTTTGTTTTCGAGGACGGAAATCAGATATGCTTCCTAAGAATTTATAAGTCTTGATGCTGATTTACTGATTAAGATATTCACATGACAAAACCTAGGATGTGTCCCCAGATCCTCATGCTGTGAGAGGTATGGTATCGGAGTAAGAGATGAGACTTTGATGAGACCATGAGGCCATGATATAACTGTTCAAGCATCCTCCATGTCTCCAGTACTCTCATTCCAGTAAACCTACACTAAGCCCTGGGTCCATTCCCGTGGTTCTTGTGATCAGTAAATTACAAGCCCTTGATATTCATTAGCCAATTTGATTTGCTACCCTACTAGGGCTGGGACGGGTAACTCGGGTACTCGGGTCGGGTGGGTCCTGAGTAGGACCTGGGTACCCACAGTACTACCCGGACCCGTGGTTAGTTATGTGACATATATTGTTTAATGAAAAAAACTCACTATAGCTCAGTGGTTACACTACAAGTCGCTTATGTTCGCATTTCTTTCTGATGATGCACACATTCCTTTTGACTTGTATATGTTTGAGTAAAGATAAAGCTTTAGTCAACTTCAGTGTACACATGATTTGGTTTCATACATGTATCTAAACAGTTTTTGCCAGGGCTACAGTTTAACTATTCCCAATTTGACATTGTGTTACCAACTCTTGAGACCTGCAGTGGATACCTGGGTAGGGTCAGGTAATAGGGGGTCGGGTACCTGGGTAGTAAATTTGGACTCGTCCCAGCCCTATACCCTACTCTAACCGACCAATCAGAATGTGAGTTACTAACCAGCCTCAATGTGGGTTGGCGATATAAACAACATGGCCGCCGTCAGTCCCATTGATTACGAAAAGAGTTTGCGAGAAATTCAACGTTGAAAAACTGACTGACATGAAAAAGAAAGCCCCCAAATTCATTTTGATGGAAAGGAAATCTTTATGAGTGGGTAATATGAGATCACGATTGTAGGTTTACCGAAATGTGAGCCCTGGACATACAGAGGCATTTCAAGTCGTGTTATTCCCAATACAATCACTCATCTCCTATCATATTGTGTATGTATGCAAGTTGTATATTAAGCTGGACTATATTTATTGTATTCCCACAAGTTGCATGCTTTTTCTATGCAGTGATATGTATACTGCTCAAAAGAAGTAAAGTAACACCCGATATGTTCATATGCCTGTAGTTACTCTGTCATGATTGGTGGGTATTGCTACACACTGCCTTCCAATTGAGGATGTTCCTTAACTTGTTTTGAGTAGTATATGTGGTTCAACTGAGCCTTTGTGGGGAAGTGTACTGAAATATTGAAATATTTGTGTTAGAATGGCATCAATATTATAAAACTATTTGCATATATGAACACACAATGCCATTTAGAAAGTGGTCAAATGCAACAAATGTTATGTTAGGGATAACACTTTCTTAGTAAAGTACAGATTCTAGTACATTTTTGGGTTGAGTCCCATCCAGGATTAAACCCTCACTGCCAGAGTGATGCACCTAATCGCCAGCACACAAAGTCAGCGATCTAACCCACTCAGCCTCGCGGCATCCACAAAATGAAAGTCTGACAACTGGTAGTTTAGATCACATACTTTGTGTACCCCTCTGACAAGTGTAAATTGGCACGGCTCTGCGAATTGGACTTAACCCAAAATAGTACTTGAATCAGTACTTTACTAAGAAAGTGTTAACACAAATATAACATTTGTTATATTTGTGTATATGTTTTATGATGTTTTATTAGGAATATTACCAATGCCTGAAAGTTTAATGACACATACGTGCCCATAAAACGAAGAATCACATATACCGATGGAAATTAAAAAGGGAACATTTAGTTTTAGACACAGTAACATGATATGCTATCACTGGTTTCCAGCCGTGTCTACCAAATACAAGCTGGATCAATGGACGGAAACACATCTCAACATGAGATTCTGACGTGTTGAATTTGTATGCACGTTATTTCAAATGTACTGACAGTAAAGCTTATTTCCCTATACTTTCATACTTTTATTTGTTTCTCTCAGTATATCATGTGGTTTATTCGCAGGACGTCAACACTTATAGTCCTGGTATTGTTCACAGGTCTCTTAAACAAAAGTAATCCGGATTACCTCCCCTGGTGACAGGGACGTCTCCATGTTTGGTAATGCTTTTTTCAAGAGTACCTAAGGTATTTGGTTACACAGATCACTCAGAGCTCCTGATAAGCTGAGTATCTGTGTAAATATAATGCAGAAATATGCAGTAAAATAAAATTCAAGCGTATCAAATACGCAACGAACATTACAGATACGCTACAAAAATAAAACTTGTGCGTATCATCAAAATATTGTGAAGTTACCCTGCGTATTCGATAAGCAAATCAGCAACTTATTTTGAAATTATAAGTTGGCATTTCGTCAACCTTGCCAAACTCCACGATGACAGTTACATCATGATCATTTGCCATCACACTTTCTTGTGGAAGTATCGTGGTATTTTTGAGTCCTATAAAGCTCTCAAACCCACATGACACCAGTTTGCAGGAACTAGATGAATAAATGTTTTTAAATATACAACTTTAATACAAATGATTTTAAAATGCATGGGTAAAATGCGAACAACACCAAAAGCTTAATCTGGAGCTCTGTGATCACACATGTAACAAATATCGAAACATTACATTATATTGTTTCTTTCACTGTTTACATATCAAGATATAACTATTATGCTTCATTTATACCTAAATGATACATGATTTGAATACTCAGGCATTGCAAATTGTTGAAAAATGTAATGTAAATATGTAAATTTTAGAAAGAAATAGTTACCGTAGAAAGATTTATGCAAATTTGTAATATTTCTTCCAAATATTTATAACTGTTTATTTACCTATAATAAATTACATCAACAGAAAAAGTTACTCATACTATGTCACAAACAATAATTTAATTCAAATTCATATTCATGAAAATCTCCATCACGCCAAAGTACCCGTTTTGATTCCCCACATGGATAGAATGTGTGAAGCCCATTTCTGGTGTCCTCGGCTGTGATATTGCTGGAATGTTGCTAAAGTGGCATTAAACCATACTCACTCACTCACTCATGAAAATTTCAGCACAATGGAGGTATGTAAATAATCGAGTCTGGACCAGACAATCCAGTGATTAACATCATGAACATCAATCCACGCAATTGGGATCGATGACATACATCAACCAAGTCAGCGAGCCTGACCACCCGATCCCGTTAGTCGCCTTGTACGACAAGCACAGTCACTTTTTGTGGCAAGCATGTATGTGAATGTAAATTGTCTGTTAAGTTATCTGCACATTTGCCATTATGGAATGATAGAAATTAAACCTTAGTGAGTGAGTATGTTTTACGCCCCTTTTAGCAATATTCCAGAAATGAGCTTCACACATTGTAGTCGTGTTGGTAATCAAACCCGGATCTTTAACCACTAGGCTACCCCATTGCAACAGACGTATTAATTAAGCATGGGGATTAAGGCGTCTTGTGAAGACACCCATTATTAATTTTCAGATTTACTCATTACATGAAGCAGAAGTTTATTTTTTATTTTGTGTTTTATAAATGGAAAGAAGTTGTAATCAGCTAAAAGAGACATAATGTAAAAAAATTGAATAAATATGTTAATACTTTTATGCTGCAATAATCAAAATTGAATATGTTGACAATGATGAGGTCAGAATTAGAAGGTCAAATGATTGGGTGAGTGAGTTGGGT